TCTTTGTTCCTTTGCTTTTGTCTGTACAGTTCCTTTTTATCAGGAAAAAAATTGGGGAAGGGATACAAATTTCCATAACACAAGCGTGCTCAATTTGCCACAGATTTTCCCTCGGAACCTGTGATTATAATCATTTAAATCATCCTTACACTTGATAAAGTGCCTTATCACGTCGTTGAGACGTCTCAAAAAGTGCTCCACGGAATATATTGTAACGTAACGTGATTGACTGTATTTTGTGGGCAAAACACAGCAGCCAGCTGTGTACAGTAGTATTCCACAAACTGTCATGGATTGAGTGACCAGATTTTTTGGGGGAGGGATTATTACCCCAGGAAAGCAAAATGCCAATAAACTAACAACCAGGTTCCCACTTACAGCTAGGTAAACAGAGGAGTGTGGAGTAAGGAACCTTGCCTAAGGTTTCGTCCTGCCTGGTAATCCAACCCAGGTCCTCTGGCTTGCCAGGCAAGTGCACCAACCACTACACAATGGACGATAATTCAGTAGGTGTGATGTTCAGAGCCTGGCAAACATTTACAGGTGAAACATAGCTCCTCATGTCCCTCCTTCTGCTCATACTCAGCTCATACCCACCCAGCTCCACATTTAGCCATAATTATTATTCATTAAATTTTGAATACAACAAAACATGGAAGTCGAGCAGCAGGTATCGCGATGTTTGTTTCAAAATTCCCATTTGCATCCCAAGAATTTACATCTGAAAACAACCTTAGGGTGGAAAAACGTAACTTTCCAAAACAGATCCAAATTTTTTTGTCTATTCCTATGGGTGTAACCGCACATTCTTCCTCCCCCACCACATCCACCACCACCGTAGTTGGGCTCAAAGCTGGTTCCAACTTTCCTGCATTGTTGTGCTGTTATGTGATAGGGAGTCAGCAGAGCCTGGCGAGGAGTCGTGTGATGGGGGTACAGAGTATGTGAGTATACAGGCGGCGGAGTTCTGAATTAATTACACTGAAATGTCACGTTATTTATTAGCCCAGCAGCCAAGCTCCAGCAATGGATGGAAAAATGTGACTTAATGACAGCTTCAATAAATATGCAATCTCTGGGAGCAATGCATTTTCCACCACATTGGAGTTCCTCGCTCCATGGTAACCAGTTTGAAACTGATGTCTAAGGATTGGTGGCTTTAAAGCACATTATTTCAATAGAAAACGCACATGCAGTCAATTCACTTTACACTACGTTCTGTGAAACGCTTTGAGACGTCTCGAAGACATGATAAGGCGCTATATCAAATGCAAGGTTTATTATTATTACACCTAGCGAATCTTCCGTTTGCTGAGCACTGGAATGCAAGGGCACAAACCACACAGAATTACCACAAGTCTCACACCCAACACGTTCACAGCACAAGCACCCAGGCAAACTCAAGTGCTGTGGAGCCCCTTGCACACACACAGTGCTGCTGGCAGGTAATTTACAAACTGGGGGGAAAAAAATGAAACATTGTGCTTAGCTGCCTTTGAGTTTCCTCCTGTTAATTGAATATCTCGGGGCTGTAAATCCCTTTCCACTCAGCAGTCTGGTTCCCAGAGAACACCTTATTCGCCGCCCAAATTACCGGCGTGTTAATTCCGACCCCACATTCCTCCCTAGGCCCCGATTATTTTTAATACCTCGATTATTTTAATAACATTTGTGTTAAAATGGAGAGGAATTAATGTTCGATAAATTGTAAGAATACAAGTGAATGCCCGGCTTAGCAGTGAGCACCTTTTAAAGTACGCTCTTATTACACCCCAGGTGCCCATCTAGTTTGGCAATAATAAAAGTTTGTTCCAATGTACAAAGAAAATTAATTCTGTTTGTCTCACAGTCCAGAATGACACTCCAGTGTAGTGCAGGGGGAGCATTGTATTGTCGGAGATGCCATCTTTCATACGTAATGATAAACTAAGGTCTCATCTACCTGTTCTTCAGGTGAAGATCCCATAACATTATTATTCTCTCAGTATCCTGGCAAACCGTCTACCAGATTAATCAGGTATTCACATTGTGGCTGTTTGTGGGACCATAAACTCTCTGCTTATAAAACCAGTCACTACACTCAACTGTTTAGGATGCACTTCGAGATGTTTTGATTGATAAGAATTCCATAAAAATGCACATTCTTTCTTCCCTCTATGAACACCCCCGATGACAAGATAAGGCGTTATATCAAATGTAAGGATTATTATTATTTATTTCCCCATTAACTTTCCAATATTCTGTTCTCAACGAAGCCTGATGCAAGAGAGATTGCCAACCTAAAGTCATGCCTCCTGTATAATGGAGCTTCCCCAACAGCTCGGTGGGTAAAGGCAGAGCCCAGGGCACCACTGCACAGTACATTCAGTTATCCTACTGTTAAACATTCCTGAAATCCGCTTACAGCATCTGAGGATTACAGGACAGGATTTCATCATCAAATGCTCCAGCAGAAATGGAATAGAGTGAAAGAAGTCATGGCATCGGATACAGCAGAAAATACTCTGCACCTTCACAGCAGATTGGATCCCACACTCTAACCGTGATTTATGGGCATCTTTCTAACAAATTAAATCTTCGCCCAAGCTCCCTACTTTCAGCACCAAGGTCAGATCCTTCTAATCAGTCAGCCTGCTGCTCAGGGTCTCCCTCCCAGTCACCCATGGACTCAGGGATCAGCTTGACCTTAGCCATCAATCAGCAAAGAAATAAAACACGTGAAGCACCTCCCAGCAGTTCTGGAGACCGAGACACAATTGCATCACATCTTCCCTAAAAGAAAACTCTGCAAACCTAAGCGCACAAAGCAAGATAAGTTCCGACTCTAACCTGCGCTTGTTAGCAGTCTCCTCAATTTTCTTTGTCAGATCCGATCAACCCACCAGCTAATTTTATTATGGATTGTCCACGTGTTCATTCTTTGATGGAAATGCTTGTTCACAGCCCCCACACCACCCACCCCATTAAAGTGATCCAGCAATCGACTGACAACCAGGTTCCTACTTACTGCTTGGTAAACAGAGGTGTGTGAAGTAAGGAAACTTGCCTAAGGTTTCACCCCGCCCGGGAATTGAACCCAGGTCGTCTCGCTTGTGAGGTGAATGGAATGGAAGTATCCCCTCTCCACATACCACATTTAAAACACTGTGATTCCCTTGTTCATTCGTGCAAACGTTCAGAAATAAAAGTTACAAATGAGATAATGTGATTTTATCAGGTTAAGTTGATTCAATCCCAAGGAGGAATGATTCATCCGAAACAAATCTAATACAAAGCGGAAGACACGTCAACTCAGCTTTTTAGTGATGGTCTTTAAATCCATGTAGAAGACGTTGTGAAGGCAGCTCCGATAATAAACCTGCGAGTACATTCACTGTGCAGTTTTGCTCCAAAATTAAAACCGATAAAGACCTCAGTCTCCAGAGTATTTAACTTCAAGTCACATGAAGCTACTCTCCAGGCTCGTTGGCAAATGGCAGGGTGCAGTTTTGAGCTCCCAAAAGGATTTATGGACTTGCTGTGTGCAATTGGCTGTCCCGTTTCACCCACACAATATACAGTCAATTCACTTTACAGTATAAACTGTGAAGCGCTTTGAGACGTCTCAACAACGTTATAAGGCGCGATATCAAAAGCAAGAATTATTATTATTACTACTACTACTGAAATGCTGGAGTGGATTCAGAAAAGAGTGAAGGGGATTATTCTGGGATACGCAAAGCAAAAAAATCAAGATCCACTCCACATTTCAGTGCTCACAACAGCCCCAAAGCCAGCCACATGATCTACTTTGGTTCAGAAGGTTGTACGTTTGACTCCCTACACCCAGACTCCAGCTCTGAATCCAGGCGGGAACCTTCAACAGTTCTGGTTGGGAATGCTGTGTTGCTAGAGATGGCATCCGCCTTCAGAAGGCTATAATCACAGCATGAATGTTTAGGTAACTCAAGTAGACATTGAAAATCGTGCTGCACTGTTTGGAAAACGAGCAGCGTCCTTTCTGATATTCCTCCTATATCCGAACCCACTAACCGATGAATCGGCCTTATATCACTCAGCTGTGTGTGTGTGTGCCGGTCCAAATGGCAGCCAGCGGGCCTATTTCATCCTCCCCTCGCCCCGGCCCACCCTCCCTCCAGTTCATCTGGCCCACCAGCTTCCTCTATCACCTGTAATTGTTAGGTTATGTTTCTGGAAGGAAAACGCAAAATTATTGCTTATGCGGCCGTTTCTCAAATAGGGCAGCCAGCCCTCAGCAGCCAAAAGGTTGAACACCCCTCGGCAAGATGTAGCTGGTGAAGATTAGTTGTAGCTGTTTTGTCTACATGAATAATCGCCACACTTCAAAGCAGCTCCTTGTTTGACATCGACGTGATGATGCCAGATATTAAACACAGAATATTTCACAGCATTACTACAGGGGAATTTTAACACGTTAAATCTATTTGCAAAAAAAAAAACACACACACCACTCCCCCCACCAAAAGCAAACAAAATAACACAGGAGTTAAAGTAGCAGACACTAGTATTATTTCTTTTCGAAGACATCAATTCAGTGTGTGCGCTGTGAAGACAGATTTGGTCCTGCAATCAATTGGACAAAGAATATGATTCTGGTTAAATGCTCTCCTCTCTCTCTCCCGTCTCTGAATTAGCGACTTATATGCACATCAGATAATGTGAAAATCTTCCGAACAAGAAGTTCACACAAACTACTTTTAAAAAAAGCAGCCAGCCAGGACACAAGCCATAATCACAACCTCCTGCAGTTACTCAGTCTAAAATTATCCTCGAGGGACATGTACATTCCATTAATTATAATGAAGCCTCCAGTAAAATACATATTCAAGCCTCGCTCAGCTGTAAACAAGCACTGGAGTTGGTTAGGGTCTGTTAACCTACCAGCCAATTTACAAAACTGTCAGAATCGGGATTACTTGTGGGAAACAAACGGGGAGATAATATGAATCCGATATCTAGTGCAAACTTGTACCACTCACCCCTGGCAGAGTCTTCTGTTCGTGTAGTGCATTCTGCGCCTTGACAGCCGAATCCCTTGCACAGTAAGTCAGGAAAGCACAACCTAAAAAAAACACGCAGGATATAAGGCTGTATTCCACAAGCCAATTGAGCTCACAGTCCAGGCTGACACTCATAGAATGGAATCATAGCATCATACAGCACAGAAGGAGGCCATTCGGCCCATCGTGCCTGTGCTTTGAAAGAGCTATCCGATTAGTCCCATTCCCCACCCGGCTCTTTCCCCGTAGCCTTGCCATTTTTTCTTTTCATGTATATATCCAATTCCCTTTTGAAAGTTATTATTGAATCTGCTTCCACCACCCTTTCAGGCAGTTGCAATCCAGATCATGACAACTTGCTGCTTTTAAAAAAATCCTCATCTCCCCTCTGGTTCTTTCGCCAATTATCTTGAATCTATTCCTCTGGTTACCGACCCACCCGCCAGTCGAAACAGTTTCTCCTTATTTACTCTATCAAACCTGCTCATAATTCTGAACGCCTCTATTAAATCTCCTCTTAACCATCTCTGCTCTAAGGAGAACAATTCCATCTTGTCTAGTCTCTCCACTTCAGCACATACTGGGGGTGTGAGGGAGGGGTGAGTGATTGGGAGGGGGGGAGGAGGAGGAAGGACAGTAATGTAATGTCAAAGATGCCATCTTTATGGCAACCTATTAAACCGAGGCATCACCTGTCTGCAAAAGTGGACTAAAAAAAAGATGAGTTTCTCAGCAAATTCAAAACAGAACTTGCTGATCGAAAAATATTCATATTAGTTGTGTACAGGTTAGCGGGAGTAATAAAATACCAAAAAAAAATCAACAATCCTCCCCTTTCATTGCAGCACCTTAGTATCTTTAATGGTCTCAAAGAATCCAATGCAACGAGTCCCTTTCAAGTGCAATGACTCTTAAACAACTGATCTACTTACATTTTACTTACGGATTGGATTAGCGAGATCTGGAATAGGATTTCTAACTAACAAATTGGTCCCAGCTCAACACACCTTAGCACTCACTTCCCAGTGCTGTGTACAACACACACATACCCTCACCCCAGCACCAGCCTGTCTAATAATACTATACATCCAAACATCCTATAGCCTGTGTAATACAACCCTTTACTGCCCACACGCTGTGTATCACACACATCCCAGCATTTCCCCAATCCTGTGTGTTATACACACGAGCACCAATACACAGCACTGTGTACAACACACAGCAGCCACTTATCCACAGTCTGTGTAGAATGCACTTCTGCACTGCCCTGTCAGTATCTAACACACTCCAGCACTAACCAACACAGCCTTATCACAACCTCCTTAGCTTGGCTCTCACCATGGCTGCTGGCAAACTCTCTCAGTTACACCATAACAGGTAGAGAAACAAGGTCTGGGCTCCCTTACGTGGAACACAGCCCAGGTAAGTCACATCTAAAAAAAAAACCTGTAACACGTCTCACATTAGAGAGTTTTTTTTTGTTTCAGTGAGCTCCTGTCTCTCTCGACCACCAAAAAAAAACAGAGTATGCTAATACAGTAACTATAGATAACAATTGATTGGAAGATAATCTTGATGTGATAGCTCTCTCCTAAGGCTTCAGCACTGTTCACCTAAAAAGGGACAGGCTCTTAGACGAGGAAAATAATTGCAATGCAACAGCAGAATTTGCATCAAATTTCGCCTGGTCAAAAATAATAATAATAATAATAATAATAATAATAAAACCACCACGTTCTCTAACACAGGATTTTAAAACGAGGGGAAACAAAATCACATCCCGATTGACTGCTTCCCACAGATAAACAGATTGTTCATTTCCAGGTGAGGTTTGCAAAGGTCTGTCTAGTGATGGATGAATTGATTTCAACCCACAAAGAAAGAGAGAGAGAGAGAGACAGACAACGGATTTTCTGGTGGTAAAACGCCCATTATTCAACCCCAACCCCTTTAGGGAAGAAAAGATAGGGGGGGGGGGTGGGTGTGTATAGGGGGGAAATATGGAGAGGAAGGATTTTTTTTCCCCACCCCCCCAAATAAAATAAATAAATAAATGGGGTTTAAACTTGGGAACACAGGCAATTCGATTTAACATGAAACAAAGCAGATTTGATGTAAGTGAAAAGGGAACTGGGGAGGGGAGGGGGGGGGGGGTGTCTGGGGCTGAAACGTGCACAAGAGAGACTGTGAGATGGCAAATTTTATATTTCTCATTGAGGGAGGGAGGGAGAGAGAGGGGGGGAGAGACAGACAGAGAGAGAGAGAGAGAGAGAGAGAAAGCATTGTGTTGCCCTTGTTATAATAATCCTTGCCATCGAATAAGGTTTCCAACAGAAACAAAAGGTTCATTGATCGATTGCCCCCACACCCCCCCCCCCACCACCCCACACCCCCCCACCACCCCACACCCACCCCCCATTCACTCCCATTGGAGATTTAAAAATGATATATATATATTTTTTTAAAAAATACAATATACAGTTGGAGAAGGGGGAGAGAGAGAGAGAGAGAGAAAAAGAAAGAGAGAGAGAAAAAAGCCACATTATTTAATAATAATAATACTAATTAACCAATTTTTTTTTAATACCCAGTGGGTGGGTGGGTGGGGGGGAGGGGGGGGGTGTTATGAAGGGGAGATGCTGTTGACCAGCTGAGATAGCACCGAGTTGGGTGGGAGGGGGGGGGGGGAAGAGTGGAGGACCTGGTGGTACTGATGTGCCACAGACCTTTGTGCATCCCTGTGAAGCGGTCCTTGAGGATGGTCAACTCGTAGATCTTCCCGAACTCCTCGAAGAGCGGCTTCAGGTCGTTCTCCTCCAGGTTGCGAGGGATCTGGCCGATGAAGAGCTTGATGGCATCGTGGTCTTTCATGGGAGTCGGGCTCTGCTGCGGATCGGCACCGTTCATGGGCTGCTGCTGCTGCTGCTGCTGCTGTGGGGTTCGGTCCGCCTCTCGCAGTCTGGCCATCGCTGAAGCCACAGTGTAGAAGGCGCAGCCACTCACCTCTTAGCTCTGTGTGTGTGTGTGTGTCTGTCTGTCTGTGTGTGTGAGTGTATCAGAAAAAAAACCCACAGACTTCCTGTTTCAGGCTTATACGCCTCTCTATGGCTACACCAACCTCTTCCTTCTCTCTCTCTCTCTCTCTCTCTCCCCCTCCCTCCTCCCTCCTCTCCTTTGCTTTCTCACTCACTCACTCACTCTCTCTCTTCCATCCATCCCATCCCATCCATCCATCCATCCATCCAGTCAGTCTGGAGAAGCTGATCATGGATGTACATGACCCAATCCTCATTACGCACCCCCCCCCCCCCCCCACACACACACACACCCCCACACCACCCCCCACCCTGTGCTGAATTTCTGAACCGAACGCAAAAGCTTTTGCTCAAGAAAATTGGCAAAGAAAAAAAAATTTTTTTTGGTCAAAATAAATAAAAATGATAATTTCTGGCACTTTTTTTTTCCAAAAAAAACCCACCAAACCACACAACGGAAGAATTGGCCCGGGCAAAAGGAGACCGAGGTCCATCCGGTTCGCCTTCCACCAAATCCTGGCAGTGGCTCGACGTGTGGTTCTCCCGAACACGACCGCACGACACGAATTAAGCATACAATGGTTTAAACGTGTTAAGAACAACAACAACAACAACAAGATTCCATTTATAAAGAACAAGAACAACAACAACAACAAGAAACACATGACGGACACCGCTCGGAGAAATTGGTCGTCTCTCATTTCTCCCACAAAATACAGTCAACTCGTTTCACGGTTTATTCTGCGAAACGATTGTGAAACTATCGATTTCAAAGGATTATTATTAGCAAAACAGCTTTCGATTTGTTAAATATGGAGGGCCCCCAAAAAAATCAAATGAAATTTTAGAGGCTTCCCAAGTTATTTTTTGGGGGGGAGGGGGCGTCCTTTATTTTTGTTTAAAATATGTTCTTTCCCCTTCAATCCCAACCTCACACCAATGCTGTGGAGCAAATTCTAGATTTGCTTACTTTTTTAAAAAAAAAAAAAAATGTATATAAATTTACTGTGGGATAAGGTACAAGGGTTTAAGTCGTGCTTTCAAACAGGTGGAAAGAAAAGTGATAACGCTGTAAATAGATGATTGTGTGGGAGGTGGGGAATGAACATGAAATTAGAAAATACATTTCTAAAAAGCACATCTGATAAAAACTGAAACAAAATACCCCTCAAAATGCAAGTTACTGTACAGAACAAACAGCACGCAGCCGGTAAAAAAAACCACAATGAATCCTCCGTAATCTTGAAGGTCGGGCTGCATCAGGTCCCAAACAATGAGGACATTTTAAAGGCATCACAATCGGTTACTTTTCATTTCAGGGGGAAAAAAAAATGACATTTCTTTATCTCGCCACCAGAACTGCACAACAACAACTTGCATTTGTACAGCGCCTTTCACGTCACAAAACACGATAAAGCCACCGACTCCCGTTCGGTTTGAGCCAGGTCCCAGCATCTGGCATTTTCAAAGCAAAATGTTCTCGTGGTAAAATCATCCAACAAAGTTGCTGAAACGCGACACTGTGGCAAAGGAAATCAGCTGAACTTGTATCTTACAACCAGTACACTGCTTTGTTTTCCAGGGACATTTACTTTCCGATTGCATGAGGGGAAAAAAACAACTTGCATTTACATCGCGCCCTTCGCATAGGGTAATGTTTTTGAGTGCCTTAAACAGGCCATTCCACCCAACTAGCTTGTGCTCGTGTTTACAGTCCAGCCTCCATATATCCATCCATTGCCTTCTCTCTCTCTCCTCTTAAATACATTGATGTCTTTTTCCTTCAACCACAGCTTTTGTGCAGCAAATTCCTCTCCGTAAAGAAGTTTCCCCTGAACTGAATCTAATTAGGGGTCGTATTATATGCCCCCTTGATTTGGACTCGCTAGCAATTGAAAGCAACCAATCATTCAACTTAAATCCTTTGATAATCCTTAATATCTGTATCTCAAACATCTTCTCAATTTTCTCATCTCCAGAGAGAAAAGATCCAACCTGTACAATCTTTCTTGATGGCTATATCCACTCAATTCAGGTAATCAAATGGAATGATCATTATTATTATTATTATCATCATCATCATCCTTGTAAATCTTCGCTATACTCTCCATGTTGCAGTACCTATATGTAATATGTCAAAGAATGCATCAAAATAGATTTTAGCCACTGGTAAATAAGTTTGATTCTCAATATTTACGACTTGACATAACCTGCCCCCTGGAGAGAACTGTCTGTCTCTGCCTGCGAAATACACATTTACAGCAGAGCAGAGTTTAATGTTACTAAACAGGCAGGGACGTTAAAAAAACAAGTAATTAAGCGACATTAAAAACATCCAACCGCAGCAATTCAGTTCTGTTTTATTGTACATTTATGCAAAGGAATTCAGAAGATACCTTTTAAGTTTCGCTAAATTGCTATAGTTAATTTAGTTTATGAACAACACCACATTAACAATGGAACACAATTTAGTCATGCATCCCGTTTCTTACGAGTCACCACACTCCACATAAATGTAATAAGCACTGACAGAGAGAGATTAATAGATTAGAATGATTATAAATCAAGGTGTAATAGTACTGTGCTGGCACTTTAACGAGGAAGTGGATGGCATGCATGGTATTCTTTGTAAAACTGGAAGCAACAACACACTCTTTCCTCTGTGTACGCGAAAGCGTGGGTGAACAGTCGACAGAGACCAGAGAACGAGAATGAAAAGTCTTCCCGCAATAGCTTTTAAAAAGGTGATCAGACAAATGTTTCAAACAGGAAAAATATGGGGTAAAGGGTATGGATGGATAAAGGCAAGAGAGTGGGATCAAATGGATAGCTCTCACACACACCCACACACAGAGAGTTGGCATTGGCACAATGGGTCGAATGGCCTGCTTCTGTTCTGTACAATTCGACGATTCCATTACCCCAAATCAACCAGAGCGGGACAGAAGATAACCGGATTCAAGGACAAGGATTCACAACAGATTCTCCCCTCTCTGTCCTCTCCCTTCCCTTCAAGTACAGAATCAGCCCGCCCTCAGTCTCCCTTCCTCCAAAAATCTGGAGGTCTGGGGCCAATTCACAATTCATTCCGTCTTCCCTCCCATTCTTTCAGCGCAAAAACTCCACCTAGGTTTCACAAAATAAACTACTCACAAATCAACTGTAAATTAGTCAACTAACAAACCATTCTCTTTGAAACTTAACAGACGCAAGAGGATGAAATGGATCAAGAGGCTTCCATCCACCAGAATCAATCGAGAGAATCAATCTTTGTGTAAGTGTGTACTTCGATGCTGGAACATTTGAAGCAAAATGTTCCTTTCAGTTAAAATGATTTGCAACATATCTGGTCACCATTTTCATACAAAAAAACAAATTTTGCTTCTTTATGATGAACTCAAAATGAAGTTGGATGTTCAAAGGTCTCACGACACCATTCAAAAAGAGAAGGGGGTTTCTTCAGTATGCTCTTGCCTAATAACCCTCAGGATTAAAATAAGATTAAATTGGTCATTCACTTCATGTGACCATTTATGGGCCGCTGATGTGGATAAATTGGCTGCTACATTTGCCTACATATACACAGCAACTACACTTGGCAGGATTCCCTATGAAGCACTTTGAGACATTTCAAAGTTGGTCGCTAAAATCAAAGGCAAGGATGAATAAATTGACAGCCATGAAAAATGGCTCATTTCTACAGAACAGTTTTAGAATCACATTTGACAGGGTACCCAGTTCTCTAAAGACCACTTTACAAATCATGAATAAGCATTCTAATCACATCACCTGCTTTCTCCGGCACCCAGAAACCACAGGGCAGTCACTGCTTTGTAGGATCATTTGTCACGTGTACAGCACAAGGACACATCGAAAGTTGACAAATAGACTGAAATGAATGGAGTGTCAGATGCTTATTACAGATTAGATTGGGAGCTGCCTTGTGGCCCAGTGAGTAAAGGCAACATCCAGTACAGCGCTGAGCCCTACAGAACATAATGGTTGCTGGTTCCTGCTGTGTGTCGAGTTCATCGACATCAGCTAGGGTAGGATTTGCGAAGGCTTCAGGTGGGTGGCCTCAGCACGCTCAATGCAAACATTCCCTGTGCGCTACAGTTCATTCCTTCTTTGAATGCAAGGCTAGCTGAACCCTAACGACAAGGTGTACAATCCTCTCTTCCCCCCCCCCCCATCTCACTCTTTTCCTCCCCTCTGAATACAAACACTTGTATCTCTCCCTCTCCACCCCATCAACTCAAGCCAATATCACACAAGCCCAGGAATTTATAGACTTACCACAGTGCTAATGTGCCCTTTCAGACCAGCCTTCACTCACTTGGAAGAAATGCTGAGCTTTCTCAGTTGGGAATACTGAGCACATTGGCAATGACTAGTTACCATCAACAGCAAATTACCTTTGCGTAGCACCTTTTAAACCACACTCACAAGGTATGTTACTGGTCTGTAGTCTGTGCCAATCACCCGACACTAGCATACCTCATTACGAAAGACACAAGGAATACTATCCCTCTTTATGCAGGTTGTTTGAAGTGTCAAATTTTATTATACATATAATTTACAATAGTGCTTTTAAAAAGATAAGCACGTTACTTAAAAATCCATCCAGCCAGTGCTTCCATTCCCAAGTCTTGCTCGTCCACTTCCTGGTGCAGCAGAGCAGACTCCCTGCTGACCCAAGAGGCCATTGCCTCCACCTCCGTAAGGTAACTGGGATTTTTAACAAAAAAGAGCAAATAAGATAAAGGTTTATAAACAGACAGCGCACGACAGTGTGAGAATCCCAGCATACGACTAGCAGCATTGAAACACAAAAACGTTTCAATTTACCGCTGTCAAAATAAAACAATTAGAAATACTATATTCGTAACAGTCATTGCGGAATTTTCCAAATACAATAATTTGTATTTATAGATCACCCTTCACGAGGGGTTGCGTCAGAGCACGGAGAAACGCAGGCGCGAGTGACATGGATTCGCCCGACAGGGTTGAATAAGAATTCCCTGCTTTGAGCCTGGCTGGTCAAAAGAGTGAGCTGACCTGCAGTCATTAGCTCCAACTGCATCAAGTCCACAGCTTCCCCTTTGATTTACAGGCAATGACTAAATCAATGTTGGCTTCGAGACGTTTAAATTAAAGTTAAGCCGTGCGCGCGACCATGGTGAATGACCAGCTGCGGCTTCACTTTGTGCGGCTGTTACAGGATCAATCTGGAGTAATATCACTAGTGTTGGGTGGGTGTGGCTGTGACCACATCTGACCACTTCCTCCAATTTAGGTTTAGCCCAGACAATTGGTAACAATTCCTTCAAAAAAACTAAAAATAATAAATTGGTCATTCAATCCACGACTGTTTATGGGACACCGTTGTGTGCAATTGGCTGCTGCATTTTGCCCACAAAATATACAGTCAATTCACTTTACAGTATCTTCTGTGAAGAGCTTTGAGACGTCTCAAAGGCATAAGGCAAGCGCTTTATCAAATGCAAGGATTATTATTATTAACAGAAAAATTATTTCTATTGGTTGATGAGTCAGTAACTGGAGGAAATAAATTTAAAATCGTTACCGAATAAACAAAGGGAGAGGTTAGGAGTTTTTTTTAATATATATTATTATTTACACAGAATGATTAGGACATGGAATGACCTACAAAAAAAAGGTAGGTTTTGAAGCAGAAACCATTAGCTTTTAAATGAGAATCAGTCAAATAATAAACGAGGAGGAAAAATTACGAATGTTTTTGGAGAAAATGGCAGAGAGTGGGAGGAAATGGATAGATCTTTTAGAGTTGGCACAGGCACGATGGGCTGAACAGCCCCCTTCTGGCCTGTAAAAGTCTATAATTTGTGTACTCTCACTCCTATCACGGCTGCATTTCATTCTGTCACCTCCAATCACAGAGGCAGAGGATTCTCTGCAAAAGACTTCAGGCTTGCTACAGATCCCGAGTGCAGGATAGGGACAGAGGGCCTTGGGCATTAAACTGCACATCAGCACAAATAGTTTTTTGAAGGTCACTAAATCAGGGTTATTGGTCTAAAAAACAGATTTTTGGGTAACATCAGAGTTTTTATATTTTCGATACTCCCCAAGGCTCCGCACCCGACTCTTGTCAGAGAGAACAGGGATTATTGAGGCCCTCTATTAATTACCTCAGAGCCCCAGCAAGTCATCATCGGTCACTAGAAGAATTATAGCCCTGGGAGAGCCATTAGCATTGCTGGAAGCAAGATTTCTGTAGACGCCTCATCAAGCATTCAATTTCTAAAATATTATCCTTAATATTTTTTTGAAACATTGCTAAAATGTCTTTCTTATCAGGACAGCATTTTCTTCCCACAGGATTGCAGACCCACACCAGAGATCTTCCATAACAATATTACATTAATATAGCTTCTTTCACGTCAAGAGGATGTCCCAAAGCTCTGGACAGTCGAGGCTCTGCACCCGAGCTGGGGTTTGGGATCAGGAGGGGTGGAGTGCAGGGGTAGGAGAGTGGCCTAAGGCGTGGTTGAAAAGGAGGTTCTTGAGACAGGCCTTGAAGGGGGCAAAGGGAGGGGTCCAATTTCAAGTCTCTTCATTGAAGAGAGAGGAAAAAAAACTACAAAGGTTCCCAGCTCAGTTGGTAAAGCCATGACTCAGAGTGAAACTGAGCTAGATGAGCCAGGTTATTTCCAGGTTCAATTCATTGTACTAAGCTACTGAATCCCAAATTTGGACCTCAAACAACAATAAAAAAAAAGCAATAATAAATCGTTCATTTTCAATCCACAGCTGTTTGTGGGACACTGCTGTGCGCAATTGGCTCCCGCGTTTCGCCAACAAATATATAGTCAATTTACTTTACAGCATATTCTGTGAAGCGCTTTGAGTTGTCTAGAAGACGTGAAAAGCGCTATATCAAATGCAAGGATTATTGTTTTTATAATTAAACAATTGCTGTTTTTAGAGCTTAGCTTGTAATTAACAGAAACTAAAGGAGAAGCATCCGTACCTCTTGATCTTGACCTCAGTCTTTGTCGCAAGCTCTCTAAGATCCTTAATCCCAGCCAAGGCCTCGTGATTCTCAGTGCTGGTTCCCAGTCCAAATCCGTCTAGAATCCCCTTTGTCACCTTCAGGAAAGACTTTAATTGCTCTAAAAAGATCAACGTCATCAGTAAGAATCAACCATCATCAATGTTGGTCACTCTTCTGTTTGCTAAGAAACATGAGGGCCTGTGACCTATTGTACCAATGTACTTTATTCCTCTCTCCCAGAGCCAAAACCCTCAATGCCTCTATCCCCCCAACGTCTGGTTCCTTGATGCCATCTCTCCCCAAAGCACTGTAATGAATGAAAATGCTTGTTCAGATGGACGTGAAATAATATACATTCTGCATTCAAAGCAAAACTTGCTACTGTAAAATGATCACGAAAGATTAACACTATTGGAAAGAGAAGGGAGTTTCTCCCACATCCTAGCCAACAATCCTTCAGATAAATTTTGTCATTTACATCTACGCTGTTTGTAGGACCTCACTATACCCAAATTAGCTGCCGCAATTGCTTAGAGATATACAATCACTTTGCTTGGCAGCAAGTACCTTTCAGTATAGGCGCCGTTTCAAAAGCAAGATTTATTTACTATTTATTTTCTTTAAGCAGATTATGCATATTGCTCATTATAAAAGGGAAAGGTGAAAGCCCAGACACAGCATAAGCTTTGAGGAACACGGAAAACCGTACAGCATTCAAACATTATTCTGCATCAACGAAAATTTATGAGAAGTTTTGACTGATGTCAAGTTAAATCAATGCATCTGAAAAGCCTTAGAGAAAAGCTCGCTTCCTGAGTCAAGTCCCTTCCATGACTCAGCCTATTGGAGGGACATAGACTAGAAGGTCAGCCAAGATCTTTTTTGCTTCCCCCACCCAAAAAATTACACATTTCAGCCATTGGAGTCCTGTAGCTCAGTGGTTAGAGCACTCGCTTCGCAAGCGAGAGACCTAGGTTTGATTCCCGGCAGGTTTGGTCAAGTTTCCTTATTCCACACAACTGTTTACCTAGCAGTGAGTAGGAACCTGATTGTTAGTCGTTTGGCGGATTGCTTATCCGGGGGTAATAATCCCTTCAAAACAAAAATAAATTTTGAAAAAATAATAATTTGGTCACTCATTACACGACTGCTTGTGGGTCAATGCTGTGCACAATTAGTTGCTGCGTTTCGCCCACAAAATATAGCCATTCACTTTGCAGTGTATTCTGTGAAGCGCTTTAAGACGTCTCAGACGTTATTTATTATTATATTCACCACAAGCATGACAGCCAATGCACAGTGGACAAGACGAACAGCCTCAGTCATGGAGGGCAAAGGATGCACAATTCTCAAAGTTCCTTGAAATGACCAGTGAGTTAGACGAGCAACACCGTACTAGCCGTTGTGATTTGTCAGTAAAACACGTGCAAACATACCCAAATACTCCCTTGTGCCTCCAGGGATTAAAATGTTCTTAGTCTGAAGGCTGTGACGAGTGACATCGAGGGCCTGTCCCAAGGCTTTGTACTGGCCTCCGAACAGCTGGACCTGCCTCACCACCTCGCGCAGAATCTCCATCTGCAATTAGAGCCAAACTGTCAATTTGGAATCCACGATGCGACTTCATACTCAAAGAACAAATAAACGTACAGAAGATTATGAAATGGAGGATTAAAACAGAAAAACAACAACAACAAATTACACTTGTATGGCGCGTATCACGTCGGAAAGACGTTCCAGGGCGCTAGACAATCAGGGGTTTGGGATTGGATTACAAGGGAATCAGCAAGCATTTCTGTGCACTCCCATTCTCTTCACTCATTTCCTACCTAGTCTGTTAACTGTTCCTATCCCTCGCAACAACAACATGCATTTATAATAGCAACTCCTCACACAGGGTAGCATCCTAGAGCGCTTGATAGTGGCGGAGCATGATGCAACATTGCTTGCCTTATGCTTCCTAAGTACCCCCACCCTCTGAAACTCCATCCCACATTCCCTTCGCCTCGCTTCCTCGCTTGCCTCCTTCAAGACATGCCTCAAGACCCTCTTCTTTGACAGTGGCTTGGGTCACCCTCCTATCTTCTCTGCCCTCCACCCTCCCTAATTCCAACCCCCCACCCCATACACTCGGGTCCTAATCCCTAATTGTTCAGCATCTTGGGACATCCTCCCAACGTGAAAGGCGTTTTACAAATGACTGACTTCTCCTAACCAATAAGGAAGAATGAAGGACAACTTATTTTCCCTTTCATTCTAGGCCACATCGTGCCAAGACAGGAGGCCAATGCTGGGGTAAAGAGGCTAGGGTCGGGGAGCAGTGAGACTCGTACTCACTTGCTGATCCATCAGTTCACAAAGCTGCCTCTCTTTTTCCCGTAGGAGCTGATCTTGTTTGGGATGGAACACTTCCCGTCTCAGGAGCTCATTTTCCTCTTCGATCAGCAGCAAGTTCCGCTCCGCCTTGTCCTGGTATTTAACCAAATTCTCCTCCCTCTGTAGAGTCGACAGCAAAAGAGGGATCATTCACAGCCACAGCAGCAAAACTGAACACTACTCTTCAATACGCAACCCGTCGTGTTATTTCTATTTAAGTTGTTTAACTTAAAGCGCCCACAGGCGCTTTTTAGAGACACAAAAGGAGTTGGGATAGCAGAAGCACATGTTTCTGCAACATTTCATTTCTCTCTCACTTTTCTCCCCCTTATTGCCATATGCAACCCTTTCAAATCACACTTAAGCAAAGAATCAAAATAAATTGCACGTCTGAAGTGATAGTGCGCACGTGCGGTTGTGCGAAGATGTCAGCTTACCATGACAGCCATGTACATGTAGAGGATTGCGTCAAACTCCAGCTGCTCAATTGCATCTGCTTCAGACATGGGACAGAGCTGGACAGGAGCAACAAATGCACAAAAGGATTCTTTAGTCAAATTGTAGCACGACTGGATGACAAGCTTTGTCAAAGAGAGTCCTCAATAACACTGTCACAGACAAGTTATTCCTTACTATCATTTGTAATATTAAGTGGCTGATATATTTCATATTCAAACTTAAACCAATTTCAAATCCATCCAGTTCTTTTGTTATATTTTTATAAAATAGGTTTCAATGTTGCATGCTCCAGCATGGAAATTGCAGACATTCCTTCAGCTTGTTTTACCCTCACCCCACAAGGGGAACACATTAGATACCTTTGCAAATTGTGCGACACATCAATAATGATCACCATAGCTATATCCAGAATTTTGAAGGACACTAGCATATGTAAAACAATTTAGGAACATTGATCAAGGGCATATAAGCGTCAACGCCCTTTGCTGCTCATACGAACAATAGTTACTCTAAGGTTATGCAACAGATACTCAATCACAAGTTACAAGTTTCTTACCGAGGTTTCCAATATGGACATTGTATTTTCTGGGTTTCTAATTTCTGTAGATTCACCTGAGGGCACAGAAGAGTACAGCAGATAAGAAACACCTGGCATTTATACAGTACCTTTCACGTGAAAATGTCTTGAAGCGCTTTACAGAATGAGATTAATGAAGCAAAATGTTGCGGTGAGGGCAGGTGATTTGTTGCAGTAACATTCCACAAACAATGGGATGAGTAGTGAAGCAATTCGATTTTGGGGGCAAAATTAGATGAAAGATTATTAATGACCAGCCCGCCGTATTCAATCCATTCTTGTCCATTCCCCTACACATTAGAATAGCTAGAGCAGCAAGCTTTCTGTCAATGATGAAACCGAGAGAAGACCTTCAGATGAAACATGCAATCTGACAAGAATATTTTTTTAAAAAAAAAACTTACTCTGTACAAAGGACAGATCCCAGTTTGGAGGCAGCATACTTTCCTCAAGCCCCGTAGAGTGCAGCTTCAGAGTCTTTCTCGCTTTGTTCAGTTCTGTAGAATTTAATAAGGACAGAGTTGGAGGTTTACAAGAACAACATGGCACTTATTATAGCACCTGTCATGCAGGGTATCTCAAAGAGCTTCACAGAGATGAAATGGGAACCTGAGCAGGGTGGGGAGACAAAGGGTGACCTAAGGCACAATCAAAAATTATGTTTTTAGAAAGATGGAACTTGTGTAGCAACAAACTAGGAATGCCTGCAAGGGGAACATGAGAGAAGTCAAATCTGCAGGTGGTGTAAATTAGGGTTTTGGTTGAATTATGTACAAGTTATATTGGGTGTAATCCTGGTGAGGAACAAGGTGCAAATAATTATGGTTAGGAACTAGTTGCAAGTCTTTTCTCCCCTCCCTCAGGGCTCCAGCTAACATCGGTCAGATTTGACAAAGAACAACAGGGACAGGTGATAATCTGATGGCATCAAATTTGTGCTAGGGTTAAATTAAAGTCAAATGAGAAGCGCCCACATGAGGGGTGCAAGCCATCACCCCACAGATTCATTTGTTTTTATAATTACAACGATCCTTTCCTGAGAGGGATCATTGAACCAAAAGTTGCTGTTTGACCTCAGGAAGCGACAAATCATAATTGAATAATCAATCAATATAATTTTACTAATCGTTGAGTGAATAAAGCAGGAAAAATCTTGTTCCAATCAGTATAATTGATCTTAAAAAAANCCTCTTCTGCTTCTATAATTGGTTGAATTATTGATCCCTTGGTTATAGCTACTTACTTTTCAGCCCAAATCCTGAACTTGTCACAGAAGCCTGTTCAAGAGAAACACACTTCAGGTTACGTTCAGTTATAGTAGCACCAGCTCCAAGCCTCTAGTTATTGCTCTCAGCATTCCACAAAGGCATATTTAAAACATTTTAACTCACAAACATCAAGTTATTTCTTTGCAAAAATCAGAATTTTGGGGGTAGGTGGTGGGGGAAAGAAACAAGTTATTTGGAAGGACTTTCAGGAGAAAGCAGGAGATATCTCCACTTACTTTGCTGTGCATTTTCTTTTCTGTGGTTGCCGATTCCATAAATCTAGAGGGAACCTCTCGTGGGCCTGTAAAGGATGGAAAGAGTTGTGTAGATTTGTCCCACACACCTTGCAAGACAACTAGCAGCAGTTTGGTAGGCATCAACTAAATTCTTTCCTACCCTTTGACTTCAGTTTTGTGATAGTTTCCTCCAAAGATGACGCTCTGAAAGAACAAATTCCTCAGTTACACTGTATTAATTGTGAATGCAGTTGAATTTGCACGACTTGTTGGAAAGCTTATCTTATGCAGTTTTGCCTCCTGAATTTTACGAGCCTTTTCACAGCCAACAAATTGCAGTCCCAAAAGCAAAAATACATCTTTTTAATGATGAATTTCAACTGCCAAAATCAGCATGGGAACAACCTGTTCCAACATTTCCATCCTTCATTGTTGGGGTGGTCGAAGACAGCACTGCATAGCTCTATTGAGCTTCACTGCTATCACTGGATGCAAAACAGAGGAATAAAATATTCAATTTCCCAGGACTATCAACTCGCCACTCGATAAGTGCAAAGTTTAGCATCATTTCAAGACTGATTTATTAAATTGTTTTTCTTACTGAATCTCGTAAAACACCCCGGCTATGCTCATCTTAGCTAAGGGTTCAGACAAAATGCAGGAGCTGCAGAGCTGGGAGCCAAGGGCACATTGAGAGTGCAGCAGCTGATTAAAGCAGCCACAGACCAATAATCAGAGACACAGTGGCTGACCTTTCTCAAAGTGTACTTGAAAAAGATTCCAATTGCTAAGACACAGGGAGAAAGACTTTCCAACCTTGCCTTGTGATACCACATATCCCCTTTAAATGCAGCGGCCAGGATATTTTTTGGGAGTGGGTACAGGAAGGTGGAAGTAAAACTTGTCATAACATCTCTCCCATTTCCAATTGTTCTTCAAAACAAATCACTCTCTGCAACAGCCAGACAAATCCAGCAGCCATGCAAATAGCAGCATCACCTCTCATTTGCCATCTCATCCCAAGAAACACTCACATAATCAAGAGCCAATTAGCAAGAAGAATCAGTGCACAGAGAGACATGTAGCTCCAGTACTTACAATCTTGATCCTTCACTGTCTTCTGCAGATGCTGTAAATAAAATTAGATTACATTAATAATATACTGCGGTCACTCCTCTGAGCAAGCAAGGACACAGAATTGAATCGCTCAATGACAGTCGTGTACAATAACATCTTGCAATGACATACAATGATATAGCAACTTTCACAAAGGATGAATGTCTCGAAGCTCTTCACTTACACTTTGTGCGAGAGGAGTTTGTGGAGTTAGTACCATCTCGCTGCACGAGGCGCTGGAACAGGCCACGCTGGCACACCCTGGGCTTGGCTGGACTGCGTGTTGGATGTGGCCCCCGACCAGATGCCCCAAGTGATGTCACGGTTGCAATAGATGAATGCGTAGATTGACTTAGATCCGGCGTACTTTTAAAACTCTTAAGCAATCTAACCAGGAGAAAACACAGCAGTCAGGATGACAAGAAGTCAGAACAAATACACTCATGGGGCAATCCAGTATTCAATTCTGCCCTGGATTTAAACTATGTAATGCCGTATTTAATAGGGGTAACAAATAGATATGTGCTGATTCTATCTTATATTGGAATTCTCTATTCTAATCCCATTCCACTGCTCCTTTCTTCCATCCCCCTTCTAATGTCTGGTACTAGCTTGCTCAACAACAACTTGCATTCATATAGCACCCCTCGTGCAGGGCATCGTCCCAGACCTCGATAGTGGGGGAGTACGTCGCCGAGCCAGGGAGAGGTACGTCGAAGAGGAAAGTCTTCAGTTGCAATCTGCAGATAGGGAAGGAAGTAGCAAGGTGGAGGGATAGAAGAAGAGTGTCCAATTGGAACTATCTACTCAAATCCTAATGCACTGCTCTTTACAAGAATGTAAAGCAAACAATAATTTGTCAGTCATTCACTGCTTTCCAAGTTATTTTTGTACATTGCTATGTGGGCTAGTATAATTGCTCACCAAGCACCACCCAGTGAAGTGGGGCCAGTTTTCCAATGCGATACTCACGTGCTTGGGTCTTTGCCATCTTCAGTAAAAGCTGCAATGTAAAGAGCAGTGCGTTACACTTTATCATACCACATAAAATATCAGATGCAAAGTGTTTGTTCAATAAAATTGAAGCAAAAAGCAAATCTTTGTCTCATAGCTCTGGTGAAGTTGTTTAAATGAAGAAAACTTGCACAGCATCTGATGTAATCACTATTTGAGAACACTCCAATGTGAAAATAAAATCATGGATTTCAGAGGTGAGCGAATACATAGAGTATGGTTGTGTGTGTGTCACTCTCTCTTTCTCTGATCCTGTACACATCTGGATCAGATTTCTTCTGGTCACTCTGGGGGAATAAAATCACACTATATTTCCCCAACATCTTCACCAAACTTCCTTTCAGATTGGAGCCCCAATGTGGAGTTGTAGGGACAATGCACAACTAGTGTTCTATTGTAACCTGTGGCTTTTACATACATCTTTATTAGGACAATGAGGATCACCAAGCACAAAGGAAAAGAAGGGAGCTTATAGGTGTTAAGTTGAAGGCACAGTAAAAAGAGAGATTTTATAAAAGACTGAAAGAGAAGGCAAAGGGAATTTGGAAGCGAGTTTCACAGCGGGGGCACATTAACCGAAGGCTCGGCCACCAATAGGGGGTAAGCAGGAGTGTGCAACAAGAAATCAATATAGAAGAAAGGAGGCACAAAAAGAAAACAAAAAAACATTGAATTCTAGTTACACCAACCTTTCAATCCAAAGGAATTCCTCCGAACAAGCTTACCAGTTGATTGTGTCAGCTTCTGTTGGGAAAACAACGTTGAATCACCACTAGCAGAGTTCTGATCAGACTCAAATCGCAGGTGTTTGCCACTAAGTAGGTTGGTAGCACTCTTGGAGACACTGTGGGAAAAAAACATGGCGATTCTTCAGTGCAATACAAGCAGCATCCCCAGCTGCCTGGTTAAAAACATTTGCTTCAGTGGTGAGGTGGGATGGAAAGTTTCCATGGAATCATCTGAACAAACAGTTGAGAGCTTAGTTTTAAGCAGTTTGAGACGCTATTCCACATGAAAGGCTCAACGTAAATGGTTGTTTATGTCTCATCTGAAATGGCATTGAATGAAGTGCAAGTAGTGACTCAGTCTTTCCAGCGCCTTGGGACGTCCTCCCGATGTGAAAGGCACTATACAAATGCAATTTTGTTTTTGTTGTTGTAGTGACATCCTAGATTTTGAGCTCAAATCCACAAATGCGGCTAGAACCCATAATCTTCTAATCTGAGGTTAGTGTTACTAACTGAGTCGCACTGATTAAACCTATGTGAAGAAATTGCAGCTGAAGTACAAGAATTCTAACTGGAAAAGATTTCAATGGAAGGACACAGGAGAGATGTTCTGCTGGCAAGACTGCATTCTGCCACTAGAGGCTACAAGCACCTTGTACAGCAGTGATGAAAATAACAACAAAGTTAGTCTAAAAGCTGAAGAAAAGGAGAATATAAAAGTTAACACAATAGTTAAAAATTAATGTAAAAGTTGGACAAAAGTTAATATAAAGCTAGGGGAAATAGGTTAAAGATAAATAAAATAATAATAATTTTGGTCACTCATTCCACAACTGTTTGTGGGACACTTCTGTGTGCAAATGGCTGCCTCATTTCACTCATCAACAACTTGCATTTACACAGTGCCCCTCACGCAGAGTAGAGTCCCAGATCGCTCGAGAACAACAAAATGACATTTGTATAGCGCCTTTCATGTCGAGAGGACATCCCAAGGCGCTGGACGGACAGAGTTTCGGACCCGAGCTCGGGGAGGGTGGAGGGCAAGGGGGGAAAGCAGAGAGATCGAAGGCACAGTCGAAGAGGAGGGTCCTGAGATGGGTCTTGAAGGTGGCAAGGGAGGGGGCGAGGCGGAGGGACTGTGGGTTGGAGTTCCAGAGGGTGGGGCAGTGTGGCAGAAGGTCCGCCCGCCAATAATGGGGCGAGGGATGTGAAGCAGGCCGGAGCCCACTGAGCGGAGGGAACGAGCAGGATGCAAGGAGATTAGGAATTCTAATCCAACCTGAATTAGTGGCAGAGCACGACACCGAGCCTGGGGGAGTGTGTGTGTGCGTGTGGGGTGGGGTGACCATAGCCACAGTCAAATAGGAAGGTCTTCAGGTGCGGACCTGAAGATGGGGGAAGGAAGAGGCAAGACGGAGGGATAGAGGAAGAGTGTTCCAGAGTTTCAGGGGGGCAGTGGCTGAAAGCACAGCCACCAAAGGGCACGGGGGGACATGCAGGAGGCTGGAGCCAGTCAAGCCCACGAGATACTATATCGTCATTTCACCTTAACAACAACATTCCATCTACAGAGCGCCTTTCACATCGGGAGGACGTCCCAAGGCGCTGTACAGTTGGGTCAGGACCCGAGCAGGGGGGAAATGGTCAGGGTGAGGAGAGGGAAGGGAGGGAGCGAGGAGGGGGTAGAGAGTCGAGAGGGGAGCCGAAGGCACGGTCAAAGAGAAAGGTCTTGAGACCGAGGAAAGGGAGGAGGCGGCGAAGGCACTGGGGGATGGAGTTCCAGAGCCTCGGGGCTGAGAGGCTGAAGGCCCGGCCACCGATGGTAGGGCGGTTGGGGCGGGGGATGTGGAGCAGACCGGAGCCAGAGGAACGGAGGGTACGGGCAGGTAGAGAGGGGGATAGTAGGTCGGAGAGGTAGGAGGGAGCGAGGCCGTGAATGGCCTTGTAGGTGAGCTTGGAACAGTATGTTCTGTGGAAGCTCTTCGAGACACGGCGAAGTTGCGACAAGGCACTATATCAAATGCAAGGATTATTATTACTATTATTTTTTTATATATCAGTGGCCAAGAGAGTTAGTTGCTGCTTGGGCTCTCCCACTCCCTCCCACCCGTTGCTAGGCAACCAGCAGCCTTCGCCTCCCCAAACTCTCCCACCTTCCCTCGCCAGTCCAGACCCCTCGCCGAGAGCATTCAGCGTCTTAATGCCGCCCACTCCGGGGCTCTGCTGAGGTGAGGGGAGGGGAGATGAGCGACACCGCACTCACCTGATGCTCCTGCGACCTCGCGCCGCCATCTTTAGTTCAAATCGCGGACCGGCCCCGCGCGCGCGCGCGCGAAATACAACCGCCGCCCTCACCGCTTTGTCCCGCCCTCACGCTGCTCCCCCATTGGTTATACCACGCGCGACCGCACGCCGTGCTCCTTCCTCGTTGGCTGCTCTTTGACGTCAATCATCGCAACCCCGCCCCACACACACACACGCACACCCTCCCCTCCGCATTCACCTCCTGACGGCTCCGCCTCCTCCTGTCCACTCTCTCAGCCGATTGGTCCACCTACCGCCTGCTGCTGCTCGCATACGGGATTGGCTCATAGCCATGTCAATCAGAAGAGCAATCAGTTACCACCCACTGCGCGCATGCGTGTCCGTTCCTGTTTCCCCCCCCCCCCCCAACACAGACTGACTGACAGTTGGGATCTAAATAATTTCGCAACTCGAATTTTAACGCATGGGTGTGGGGGGGGGGGGAGGAAGGTACATTTGCAGTCGTTAAATAGCGCATTACCCCCTCTGTTGTCTACTCTGAAATTTATTCGAGGTTCGTCAACAAACCCATCAGAGAAAAAGATTGCCATAGGCTTCATCCATTTCAGTCAGGCGTTTGGGAGGGACAGCCAAGCCGCCCGCTGGTTGAGTGACAGCCAAGCCTGCCATACAGAAGATGCCGCGGGCTCCCGACAGCCAATCCGCAGGGGGCTTTGGGGGCGGGATCATCATCAAGACCCCCCCCCTCGCGCTCCACCTCTCCAACCGACAGGAGTGTGTCCTCGCAGCGCCTGAAGGACCCCGGGTGCCAATAGCAAGCGTGAGTGAGTGTGTGTGTGTGTGGGAAGCGAGCGGTGTCGGGTCTGGTTTAGGCGAAGGAAAATTACACTTTATTTTCGTATCGAAAACGACGTAGCCGGAGTCCGGAGATGTTCGAGGAAGCGAGCGAGGTGTTCGACAACATGTTCAAGGGTTCCTTCCCCCTGACTTTCATCGTCTTCATCCCGGCCGTGTTGCTGCTGGTGTCGCCGCTGCCCACAGAGGCTGCCCACGAGTTCACCGTCTACAGAATGCAGCAGTATGACCTGCAGGGACAGGCGTATGGTGAGTGCTCCTTGGGGTGACCATATATTCTACAGGGTCTCAAATACCATGGGGTTAGGGTGACCATAAACTCTATAGGGTCTCAGATACCATGGGGTTAGGGTGACCATATATTCTACAGGGTCTCAGATACCATGGGGTTAGGGTGACCATATACTCTACAGAGTCTCAGATACAATGGGGTTAGGGTGACCATATACTCTATAGGGTCTCAGATACCATGGGGTTAGGGTGACCATATATTCTACAGGGTCTCAGATACCATGGGGTTAGGGTGACCATATACTCTACAGGGTCTCAGATACCATGGGGTTAGGGTGACCATATACTCTACAGGGTCTCAGATGGTGACCATATACTCTACAGGATCTCAGATACCATAGGGTTAGGGTATTTTTTTACAGGTTCACAACAACTTGTATGTAGCACCCTTCACGCAGGGGTAGTATCCTGGAGCACTTGACAGTGGCTCAGTCTGACACCAACCCAGGGGGAAGAGGGAGGAGGTGACCGTAAGCACGAGCCAAAAAGTAAGGTCTTTATATATGAGGGTCTCAAATGTATGACCATATTTTGTAAACCAAATCCGGGGACACACGTGTATATCGGCATCGTGCTCCGCCACTGCCAAGCGCTCTGGGACGCTACCCTGATGAAGAGCGCTATATCAATGCAAATTGTTATGTAAAATCTATTGAATTCACCACAATTCCTCATGCTGGCAGTGAGTGGAGAAGCTTGTTGGATTAATGGCTGCATTAATGGCTCTGACATCAGTGTTATTGTTCTTGTTCAGTTTGTTGCTGAACTCAAGACAGGGCAAATTTGGTACCAGGGACACACAATACCTCACCTGGGGATGTCCCCGAAATTGGGGGACATATGGTCACAATACAATTTGGGTTGGGCCGTCTGCTGTGTCTGCCTCGTTGCATCATCAACATCTCCCAAGCGCTTTGCACAACAAGGTATTGTCAGTTTGGTGCTCTTGCCTCTGGGTCAGAAATCACAATAGAATGATAATCCTTGCGTTTGATAATACATATAAGATATCAAAAAAAAATTCTTGAAATGGTTTGCCGCCTGTGTGTTTGTTGGCAAACCTGGTAGCCACTTAGCACACAGCCAGGTCCTACAAACTAGCAATCAAGTGAATGACTAATTTACCTGGCAGATTGTTGACCAGGACACTGGTAAGTTGTGGATTCAAGTCCTATATCAGGATTTTAAGGTCACAGTCTGGAGTGATGCTCCAGTGCACTGCTGGGGGAGTGTCACATATTTCAGTGATTCCATCCTTGAGATGGGATGTTAAACTAAGGATCCCATCTGCTTGAGTTAGGGATTTAATTACACCATGCTGCCTTGGCCAACAATTGTCCAGATTTATTGGCCATTCGTTTCATGGCTGTTTACAGTGTGTTATTTTGGGAAACGCAGCAGTCATTTTGCACACACAACTCCTGACACCAATCACATGTGAAGCATTTTGCGACATTTGAACATCACAAACAATATATTAGATGTAAAGGTTATAAGTGGGACAACAACTCTCCTGCGCCAGCAATGTTCTGCACACTGTGGTCTGATGAATGGGCAATTTTGATCATTTTAAATCTGGGAGAAATATCGTTAAGAAAACTTCTGCACTTCTTTCAAATAGCGCCAAAGGATCTGTAATCTGGGTTTAAGACACTGGAGCAGACGGAGAGGCAGAACTTTTATTTAACAGCATCTCCAACAATGCAGCTTTGGAGTCTCAGCCTAGGTTGTGAGATAAAGTCTCCGTACAGGGTCTGATTCAGAGGCCAGAGCATGACCATTCTGAACATCTGCTTCAACTAAGGGAATTCACTGCATAAAAATGCATGACACTGGTGGGTTTTTCACAGATTCCACCTTTTTGTTATCTGTGTATCTGTTGCAGTTTCAACCAGTTGCATCGCTTTTTTAAAAAAAAGTTTCTTCCAAACATAAATTATCTTTGCAAGATTAGAAGCGAAAGTTAAGCAGACTTCAAGAAATGGATGTACCAGAAATATGGATCTCTGTGGTGTGATTACAAGACTAATTTAATCATAAGGTTTCACCTGTTGCCTTGTCCTAAGAACAAAACTTGTGCTTATAAACTAGCAGTGTGAATTCACTCAAGTGGTGTTTGTTTTAGTAACTGGAGAAAGATGTCTGGGCACAATAGCCTGTGGAATTTTTGATTCAATTTTTACAACTTTCCATTGATGGACATAACCTCTCTCCCAGAAATGAGCGTCTGCCCCCTAGGACGACAATGACAACTTGCATTTATATAGCACCCTTCATGCAGGATAGTGCCTTAGAGCCCTGCAGAGTGGTGGGGTTGGACACCGAGCAAAGGTGGGGGGAACCATAGATGTGGTCGAAGGTAGATCTTAAGATGGGATTTAAAGATTAAATAAAGAGGGTGTGAGGAGGAGGGATTGATGCCAGATGCCATGCTGCAGTTTAACGGGCACAAGGTTGCTGTGGATATCATTCATAGAATGCAGAGTACACCTGATGAGTCTTCAAGATAACTACAAAAAGAATTAATATTCCTGGTGCCTTATTATTATTAATGTTATTATTAATATAATGGTGCCTTTCGCCCACAAAACATAAAGCAATTCACTTTACAGTATATTCTGTGAAGCGCTTTGAGATGTCTAGACGACGTGATAAGACGCTATATCAAATGCAAGGATTATTATCTATCAAAGTGGGTTTTACTGTAAAGTGTAATGGCTGGGTGTCTGTAGGCCACTTCCAGTTCCTCTTCTGTTCAATCCCCTATAAAAATTGGGATCTTTGAACAGTTGATTCCTGTTTCCATTGGGTAGACCCTCTTGTTAGGACTCGCAACTATTAATTTGCTTTGTGAGTCGAGCAGCAACTTTTCAAAACAACATTTGTTTTTTTGTTAGTGGTTAGAAACTTATCTCTGATGGTTCTCATTTACTTTACCCGTGTAAATGGAATTAGCAGAATGAAAGACATGGTCTCCGAGGCAAATGTAGCCCTGTTTAAATATTCTGAGTGGAGAGGGGAGCAAATCCATACAGCGAGCAACCTGTTTTAAGTGGGATTACAGTTCCAAGGCCTGTCTGTTCCACGGAGTGGCTAATGTAATTAATTTAGGAGGATGAACACTGATCTTAAGCTAGCCAGAGCTGCAAGGATACAGCGATTGTGAGCATTAAATCTTAAAGTAACATTGACAGGATCAAGTTGTATTCATAATGAAATGGGGGGGAGGAAGTAGAGAGAGAATGTCTAAAAGAAGTATCCTGTAAGAGGCAATCAAGGGAGTAGGTGTGTGAACTCACAAGAACTCACAACTCTTACAAGTCTATTTGGGCTCCTGACCTATTGTTTATATCCTCAAAGTATGATGTTGCAAACATTTTTTAAAAAGCATCACAAAGTCATTTGAAAGTGTTGTACTCAGTGAATCACTTATTACTGTTCTAATCAGTACTGATGAAATATAGAGTTCTATGGGTCCGATATATGGATTCAAGTAAGGTTTAAAGACTTGGAGTCCAGCGGTCATCAATAATAGAGACTATAAACATGTCTTTGGGTATTAGCATTACGGGGAAATAAAGCATTTAACTGTCTTAGCCATTGGATTTATCACTTTTCTAATTATTTTTTGTGCGTTGTAGTGATATTAAGATAATCATTAAGCAGTGTGTAGCAGACTTAAGATGGGCTGTGGAGCGGGCTGTGTTTCGTCTGAATTAATCTGTTTGTTAATTGTTGGGTCCTTTTTTGTAGATATTGTAGATAGTTTGGGTTAAAATATGTGGAGATTCTGGCTGTGCTGGGAAGGTTCACCTCTGTCGCAACAAGGCAGCAGAAGACGAACTTCCTCATTAATGCTGACTCATCAGTGGGTCTGTGGCTTTAACTCTGCTAATGATCAATTCTTCAAGGTCAACCCTCAGTATCTCCTCGCTCTCCCTTTCCAAATGGGGAAGGGATAGCATCAAAGCCCATCAAAACAGCTATGGATAAAATAAGACAAAAGGTTTTTAATCACAGTTTTGATTTAGGAAGGTGACCCTACGCTTCCAATTTAATTGATTTATTTTAAACACAGTTCAGCCTGACTCTTTTGTGAATTGTAAATTGTATTAGAGTAGATGGCTCCAGGGAGGGCGCTAGTACTTACCTGCACATACACGATAGACGAACAGTATGTAAACTTTCTAAATTATCATTATTTTTTAATTTATGCCCTCCCGAAAGGGCAGTTGGGGTCAACCTTATGCTGGAAGATTGTCAAGACACACCTAGGGGCAAGTGTACAACATTGTTAATATATCGCATTGGATCATAAATAATTAGCCAAGACAAACACGTACAGAGAGAGACTGTGATTCAGTTTTTCTACTCCCAAATGGAGTTAGTGTCTCTTAAACTCACAGATGGCTTCATTGGGGTCAATGTACCACATTGAGGTGCACTGACTGGAAATAGGAGTAGATTATTCTGTCTATCAACCTGTTCTGCCAGTTTATGTGGACATGCTGGGTCTTAACCTTACTTTCCCAAGATTCTGTCTATCTCCCTTTCAAACATCTCGAATCGTTCTGTCTCCATGGCCTTGAGAGCACATGCTCACAATCTTTTGTAAAGAAATGTGTTCCGATCTTATATCTAATCATTTAGCCCTAATTTTAAGACTGTCGCCTTGATTTGGATCCATCTGTCAGAGGGAAGAGTCATCCATTATTTAGCTAACCATTCTGTTCATGATTCTAAAAAATATTCATGAGAGAAAAANGATAATAATTTGGTCAGTCAATCCACGACTGTTTGCAGGAAACTGCTGTGTGCAATTGGCTGTCATGTCTCACCCACAAAACATGCAGTCACTACACGTTACAGTATGTCCTGGAAGCGCTTTGACAGGTCGTGAAGACGTGATGGAGCACTATATCACATACAAGGATTATTATTATAAATGCCTCAAGAAGATGGAATAAAGGCATTGAATATCCAGGAGATGAATTGGTTGCAAACTGGCAGTTTTCAGCACATTACAGAAACATGAGTCTTTTCTCTCCGGCAGGGACACGGAATGCAATGCTTAACACTGAGGCCCGGACTGTGGAGGCGGACGTGCTGAGCCGTCGCTGTGTGATAATGAGACTAGCGGAGTTCTCCTTCGAAAAATTCCAGGAGGCCATTCGGCAGTCAGCTGGGGCAGTGGTCGTCATTCTGCCCCAGAATATGTCCACGATGCCTCAGGACGTCATTCAGGTGAAGTGCGATTCCCATTGTACCCACTTAAGCACTCTGAGATGCCGCCTGAACGTGAAGGGCGCTATACAAATGTAATTGGTCGTTGAAGTTCTTGTTGAGGGGTGAGAGAGCAAAATATACACAGCCGGGCAGTCGAGTGCACAGAAGACTGTCGCGAGGGGGTATTTGGGAAATTAGCAGTTTACTCAGTGGGTTCCAATAGCCCACTCAGGAATCTCCTTTTTTTTCCTTTCCAGTTGTGGGTAGGCTGTCAGGATTGAACTCGAAGGGAAGGGCCATAGTTTAACCAATTTCAAAGTTGACACTCATTTTTGGACATGAGGCAACTCGTTCTAAATTTTAAGACATTGTTTTGCTCCATTCAAGCATCTCTTTATCTGCTGATCTGCCCCGGGGGTGATTGAGGAGAAAAGGGAGCGAGGAAGCTGATGGAAAATTGCAAGATTGAACTTTCGATGATTTACTTTTAACAACAACAGCTTGCATTTATGCAAGGTAGCTTCCCAGAGAGCTTTAAAATGTGTGATTAAAAAATCAAATCCAAGAGTGTCTTTTGGCAGTTACTGGCTTTCGTAGACTGAGCTGTGGGTTTTGTATTTAATTTGCAGCAATTTATGGAGATTGAGCCCGAGCTGCTGGCGACCGAGACCATCGTCCCGGTGTACTTTGCGCTGGAGGATGACGAGCTCCTGTCCATACACGATCAGACAAAGGCGGCCTCCGTGTCCCAGGGCACCGCCTCAGCGGCAGAGGGTGAGTCAGTCAGTGAGCCTGATAAAGTCTGTCTGGCGGTCATGTTGGCAGCAGCTGTTTACCAATGTGGCGAACATCAGAACAGAGGACCAAGTAGGGTCTTCTCCTGATAACTCCACAGTTATAATTCAGTCACTGACTTATAACTGCAGCAATGCCAATGGAACTCCACTCAAATGCCAGCTTCTTCCAGCTGTATCGGGTGGTTAGTGATCTGACATATCAACTTCCAGCAGGAGCCACTGTTTCCATTTCCTGTAATGTATTTGAGTCTCCGTGTTCCCTCTAATAAATTTTCCAATCCAGACAAACTGCTACTTTTACAGATGTCGAGTCTGCGCTTCTCTTTAGCTGTTGGCCTGAATGTATGTTGTTTTTAATCTATCTGTACCTCGCAACTTAGACGTTAGTAATAAATTGACGAACCTCCTCTCCTGCCCTCAGTGCTCATACACACAGCTACAGCCAATGGGTTTCAAATGGTCACCAGTGGAGCCCAAAGCAAAGCCATCAGTGACTGGGCAGTAACCAGCCTGGAGGTAAGTCCTGTGTTTTCCCTCTCCACCCCCCCCATCTGGGAAATTTGGAAAATTTACTTTTTTTTTCTCCTGTGGATTTTATCTCCTCAATTCCCAAGACATTTACCAGTAAATATTCAGTCTCTCTCTCTCTCCTCTACTTTGTCTGTGAGAATTATGGCTGAAATACTGAAGATCTGTTGCGGTTTTCACATATTCTAAAATTGTCCTTACAAGTTTTACGGTACGAAAGATGAAATTAAATCTGTGTGTGTTGCAGTACCATTATCTGCCTTCTAGTGGCAACATAGACAGTAACTTCCACAAGCCCAGTAGCTCTCTTTATCAGGCACTTAGTTGGATTACAACAATAATAATCCTCACATTTGATATAGTAGCTTGTGAAATTGGGTTCAGGCGTTTGTCAGAAACCACACCAAGAATATCATTAAAACCTTTTATTAGCAATTATAAAACCACACAAGCATAAGCGTCACATTAGACCTGACCCATTACTCGTAGCGCTTAAATGACTACGAAAGCACTATATCTTAAGATGCATTCAATACTAAAATTCTAAATCTCTATTAAAAGAAATGTGATATATGAAATGTGCCTAAATAATCTCTTAACGGTTTTGCATGTATGTTGGGTGTGTAAGTAGGAGAGCTACTACCAAGCAGGCAGGAAGTTGTGACGAAGTTCTAAGGCTGGCACAAAAGTTAAACACTGTCTCTGGTGTGCTGCTGGCTGCAAACGTCTCTGGCTTGCTTCTAGCTGCAAACGTCTCTTTGCGGTCCACTCCGGCGAGAGCTGGACTTGTCCCCTTTCCCTCAAAGGCACTCTTCTCCGTAGAGGTTCGTCCCCTTCCTCTCCTCGGATGCTTGAATACTTCTAAGTTTGGGCTACTTTTTTTTAATATACCCTTTTTCGCCAGCCACCTGTATTTTATCTACTTTCTTCTCATTACTTCTCTCTCTCTAATTGTCAGTTCTAAAACCCTGCTCTTTTGCTCCAGCATCCTTTTCCTCAGTTTTAATTGCTAATTTCGTATACCTGCCCACACATTTGGCTTCCCATCCATTCTCCTAGTCCAATTATCCCAGGTTCCTATTTCTCCTCCCCGTAGGTCACATGCCTTTGTAAGCGCAGATAGCCTACCATCCATCCTCCCGATCCAGCTATCCTTATCTTCTGGCTTTGGGTCGCATTCCAGTGTACTCTCGCCTAGCTCAGCGTCTCTTTACTAGGACTGTGGGTGTGTGTGTGATGCATGCCACATAGCAGTTTTTATTTCTTTAATTCTTTCTACTTAATTCATCTATTCACTAGTACTAATGAGTACTGTAAACCCAACTATTTACAGCTTATCACGTCATATTAATAAGTAGTGCTTCAATCCACAACCTTCTAGTGAGGGTGCTACCAACTGAGCCAGGCCGACACTTTCCAAGGGTTGGAAAACTTTGTTTATAAAAACAGATTTGTAAAAATAAATAAATCCCTAAAATTTTGGAAACTCTTAAGTTGAGCATCTGTAGCAAACAAGGGACATGTAGTATGTCACACTGAGTTCCTCTTTTAGAATATCATCTGATCAAGCAATGCTCAAACATTACAGGTTTGAGCTAGCCCAAGAAGGGAACAAAAGCATTGCGTCTTTGAAGGAGGAGGGAGGACCATTCTTGTACATGGAAGTGCATCTCCCAATCAGTGCTGAGTGACAAAGTCACCATTATTTTGTTTGCCGAATGCTTTTGCTCTTCCCTGACCCTGTGTCAGCTGGTATACCAAGCTTTCCGATTACAAAAGTACCCACTGTTTTTTTTTTTCAGGGACGATTGACTGGTCTGGGAGGAGAGGATCTGCCCACCATCGCAATTGTTGCACACTACGACTCCTTCGGCGTGGCCCCTGTGAGTTACAACAAATTTATATAGCGCCCTTCACGCGGGGTATCGTCCCGGAGCACTTAACAGTGGTGGAAGAGCCGGGAGAGAGGGAGGGTGCAAGGTGACAGTAAGCACGATCAAAAAAGGAAGGTCCTTAGGCATGATCAGTTACACTGATTTGCTGTTACTAGGATTTGGTTGATTGTATCGAGTTTGAGGATATTAAATGTTGTTATTAATTTGATATATAGCACCTTAACACATCTTTGAGACGTCTCAAAGCGTTTCACAGGATACACTGTAAAGTTAATTGGCTGTGTATTTTGTCGGTGAAATGTGTAAGTCAGCAATTGACTACATGATTGAAAGCAGCATGTATGATTATGTTTGACTTCTGTTGTTCCCTGTGACAGTGGCTGTCATACGGAGCTGACTCTAATGGGAGTGGGGTGGCAGCGTTGCTGGAACTGGCTCGTCTCTTTTCTCGACTCTACACGTACAAGAGGACACATGCAGCGTGAGTTAATTCATAACAAGTTTTTTTTTAAAAAAACCTGTGTTATATCTTCTGACTCCCAGTTTAACTTGGCAATGTAATCTACATGCAATCCTCGTTAATGTGAAAACAAGTTAATAGATGTGGTTTTATTCAGTGGGTGTCTCAACTGCACAGACCAGGAAGGGAGCAATGCTGAGTTACTGATCTCAGTTGTGGTAGTAATTGTGGTTGCAATTGGCTTTGATGGGTTGGGGGAGTGATCAATTAAAACATTGCCAGCCTTTCCACTCCCTCCGCTCGGCGGGCGCTGGCCTATTCCGTGTCCCCTCACCATTGGCAGTCGGACCGTCAGCTTTTCTGCCAATATCCTCTCGAATGCCGTCTCAGAATCCCTTTGCCTTTCCCACTCTTGTCTCCTTCAAGGCCCGTCTCAAGACTTTCCTCTTTGACTGTACCTTCGATCGTCCTCCATTCCTTTTGATTCCAGCCCCCAGCACAAATGCAAACCCTTGACTGTCCAGAGCCTCGGAATGTCATCCCGACATCCCAAGGTGGTGGTTGTGTATTCACGCTGGGTGAGAACAAAATCAGGCTCAGGAAAGCTGTTACTTACAATTGAACAGAGGAAAACCACCATTAATCACTTCAAGCCATTATCACATTAATGTATAAGTATCATCATATGCATCTTTTCTTTCAGATACAATATCCTGTTCTTTGTATCTGGGGGAGGGAAATTCAACTACCAGGGAACAAAGCGCTGGCTGGAAGATAACCTCGACCACACAGGTCAGCCCAGGCTGGGTGTAACCGATACAATAATGAACCCCGTCTTTTGGAAGATGCCTTCGTGATTGTGAGCTCTTCAGATGGAAATCAACTCTTATTTACGGAAACATTAAACATAGATAATTTTTATATGTGGTGAATCCTCAAAAAAAAAAAGCAGATTTCTGGCATTGATTTGAGAGAAATGCTGTGTGGGAGTGTAGTGGTTCCCAGGTTGGTGAGCTGTGTGGTAAGAGTGAATTCTTTGTTGCAGATTCCAGCCTCCTGCAGGATAATGTTGCCTTTGTCCTGTGCCTGGACACAATGGGCAATAACAATGACCTTTATCTGCACGTCTCAAAGCCACCAAAGGAGGCAACCCCACAGCATGCCTTCCTGAGAGACCTGGAAATGGTAAGTGAGTCAGGAAGATTTTAGCACCTGGGATGAGAGGGTCATTGCCAGGAGCGGCAGGAGGTGGAGCCATTCCTTTTTATTTCTTCCTGCTCACACCCCCGCCTCCAGCGCACGCCTCACTGAAGGTGCCAGACCTCAGAAACCTTATTACGCTCTTATGTGTAATTTCTGGGAATAGGATTGACCCTGGCTTTAACATGGCTCTGATGCTGCCTCCATCCAGGGCCTGCGACTTGCTACAGGGAAGTGATTTTATTTGAGGGATTATTGCATAGTAATTGTTCCTTCCTCAGGCCTCACTCATTTACTGGCCTAATATAGATAAAAGCATCGTCTTGATGCAGCACTATGCCACCTAGAACACTCTATCCCTCCCTTACTTCCTTGAAGGCCCGCCTCAAGACCCTGCTCTTCAACCGTGCATTCGGTCACCTTCCTACCCCACTGATCCCAACCCCCAGCTCGGGTTCAAATCTCTGACTGTCCATCGCCTTGGGACGTCCTTCTGACGTGAAAGGCACTATGCAAATGTAAGTTGTTGTTGTATTTTCCCTGCCTCACTTTCCTCCGGGGCACTGATCAGTGTAACCACTCACTTGTTTGCAGGTGACATCCAGCCAATACAAAGAGGTCAAATTTTCGATGGTGCATAAAAAAATCAACTTGGCAGAGGACATGCTGGCGTGGGAGCACGAGCGCTTTGGTATCCGGCGGCTACCTGCTTTCACCATGTCTCACCTCGAGAGCCACAAAAGCAGTCTGCGCACCACTGTCATGGACGTCAGGTGAGACCCGTTCTGCGTTCGCTCGTCCATTTGTTGAGTTCAACACGTGGGAGATTGCAGCCCGCTCGGGGTGGGAGAGAGAGATCCTGTTTATCATTGAGTCCTTCCCTTGTGAAGTGAACATCCCATGCAATCCCAGTCGGCATAGTGCTCGTCCCAGTCAGTCGCTGGAGCCGGTTTAGCACTGAAGATGTGAGTTACTCTTTAGCCCTGAATCTGCCCTTGCTGTGACAACTCAGGGAAAATGGTATCACTTTTTCAGCTACTTCAGTCTGAATCAGTTCTAGTGTAATGGACTTTGCATGTGTTCATGCGTTCATCTTGTTGATATCTTGTGTGTGTGTGTGCGTCCACGTATGTGATGTACATAGGATGCACTTTTAGCCTTGCACTTAATCCGAGGCAGAGCTGCTCATCATCGCCTTTCATTTTGCTCCTGACTCAGGTCCCAGATTGATATTCAGAAGTTAAGTCGCAATACCAGAATAATAGCAGAAGCATTGGCACGGGTAATTTACAACTTAACAGAGAAGGTAAGATCAGTACTCCTCTTACTTTTGCATGCACTCTGCAAACCCACTCTATGGTTTATTGCATGCGCGCATGTGTGTGCGTGTGTAACTGGCAGAGGAGTGTGTACAGCAGGTAGGTGTGTTGTTTATTTTACATGTAAAGAGGCACATGCTGCTATATATGTACCAAGCTTTGTTGCATCTATTCCCTGTTCTCAGGATTGTTCTCTTTTTAAGGGTGCCCCATCGGACCTTCAGATCTTCACAGAGCAAATGGTAAGCAGAGCCTTTCATCTGAACAGCCCCCTTCTTCCCCCACCCCAGGGTCAAAGCTTTGACAGAAAGATCTGGCTTCCCCTGGAGTTTGAAAAGAGATTATCTCCTCCTAAATCTCCCATCACGGAAGTTTGCCCACTTCTTTTTCTATTTAAGAAAAAAATCAAGCTATAAAAATATTAAATTTCTGTTTCGTTGATTGAAGAATATCTTATCGCCCACAAATTACACAGTCAATGCACTTCACAGCATATCCTGTGAAGCAATCTGAGACATCTTGAAGCCGTGACAAGGCGCTATATCAAATGCAAGGTTTATAATTATTGCCGAACTGAACACAAGCTAGAGAATCACCAGGATGATGGGGATCTCTCACTGTTTGTCTCCTCTGCTCGCCCTCCTCAGCAGTTACAGGAGGACCAGTTATCATCTGTATTAGACTGGTTAACAACACAGCCTCGTGCTGCACAGTTGGTGGATAAGGACAGCAGCCTGATCGCCACAATGGAGTATTACATGAGCAGATACCTGAAAGACGTTAAACGGCATCATGTGAAAGCAGATAAGAGGTACGTTCCCCTGAAAGGGCTCTTTCCAGATGATCAATTCAATCAACTCAGCCTCAGCCTGCCTGCCGAGGTGGAGTCATTCTTCAGGTAACCAGTGAAAAAAGGAATGATTATTTTTCTTCCTCTCTGTTGGTTTCAGAGATCCAGAATTTGTCTTCTATGATCAGCTGAAGCAAACCATGAATGCCTACAGGTATGAAACTGATCCAGGATTGCAAGTTGTTCTGATAAGTAACTGGAGCGGGTTCTGAAATCCTTTTGGAATATCTTTTCAAAGAAGGAGCACAGAGGCGCAGGATATTGTTGATTCAGTAACCGTTTCTAAGCGATCTGTTCTGATTGTGGAGCGAGTTCCTCATCAGTTGCTGATAACCAAAATGGTTTGCCAACTTTGTTATAAATTCACAATATATATTTAAAGACTGTGGTTGAAAGTGCCATGGTCGTTGCACAACTTGCAGCTTTGGTTTGTGACTGAAGCTGCAGGATTCACTGCCAAATCTGTTTCAGAAGATCACAATCCCAAAAGCTGACCAAAGGCTGATTTTCTTTGTCAGCTGACCTGTCAGATGTTTTTGAGCCTTTGCCTCAGCTGAGAAACATCCTCAAAACAAAAAGATTATCAGAAAACAGAGTTGCTATCAGCACAGCGACTTCTCCTTTGCAAGCAGGGCATTACTGTCTATCAGTGAAACTTTGCTGTGACCTGGGACTGGAAGTAAGAAACCTGATTGAGACAATGGTTCTGTCTACTTGTTCGTTCTCTTTCCTCCCACCTTTTGCACAGTTAAAATGACATTTCTGTTTGTTATTTGTTTGTTTGCAGAGTGAAACCTGCCATCTTTGATCTGCTGTTGGCGCTGTGCATAGCAGCATACCTGGCAGTTACGTATTTCGTTGCCCAGGTGAGTCCAGGTGTGAGTCACTGTGAGGAGGTCTCACTGAGAGACCAGGGCTGTGTGGCAGTGCGACACTGGAGCTCCCACCAGCAAACTCGCTTCTTTGCATCGCATAATATTCAGGTTCGATAGGCTAACTGGATTTAGGACATGCTGATTTGCTCCAAAAATGACTTGTATGAGAGAGTTCCCACAACAACAAATTCCATTTATAAAGCGTCCTCGCGTACGGTAGAGTCCCAGAGTATTGCGTATTTTTTTCCAATTAAAGTCCTGTTAGAAAACGCTGCCTTTTACAATGGGGTGTTTTTGAACTAGCGCTGAAAAGGGTTAAGGAGTGACCTGATGCCACCCTTAAGTTTATGTTGGGCTGCAACGGGGCTAGATAGTGATCTGTTTATTTTCATTGGTACGGCAAGTCAGTAATCTGGACACAAATTCTGACTAATTTCAGAAAACAAATGAAAGGTGTGTTTGGAAAACATTTCTTTGGACAGAGGATGGTTGGAATGCAGAATCCTCTAAAACAAACTGTAATGAGGGCACAGATACCATAAATAGCCTTGAAGAGGATGAATATTAAAGGCTGTGAGAAGGGAGAGGAGCATGAGATTATGTGGAAGGGGGAAAAAAAAAGGCTGATTAATGGGCCAAATGGCTTATTTCTGTGCTGTAACGTTCTGTGATTCTATAGCAAATTCTGTTGCTGTTTATTTACTGGCTGAAGCGTTTTGCCCACAAAATATACAGTCAATTCACTTTACAGTGTATTCTGTGAAGCGCTTGGATGAATCTCAAAGACGCAATAAGGAGCTATATCAAATGCAAATGATTTATTTTTTAAAAAATCAATTTCCAGCTGCAAAAACTAAAATCTCGCTTTTTTTTCCACTATCCGCAGAACTTCGGTTTCTTTTACAACACAGTCCGACGGATCACCCTGAAACAGAAGCAACACTGACGACAGACCACCAACTCCCGCACTAAGGGGGCTTCCTCCCAGTTTATATTATAAAAAAACTCCCCATGTCATTGTGGCTTGTTCTGACCAGCCGCACTGAGCCACTCACTGCCACCATACCACCCACAGGGTTAAGATGTTTCCTGAATCACTGTTTGAGTTGGACTTTTATCTTCCCCTTCCCACCACTACCACCCCAATTCCATCTATGCTTCAATTCTTACCCAAAGGCACCTCCTGTTCGGCACACACCGCCCAAACCAAGCTGCCTGTGTGTGCCTTTGGTAAATTGAAACCAATCCATGCACCGATTGCAATGTTTTAGTTTGATCCTGTTCATCACATTCTGAAATGCCCCTTTAACTGGGTGTTTCGACTCTCAATGGAATCAATCCTTTTTACTCCAGATAAAAAGAAAACGGTTGTAAATAGCGAAGGGCAAAGGGACGTTTGTTTCAAAATTGGGGTCTGTGTACGCGAGGTACCATTCACCCCAGTGCTGTTTCTGATTTTTTTTGTGTCCAAATAATGTCGTCCCAACCAGCCCCTAAACTAGCCTGGGTTTGTGTGTTGAGTGTGCAGCCAAGACATTAGGCAACTGAGAGAGGGAGCAAGTTTCACTGCACTGAGCATCCCAATCCCTTCTGGTCCCATTATTCCTTGGTCGTTACTCCAGGGGGGCTGTTGCAAAGATTTTTTTTATTAATAAGAGCACACTCTACTCGTGGTTAGTCTGTGAAATAAGTTCACCTGCAGCACCTCTTGTGGGGAGAGAGAGAGAGTGTCCATCCATATCCTCATTTTAACAGAAGAAAACAGACCCACTTAACAAGCACACGGTGGATTGTCTCTTTGAAAACCGAAAGGAGAAAGTTTGCTCCTGTTGAACTTTGCGATGTATTGTTTCCCTATTTCGGGGTTTATTTTGGAAACACTAGGGGATATCGGAGAGGGGGGGGTGTTTTGTTTTTTACCCTCAGTTGATTTGCGACGCTGAATCCTGAGCTTTTATTTATATATTGTAAATGGTTCTTTGTTTGCAAAAAAAAATCATTGAAGTTGACAATTTCCTCCTGTTGTCTAATGCAATGGATTATGGGGATAAAGAGTGGAGCTGTGCAGAACGGGAAGTCCCGATACAGATGGGAGGACCACGCAATAAATGAGAAACTGGACGGAGCAAGTCATCTGCACCAGTGTTGCAATGTGTTTTTGTAACGTTGTGATATTTTCGCTTTCTCTTATTTCCCCCACTCTGCACTCACTCCCGTGCATCCAGCAGCTCGTGTGGCCATTCATAAGCCAGACTTAAGCGTGGCAGGTTATCTACAGTGGGATTGGAGGGGTAGAGACAGACTGATAATGATACTTGCATTGGATATAGCACTGTAGAGACATCTCTTAAGTGCTTCACGGAATATACTATAAATTGAATTAACTCAGCCCAAACACACAAGGATCAGTGGACACCGTCAACTTCCAATTATGTAGTGGCCGCCATGCAGGATAGTGTCTCGACTGCTTTGAACAGTGACCAGTTCCTGAAGTTACGGGTATAAAGAGGTTGGGTGTGTATCTAGTGAGCCAGGCAGGGGCTCGGTGAGAATCTGGGAAGACATCTTAAAGGGGTTGTTGGCCCCAATGATATTTGGATGTTTGAATACATCAACGTCTGATTTCAATCTTGTAACTAGCAGTCACACACCTTTGTGGGTATGTTTACTCTGAACAGATATTTTTTCTCCCCTTGAATCAATAACCTGTTTAGCCAGAACCACCCTCTCATTCAGCCCATAGCCCACATTCAAAGGTCAGTTACTCCTTTGTGCTGTCTTTACACAGAAGCCCCATTGACTTGATTGCATGTGTATGGGGCGGGAGATGGGGGGTGGGGAAGACTATGGATAGATTTTAGCTATAAAACTGCTTACTGAAGCAACATGCCTTTGGGGGAATTATGTACTTCATGCGTTTTGGCTTTTTTTTAAAAAAAGAAGCACAAGAAGAGTCAGAAAGTAGTCTTCTGCATCACTGGAAAGAAAGGCCAAGACGCAATCCCAGAAATCGGTGCACGATGCTGTTAATGAAAGAGTAATGGATTGTAGATAATGGATGGAATGGAACTTTGCTTTAATTATTTCCATGTTTCTCTGGAATCCTGGCAACACCACTAGGGAGAAAGGGTGAAATGGGTCATCGCATTGCTCTGGTGTAATGTAAGGCATCAGATTTATAACAACAATTCTTGTATTTGGTATCGTGCTTTAACCCATCGTTGAGTCGTCTCAAAGCACTTCACAGAAATACGTAAAGTGGAGTGACTTATTTTTTATTATATTCTTATTCCCTTTATTGGCACAGGTGCCCACTTTTTGCCCCAGTGACTTACCTCCTCCATTCTGCCTCTGCCAACAAATCGCATCCTAATCAGGTGCAGTCTGATTAGCATGAGTGGCAGTCATCTGCATCATTTAGTGCACCTGTGCAGTCACATGCTGGTTCGGCATACAAGCCTGGAGAATCTCCGGAAAGTTTATTAACTAAAGTGACTTGAAAATTCCAGGATTCCGAGGAATCCTTTGGGAAGTCGGATGGCGGATCAAGGGTACATTTCAGAATTAGGTAAGCGGGATGCGCCCTTCCAGGGAGAGAGTGCACATTCCAACAACCTATCTCTGGAATTTCCGTGTGTAGGTGGGATGCCTGGAATTCTCAGTTTGGATTGGATACTCTTAAACATGGTGATGGGTTTCTGCATGTGTCAGACACCTGCTGACCAAAAAAAAAGGCGGTTGTTTAATGGTTGTGGGATTAAATAGAACAAGATAACATGTGAGAATTGAATCATTTGCCCCCGTCAAATCTAATTGGGTTTCCTGTTCTATTATTAAATGAGTTTAGGGCAGTCTTCACCCAGAGACCAGAATTGCAGGTGTGGAAAATATTAGGAAGGGGAAGTGGGAGCTTTAAGTTGTCGAACCTGTGCTGTACTTGAATTAGGAGGATGGGGCAGAGGAGAGGCTGCTATCCTTGACCAAGGGAGTGCTGGAGGGAACCGAATGGAGGAAGCTTTCAGCTGTCTCTAACCCCCGTCGTTGCCTGACCTGGGAGTGTAGGTGTAGCAGTGTTTTAATTTCCAGCACCTCACTCCCCTTCCTTCACCTTGATAATGAGAATAAAAATACATCAAATGCATGGACACAGCTAAAAGCAGTTTGACGTGTGTGTGCGTGTGTGAGGGAAAGAGGTAAGTGCCTTTATTTTATTACATTGGAGAGATGAATCCTGTGCATCACTAGTCATCCATCTGCGACCTATTTCCTAGAGGGACCTGGACCTCCCACTCTTGAAAGCTTCTCGCCACATTGATATAAGAAAACCTATTCGGATTCACGATGCATTAATGGGATGAGAGCAGCTTTCAGGCTAACTTTCATTGCAACAGCAGAGACATTCTGAGAGGAGACCACAAGTGTGCTTGTAAAGAGGATGTAGAGAAAATACTATTGAACCGGAAAGCATGTTTACTCAGGGGTTGAGTCCTGTGGAATTGGCGTATAAAACCCATTGCTACCGCATTAATAAGTGGGGCATGATGAACTGCTTAGACGTAATGTGCAGAGCAAGCTTTCAACAAGGGCTTGAAGTCGAGCTGAACGTTTCGGTGGGACGAGGAGACTGGAACTGCCGTACAGCTCTTTCGTTCGTCTATTTCTTTTAAAGAAAAATTACAAATCGTTAAAGCAACCGAAGACTTTTTTTAAAATAGAAAACAAGAAGTTGTTGCATTTCTGGCTCTCTGGGGGAAAAAAATCTGTGTGTTTGTATGTGTGACAGACGGACAGACAGGTAAGGTGTTGTTTTAATGGAGACTAAAGGATATTGCACAGAAATGAATATTCGGTTAATTATTTAGCTTTTTTTCCGGAGAATCTGGGTCAACGTGTAAAATGGATCACCTCCTTTCTATCTTTTGGCTGTTCTGCTTCCAGTCTGTGTTAAACTGATAATAGTTAAGTTCGGGTTAATTTGTGAATTGTTGTAACTTGCCCTGATGTGGACAAATGGGTCACAGAGAAACTGCCAACGTGAAAGGCGCTGTATAAATGTAAATTGTTGCTTTTGACTTCCCAGTTTGTCAATTTAGTTCAGTTAGTGACCATTTCATCTCTGTTGGTCAGAAGGTTATGAGTTCAAATCCCATTTGGGAATCTGAGCTCACAGTAAGGTGTTACTTCATTGAGCTCAGTATACCTCCACTGCATTGTCAGAGATGCCGTCCTTGAAATGAAATGCTAATCCAAGGTCCTGTCTGCTTGTAAGGGGTCAGCAATAGAGAATATTGGTTGAAAAGAGAAGGAAGTTTCTCCTAATGTCCTGGCCAGCAATCCTCCACTTCATGACTATCTGTGAAGTCTTGTTCACATGGGCTGCTGCATTTGCCTGCAAATACAGTCACTACACTTGATAACAATTGAGGCATCTCAATGATGTGACGTGATAAGGCTCTATATCAAATGTAAGATTATTATTGTCAATTACCTTTGAAGCACTTAACAATATTCTGTGAAGCGCTTTGAGACGTCTAGAAGACGTGAAAAGCGCTATATCAAATGCAAGGATTATGATTATTATTTACAGAAGCTGTGTTAGATGCAAGGATTTTTTTTTGCCAGTGAGATTGAGCTCTGTAACACATGGAGGAGTCCCAAATTATACCCCGAATCTTTGTATAATAGAACCTAGAAGATCGTGTGCTGAGGCCTGAGCCAGGGAAGAGCCCATCAATCTCTCCATACTTTCCTGGCAGAAGTATCCCACTGGCATCAGAAGAAAGGTAATATGCCTTGGTAAGGATTGCTGAAGAGTTGTCTTTTTCTCCCCCTTTGCTGTGGCTGTGAGGTGTTCTTGTCATTGTGATTTGAGGCTAAAATCACTGAGAAATCACATTGCCAGGGATTCCCATACAGCCCCAGACCAGACCAGCCATCACTGAGAGATAGACAGCAAGAAATACAATGTCTAATGGCATCACTGACACACCAGAGGTATTTGTGTCTGTGCCTCACTTTGGTCTGTAGCTCAGGATAACGAGAAGTAAGCAGTTTCACAAATATCCTTTTGCATACTCTGGAACGCCATCCCACAGTCCCTTCACATCGCTTCCTCCCTTGCCTCCTTCAAGGTCGGTCTTAAGACCTTTCTCTTCGACCGTACCTTTGTTCTCCCTCCCACCTCACTGCCTCCCCTCACCCCTACACCCCTCCCCCCCCCCCCCCATGCTCGGGCCCTGATACCTGACTGTTCAGCGCTTTGGGATGTCCTCCTGACGTGAAAGGCGCTCTATAAATGTAATTTTGTTGTTGATGTTTGGTGAATATCGGTGCTGCTGAAGATGAGGTATGTAGTGATGCAATTTTTTACCTTGTCCCTCGTGCCCTCCATACCGCCATCGATGGCCACGCTTATCAGCCACTATGCCCCAAAGCTCTGGAACACTCTCCCTCAAGCCCTGTACCTTGCCGTCTCCTTCCCCATCTTCAGGTCACGCCTGAAGACCTTCCTCTTCGACCGTGCCTCCCTTTCCCTCTTCCCCTGGCTTGGCATCATACTCCAACTGCTGTCAAAGGCTCCAGGATGATACCTTGTGTAAGGGATGCTGTATAAGTGCAAGTTGTTGTTTTCTTGGGCATATCGTGGGTTAATGGGCTATCGTACATTTCACTCAGTGGCTTCTAAGGGAAGGTATTTTCTCAATGGTTTGGACTGTGACCAAACAGCCTGATCCCCATAGCCTGAGCTCTGTGCTGGTATAGAGCTTAGCCATTTGGAGAGCAGTATCATTGGAGAGCTTTGTTCACAGTGGCTAAGTTTCATACCCAGAGAGAAACAACGCATTGTATGATCATCTCCTATCTACTTTTCGCTGGGAAACAGTCCAGAGATTGTCTCAGGTTTGGATTCCATTAAAATTTTCAAGACTGAGGTGGATAGATTTTTATTAGGTCAGAGTATCAAGGGATGTGGGGTAAAGGCTGATAATTGGAGTTGAAGTACAGATCAGCCATGATCTAAATTTATGGCAGAACAGGTTTGAGGGGCTGAATGGCCTACTCCTGTTCCTACGTTCCTTATGGAGCAAGATAGAGATGTCAAAATAGATGCGGTGTCCCTTTCTCTATTCCCCTCCTCCCCATCACCTACCAGCTCCTCTCCTGAAGAGGAGTTCCATAGGCCCAGGGGTCTCTCAGTATCTGTCACTAAAACCTATTCAGTTGGTGAAATGGCTCAGAGGTGGGATGGGTGAGGAAGATCCAATGGGGCAATGGTGGAGCTGGATTAAGTCAGACCCGTGTCATGTGGATGGTGCAAAGTTTAATAAATGGAATTGAATTAAAATCAGAGGTGTGCTTTTCGCACAGTTTAAATGTTAAAGACATTTCACACAGACTGAAGGAGATTATACACAAGAATGAGGCTTTAATACAATCAATTGCACTTAAAATATGGGGATATTAACCCAACATTTCAAGCAAATTCCATTCATCCAGGACATCTTTACAACTACAGTATTAGTACGTATTCATTTGCTTCATGTTTAAATGGCAATTCTATCACTGATAAATATTACACTTTGATACATTGCTGTGACAATCATAAAAAAACGATGACTTGGTAGCTGTTTTCTCCTCGAGCTCAATTCATCCTTGCATTTGATCCTTACATTTAATATAGAGTCTTGTCGCATTGTCGAGGAATCGCAAAGCGCTTCAGAGGATATACTGTAAGGTGGACTTGACTGTGTATTTTGTGGGTTAAACGCGGCAGCCAATGGCACAGAGCAATGTCCCACAAACAAACGGCCATGGGAGTCGATGACCAATTTGTAAGGGTCATTTTGGGTTCTTTATATGACAGTTTGGGTCTTGAGCTCTGGAATTTGTTCCTGGTTATAATGGGAGGGAAGTGGCCGCAGTTGACTTGTTAAAGAGCCACAGCCCTCATTGCATCTGTCGAACGAATGCCTTCACAATGAACATTCATTCCCCTGTGATCCATCCAGTGATTTGCCAGGAACCTGAATTTGAATTGGCATTTTAAAAAAAAACAATTTTTTTAAAAAAAGAAAATTGATCATTAATAACTGAGAATATTCATACAAAAGCTCGGCAAATTTTAATAAGTACCAGTCTGTCTTGCTCTTGAAATCGCAGAAAATATCTCTCTCTACCTCCAGCATCTTAAAGTGGAATATTTAAGGCCGCATGGAGCGAGCGAGCGGGATTACAGTAAAACTCGCATAAGTCTGATCTGTAATAAATTGTATAATTGTTCAAGTCATACATCTGTCCAAGTCCTGTTGAATTTCCTATTATGAATTTCACATAATACATACTTTGCATAATCATAATAAATGTATGATCCCACCTAATTGTTACGACTTGCGTGAGGTTTATTGTAGATGGTTCATATGCAACAGCGGAGCTTGGCGGGCAGATGGCACGTTTCTGGGCTCGAGCCCTCTGATTGTTTCAGCTTCAGGCAGAGGTAGGCCATTGGGCCATCTTGTGGCCAATTAATCCCTAAAAGACTTTGTTGGCAAGTTTTTGGCAGGATATACCTTGCGTTATCAAATTGTCAGCTCGAGTAAATGGATTGCTTTCTCACTGTTCTCTGGTTTAGATTCCATGGGCTTCGGGAGAGTTTTCTTGGGGCTCAGGAGCTTGGAGTTGCGGAAGCTATCCCGCAGTCTGTAGGAACTCTCGGTGGATGGTCCCAAGCTAGATTCGGACCTCTTCAAGAAGTTGAGAGGCCCCATGGTCCGCTCACAGCAACAGCACAGCAGGTTAAGGATGGCTTTCTCGATATCCTTGCTACCGAAGGAGGCGATAATAGGGTTGATGGCTGAATTCAGGACGGCCAGGGCTATGGTCCACTCCATTTTGAGCAGGAGGTTGCATGTCGAGCCCACGCAGAAGACATCGAGGAGGAGCATCGTGAAGAGCGGGCTCCAGCACACCACAAAAGCCCCGACGATCATACACACGATCTTGAGCAACCGGAAGGACTTCTTCCTGCTCTTGGAGCAGGCTACCGACTTAGCGCTGGTCTTGACCAGGTGGTAGATGCTGGAGTAGAGAGCCACGATGCCCATGATCATCAGGCTGAACATGATCATGCAGAAGAGGATGTAGCTCTTGGAGTACAGGGGCAGGAGGGTGGAACAGTCCTGGAAATTGCAAATGCAGTTCCAACCAAAGAGCGGCAGCAGCCCGATGCAGAAAGCCATCACCCAGCACAGCACGATCAGCACGTACACACGGTACGTCTTGTAGGACGAGGCCAAGGGCACCGGCCTCACCATGGTGGTGTAACGCTCCACTGCCATGATGAGCAGGCTAAAGGTGGAGGCGGCCAGAGCGATGAACAGGACTCCCTCCCTGAGAAGCCACATCCTGCTGCTCAGGCTGAAGGTGACATTTCCCGAGAGGCACAGGTTGACCATGTAGGCCATTCCTGCCAGCAGGTCACTCAGGGTGATGTTGGCGATGCAGTAGTAAACCCAACGGCGGAAGTGGGTGTTGTTGAGGATGGCCAGGAACACCAGCAGGTTCTCCAGGACAATGAAGCAGCTGATGAACATCAGGACCACGGTGCTCCAATTGGCTCCGTCGCTGGGCGAGGGACGGTGTTCCAGCTTCCCCGTGTAGTTGTAGTGCAGCAGGATTATGTTCAGATCGTTGGTCCTCACAGAGGCCAGACAGTGGCTGATGTTCGCTGATGAGCGCTCCATCACTCCACCCTGCTCCTTAGAATTGGACCAGTGGCTGAACAATCATTCAGGGCCTGCCCTAGACTTCCAATCTCAAAGTCCTGCAAAGACACCCCAGAAAGGTGTTAGTCGATTGGCGGATGGCTTTCTGGGATTAATAATTCCTCCCCATCCTTCCCACAACCCCCCCCCCCCCCAAAAAGGTCACTCAATCCACGACTGTTTATGGGACGCTGCTGTGTGCAATTGGCTGCCGCATTTGGCACACAAAATACACTTCTGTGAAGCGCTTTGAGACGTCTCAACGATGTCATGAGGCGCTATATCAAATGCGAGTATTATTATAACTGTCTCAAAGAGCTTCACACTTAATTGCTGTCAAATGTAACGAATGCTGATTTGTAGGCAAACAGGAGCCAATTTGTACACAGATAAAATGCAGAACGCCTTTTTTTCCTTGAGCAATGTCATGGGATCTTTAAGCATCTCGTCTGAAGGACGGCTCCTCTGACAACGTAGCGTTTCCCCAGCACCACGCTCTAGTGCTCAGCCGGTACGTCTCAAGTCAAGAGGGGCTTAAACCTATACCCTGCGGAAATGTGTCCCGTTAGGTCCAGCGATGGTGTGGAAAGGCTAGGTATTATGAAAGATGTCAAAAAAATAATATTTGTGCTTGAATTTTTCTGTCTATTATTAGAAATGGTTTATTGCAACACTGAAATGCAACATCACACACAGCTGGTGTGAAGAGAATGGCGCAAACAAGCCATGGACTGAGGAGCCAGAGAACTTCATAAACATCCCCCCTTACGCTACTCTCACTGAGCGAGTCGTAGAACCGTAGATGTTTTCAGCGCAGAAAGAGGCCATTCGGCCCATCAAGCCTGAAAGAGCTGTCTCAAAGAGCTATCCATTTAGTTTTATATTCTTTTGCACGTGTCTTTTTATATTTCCCCTTTATGCAGAAAAACAAGCGTATTTTTTTTTTAAAAACACATTTTTTTTTGTCCTCGTAAAATTTCACTTCCTCGTGAAGGAGCCGTATGCGCCGTGAGCAGAAAAAGCTGCGAATGTTTCCTGGAGGTCATTAAGGCAACACAAAAACACTGGAGGTTTTTGCACAGGTGTGATAATTCTCTAAAAAGACAGCACTTCCCCTTTAAGTGATTTTACTGTGACCTTTCAAACTCCTTTTATCACAACAAGTGAAGTACTCATATATATCTATATATATATATATAAATATAATCTGTTTCGAGAGCGGGTCACATACAGAAAAGCATTAGCTCAAACCTACTTCCCTTGTTTTTGAACTCCACTAATTATCACCTGCAAATCTGTACCAGTTCTTGCTGGTAAAGAAAAAAACGTTTCAAGTTTAATACACGGTCCGTGCGCTTCACATTACTGGCGGGGTCTAAACCACGCTTAGATGGAAAATAAACGATAAGCCAGAGATTGCAAAATGACTGCGGTGAAGTTGCTGCGAGCTGCTACCGCATCAATAGATCAGTTTTTGGGTGTAGGTTGATGGCAACGTAGATATTTAACCGTACATTTGAGGTGGAGTTAAAAAATAACCGTTGCATTTTGACCTCGTGTTTATAATATAATCTCAAAGCACTTCGTAGATGATTGCTGTCAAGTGCAGCGACTTACATATTTATAGGCACACGCAAGATCCAATCAATAACAACAATAATCCTTGCAAGGAGCATTATTTCATATAGTGTTTTGTCATATATTCGAGACGTCTCAAAGCTCTTCACAGGACGCACCGTAAAGTGTAGTGACTGTGCATTTTGCAGGCAAAATTGCGCACAGCAGCGTCCCACACGCAGCCACGATTTGGGTGAACAAATTATTATCTTTTTAATTTTGACTGGATTATTAAATCCAACATGGGGCTAGCACCCGCAAACTTTTTTTTTTTTTTTTTTTTGCATTCTGTTTAAGGCAGACTGGACTAGCTGTAGTATTCCGAGTCGCTGAAGAGCAGAGTAGGGTTGGGGGAGGTGGGGGTGGAAAAGTGCGTGGAGCAGGTTCGTGAACAAGTGGACTTACCTCAGCAGTTGATGAAACTAGTCATTCATCTTGCCCCCAGTCCCTCAGCGCTGAGCTGCTCGCTCTGCCTCCTGACCCGCACGCAGGCTGCTTTAGCAACTTGTGAAATTTACAGAAGTTGGAACATATATCACGATCCTGCCCCACCCACACCAGAAGCTGAGTGATGATAAGCATATGAGACGCACGGATGTGCGGCAGGTTTCAGTCAGTGGGGGCTGCAGCGTATGAGATGTTGAGAGCGAAGCATGGCTTCTGTTATTTCAGTCTGGCTCAGTCACTAATAATAATCCTTGCAACGCCTCATCACGTCGTGGCGACGCCTCAAAGCGCTTCGCAGGACATACTGTAAAGTGAAGCGACACAAACATTTGCGGGCCAAACGCGGCAGGCAATTGCGCGCAACAGTGTCCCACCAGACGGTCGTGGGTTGAGGGTAGCGCTCTCTCTCCCCTGCGGGGTCAGAGGCCTGCGAGTTCAAGCTTCATGTCGGATCATTGAAGTCATGGTCAAGGCTGACAGCCTAGAGCAGTTATGGGCAGTCCTGGGACTCTGTAGTGCTGAGTACAATTATACAGTGCCTTTTATATTTAGGGCATCTCAAAGTGTTTGGCTGAGCACCCAAGTTGGGGGAGGGAGCTAAAGAGGATTGAGGGGACTAAACCAACAACGTACCCAAGCGCTGGACAGACACAGGGCAATGCTCCACACTGCAAGGCTGCAACTGAATGCATTACACGGGACAATGTCCGGCAAGTAAAGGCTGGGCTGCCAATGAGAGATAAGGGAGTATTGAATTGAAGGGAGGAATGAGGATCTGTCCCATTTCTGTCTCGGCCTGAACCCGAGACCAAGGTGGAGCAAAGTGGCTGCGAACTGCAATAGTGCGGTGGAGGGGAAAAGAAAAACAAGTGACGTACAGGGTTTCTCAGAAAAACTACCAGGTAGTAAACATTCGTCTCTTGTGCAACTCTCAAGTGGAGTCTGTTACGGTTTTCCTGTTTACTCCTTCAACCGCTTGCTGCCCCTTTCCCAGCTGATAACAATTAAAAGGAAGTGTGCTCACAGCCCAACGGCTGGCAACCTGCCTTACAGTTTCTCGCAAAGCACCTCGCAACCGTGTTTGCCAACGAATACAGTGACTACATATGTGTACGGTCACCACGCGTCATAATTTATGACACTAATAATCCTAGCATTTGACGTAATGCCTTCTCACATGATTGAGACGGTTTAAAGCTCTTCAGAGAATATACTGCAAAATGGACTGACCGGGTAATTTGTGGGCGAAACACAACAGCCAATTGCGCACAGCAGTGTCTCACGGTCATGGAATGAGTAACCAAATTTTTGTTTTGGGGATGGAGAGGAGGAAGGGAATTATTACCCTCGTAAAGCGATCCCCCAATCAACCAACAACCGGGTTCCGACTCACTGCTGAGTGAACAGAGGCGTGTGTGTGTGGAGAAAGGAAACTTTGTCCGAGTTTTCGCCCCGAACCCGGGGCCTCTTGCTTGCAAGGCGAGCAATCTAACCGCTACCCTAGGGGACTCTACACGTGAAGGTGTTAGTCAAGTGTAAGGATCGTTATGGACACGTGGCAGAAATTGCCTGTGCGGCAATTTGACCTGACGCGTGCTTTAGCAGAGGACAGGTGGATCAGTCTCGCTCTGAGCTGTGAGTTACTCATCTCGGCCCGGAGGCAACGTCAGAGATACAGTTGGCTTCAGTACCCTGGGTGAGGGAAGAGGGAGACCAACAATAGCAACAAATTGCACTTACGCAGCACCTTTCACGTCGGGAGGAAGTCTCAAGGCACTGGACAATCAGGCATTTGTATTCGAGCTGGGGGTCGGGAACAGGAGGGGTGGAGGGCCGGGCGGGTAGGGGTAGGAGGGTAGCCAAATGCACCGTCGAAGAGGAGGGTCTTGAGACGTGGTTTGAAGGAGGCGCGGGAGGGAGCGAGGAGAAGGGACCGTGGGACGCAGTTCCAAAGGTTGGGGCGGAGAAGCTGAAGGCCTGAGCTGCGATGATGGGGCGGGCCGGGCGGAGGAGGTCGGGCAGGTCGGAGCCTGCTGAGCGGAGGGAGCGGACAGGTTGGTTAAAAACAGCCAAGATCCCTCGCTCCCGATAGCGGGCTAGTTACCGTGATGATTAGATGGGGCCATTAACCCTCCCCCACCACCACCCGATTGAACATCTGACGACACTGATGGGGGAGCTCAGTGCCGAGAAGAAAATAGACATCACACCCAGCCTGCCAGCACTTTGTGTAACTTTTCACCATGCAGTGAGCGAAATACTGGCAGTAACATGGGATTAATCGCAAGCATTTCAACACAGAATTTCTTTCGAGATGTTACACAACAGCCATTTCTTTAACCTCTGTCTTCATAGAAATAGATTTCGGCAAAAATGTTTTTGTAAGGAGCGAAGTGTGTGGAAATAGGACCTGTGGACCACTCCCTCAAGAGAATCCGACTGAGTTTCAGTGTGTTTGTGTTTTTCGTTTGTTTGTGTGTGTGTTTAGAGGTTTTAAGCGCTCCGAGATGCCGCCATGGGTGAAGGACGCTATATAAATGCAAGTTGCTCTTGTTTGACCGGACGCTTTTCCTTGAATGTAATGCTCCTTGAATGGCCTCTTTTAAGTGCGAGGTAACTCATTAGGAACCAAAGACATTTACACCATTGCGTGCGGGTGAGCGGGTGATTGAGGTCGGGAGCCAGGATGGACGCACACTGGTAGGGTGAGATCAGATGGGTTTCATTTGTGATTGATCTTAAGTCTTAAGACCAAGAGGGATTCTGCCTTGACCTCCCCTCTCGGCATTTATTCTGCGTCCTAACAACTCTCCACGTTTAACAAATTCTTCCAAATTTTCCCGTCTTTGCTCCTCGTTTAAATTGATCATAATAATCCTAACAATACTTGCACGTGATGCAGCGTCTTATCACATCGTCGAGACGTCTCAAAGCGCTTCACAGGCTATACTGTAAAGGGAATTGACTGTATATTTTGTGGGCAATGTCCTCTAGTCACTGACTCACCGACCAGTAAAGCTCATATCTTAACACAGCAGCAAGGCTGAACAGGATAACTCACCCAGACTGCACTGAGCAGCGTTCAGTGATAAACACAAGTGTCTCGGTTGGTGTCTGAGAATTCGAGTCAGTGACAATTCTCCCCTATTCACTGCGCGGCTGTCTGGGTTGCACATGGCTGTGCGCCAACTGACTGCCACATTCGCTTACAAAATGCACAGCCACTACACTTTACAGCAAATTTACAGACGTCTCGACGACGTGAAAAGACTCTATATCAAATCCAAGGATTATTACTATTACGATCAATGTAAACGAGGAGCAAAGAGGTAGAGCTTAGGAAGAATTTGTTACACGAGGAGAGTTGTTGGGATGCAGAACGGTAGCAACAACAAGGACCATTGGACTTTTATCCCAGTCTGTCTATCTGAAGCGCTTTGAGACATTCCCTTAGGTGACAGTCTGAGGTGACAGGCAAAGTTCTCGTTGCTTTTTCCGTGAGAAGTTATCAGCAGCTGCAGATTTTCCGCTTGTCTCTTGATTTTTTTCTATTCCAAATTGGGCAACGGTTCCATTGCTCGGCAAAGGGGCACGTTTTAAGATCTTATCTTTCCTTTATCACCACCACAGGCAAAGTTCCCAGAAAAAACAAAACCGGTTGGGGCCCCCGAGTCAGACGCTCTTTTTGCCTGGACTGAAATGATCTGATATTCAGCAGCAATTTTCACTTCAACGAACATCTCCAGATGCTTATTATTAATAGAAATGATAATAAAATCCTTGCATTTTATGCAGCGCCCAATCACATCGTTCAGACGTCTCAAAGCCCTTCACAGAATAAGTTGCAAAGTGGATTGACTGTGTTTTGTGGGTGAAATGCATCAAAAATTGTGCAATTTGTCCCACGCAGTTGTGGATTGAGTGACATCAACAGACGTGTGTGGTGATGTACGGAAACTCGCCTGAGGTTGTGCCCTGCCCGGGAATCGAACCTGGGTCTCTCGTTTGCGAGGCGAGCTTTCTAACCACTACCCTAGGGGTCTCCACAGACTGAGTTAGCGCAATTGGAGATGAGGCGGATGTTATTCAGGCGAAGTCAGCGGCTAACGCGTCCCACAAAGAGATCGGGAAATCAATATGAATTCGGGGTTTATTAGAATGTGGAAGAAACACAAGACAGGGTAATGGAGTGTTGCTGTGGGATGAAATGACGGGTTTCTTTCGAAAAGTGACGCTGTTTAGCGGGGAGTCTGGAGACAGATATCAGCGGACCCCACCTATCACAGGGTCTTGCTAAATTTAGACCTAAATTAGTGTGTGAGGGAACTGTTTATTACCGATTATCTGATGTAACGATCAATGAGATCATTCCCCACTGCGGTATCACTGACAAGCACTGGGCAGAGGAGATCGGTTGCGTCTCATACTCTGAACCTCTCTCAACGTATAAAACGGCATTTTTCAAATGAGCCTTTTTTCTTCACAAATGAGTCACCCTCCGCGGAAGCCACACTCTGCTTCTGACGATTCTCACCCCCGACGCGGACACAGTAACCCACTCGCTGGCTGCGATTTTTTTTTTGACGTATTTTTTATTAAATACTATGTGCACGGGGATCTTAAATTACAATCTCTATTGCCAGTCGTATCTTGGCGCTAAATTACACTATTCACAAAGTTAGTGCAGCGATTTCAGTGCGATTCTGTCCAAATTCAGTGAAGGACGACAAAAGAACTCGACAAAAGGGGAGCAGGGAAATCATGATTAAAAGAAGTTGTGGGGAAGGGGGAAAAAGGTGTCAAACAACACCATTGTTAAGCGCTCCGAGATGCGTGAAGGCTGCTATGTAAATATTGTTGTTGACGGGACTTAAACCAAACAGCACAGCAACTTCCCCTTTAATGCCACCCAACTTACAATTACACACAGCCTTTCACAAGGGGTGAGTAACATATTTTAGTGTCGGTTTGTCCCTCTGATCAGCGATTAGCGATTTACTATCAATAACAATCCCTGCATTTGATATAGCGCCTCCTCACGTCATCGAGACGTCTCAAAGCGCTTCACAGGATACACAGTAAAGTAGTGTGGCCGTGTATTTAATGCACCTTGAAATCAGATGCAATTATTTCCCTTATGTCCGTAGGGTATAAAGTGCTGGATTTGTTTCGCTGCAAACAACAGATTTATATTAAATTATAATCACCACGGAAAGATTTTAGCCACGTCCCTGGTGATAAACGTGTGTCTCAAAAGCTTCTGTGTGAACGAACGTTAAAAACAGACACCCATCCCCCAAACCAGCCCGGTCCAACACAGGCTAAACACAGCATTGGGGGACAATGCAGGGTATTGATTCTTTGAAGGGCTTGATTAAAATAGATCGGAAATTAATTGGGGGAAAATTCCGGAGCAAAACTGTTGGGAACTTTTTTTTAAAAAAAGTTAAAAGTGAACAAAAGGTCTTGAAGAATTGGTCGATTTTAAACAAAGGTGTGAGAGAGCGAGAGAGAGAGCGAATAAAAATAAAAATTCCTCTGATTAAAATGCCGGTCATTGGGTCGGGCTGTATGTAGCCTTAAGAGAATTCAAGAGGGATAGGAATGGGATAGGCAGGTTGCGAATCATGTGCAAACGTGTCGGTCAGGAGGGAAGTCACAGCTGCCGAGATCACTGGCTGTTAATGACCCGATCGACGACACCTGTTAATTCCCTCCGCACACCTTTTATCTTCAGTTTCCACAACCTGCAGCCTTGTGCTCTCTCTCTCTCGCTGAGCAGGTACATCAAGTGCTGGAATAACAGTGAGTCAAGTGCTGAGTTGAAGGAACCATGTGCTAAAAATATATCACTCCCTCCACCCTGGCCTTGGCCCCGCTCACACCACAGGTAAGAGACAGATGTAGTGGTTTCTAGAACATTGTCCCTCAAAGAGCCATCTGCAGTGAGGTCTAGATTCCACCATTCCTCTGGGGCCCACAGAGTGGAGAGAATCCAGTTGGTTCCACAGGTGGGATGAGTGCTGAGGGTCGCCTTTGCTTTGTGGTTTGAGCGACGGGCCGGGTTAAGGAGAACCCAGCCTCCGCATTGCGTGTGTGTCGGTCTCACTCCAGTAGGATGGCAGTGCAGGGCACGGGGGTGGGTGGTTGGGGGCAGGGTTTGCTCAGTATGGCTCAGCCCCGGAGAGGTTCGCCAGCTGGATCAGTGCCAAGGCCCCATGCCACCGCTCCCTCTGCTCCTGCAGGTGCTGCCAGGCACAGGTCTGGTCCCGTTCGCTCCCTCTCGCCCCGGCCTGCTCCTGCTCCGAGCTCTGCTCATCCAGTCCCCCCTTCACACCCACAGACCGTTGCTCTCGAGTCTGCCAGTATCTGAGCAAGAAGAAAAGGAAAAGACACTTTAAGGATAGGTGCATAATAATAATCTTTTCATTTGGTATAGCGCCTTATCATGTCATTGAGACGTCTCAACCTGTTTCACAGCGTATATTGTAAAGTGAATTGACTGTATTTTGTGGAAAATATGCATGAAAGAGTGTGATAAAGTGCGTGCGGGGCAGAGGGCGTGCAGGGAGAGAAAGACTGCAATAGAATGCGCGGGGAGAGAGAGCGCGCGACAGAATGTGCGCCGGGAGTGATTGCAAGCAAGAGACGCAGCGAGCAAACCAGACCCATCTCGGAGCAGTTGGGAGACATTTCTGTGCCGCACTCAATCAATCAGTCACAAGGTTATTTATTATAATAGAGAGAAAGGAGTGTTGGTGGCGAGAGCAAAAGGATTTCTTGCTGAAAGTTCCTAGCGGGCAGTGCTGTGCCCCCTCACCTGGCCAGCCACTCCGCCACAGCCTCATCAGCCTCGCTCTTCCCAGTCCTGCCTGGCTCGCTCGCGCACTCCCGCCTCATCAGCCGTGCGTAGGGGTGCTTCGAGCAGCGACGGTTGGCGTGAGTGAACTTGCTCGCACAGCCTGCAGGGAAGTGAAAGCTCCCGATTATTTTGCCCGCCCGAAATGACTTTGGTGATCTGAAACAATGACTTTATCGGGCAACCATTCCAACCTGGAGCGAGGCGAGCGGCTCCGTTGGTCGGGCTCCGGGTCGGAAGGGTGTGGGCTCAAACCCCAGGACGTTGAGGACACAGTGCAGCTGGACACTCCAGTGCAGCTGGACACTCCAGTGCAGCTGGACACTCCAGTGCAGCTGGACACTCCAGTGCAGCTGGACACTCCAGTGCAGCTGGACACTCCAGTGCAGTGCTGGAAGCTCAGTCGAAATTATTCAGGTGGACTTTAAAAATCCAGCCTGTAATGGTCATTTTCCGCCACACGGTGTCGCTGTTTCTCCATCAAAAAAAAAACAACCGGGTGGATAAACAGCGCCGCCCAGTGGCCACCACGAGCAAACGCGCTTTAATAAGGACTGGAACTTTTGACAGAAATTCCAGTCGTCTTCGATAATAATTTATACTCACATCAGCGCCTTTCAAGCCCCGAACCAATCCAACCGCAGGATTCAGACAAGGTTTCAAAATAGTTTCACGCATTAACGCTGTTACGATGCTGATTAGATATTTTTTTAATCAACCACAACAACCGCAACAACTTGGGATTTATATAGCGCCCTCCGCGCCTGACGGCGTCTCAGAGCGCTTTGCAGTCACGGATCCCGGGACCGAGCCGGGGGGTGGGTGGTGGGGGGGGTGAGAAGGTGACCAAAGGCGCGGTCGAAAAGAAAAGTCTTCAGCAGAGACCTGAAAATGGGAAGGGAGGGAGCGAGACGAAGGGAGTGAGGGAGGCAGTTCCAGAGCCTCGGGGCGTAGTGGCTGAAGGCACGGCCGCCGAGGGTGGAGCGGAGGACTCGGGGGACAAGGAGGAGGCCAGACCCGGAGGAACGAATGCAATGGGCACTGTTTCGAGGAGAGGAGGTCAGAGAGGTAGGGGGGTTGCAGAGGAGTGGAGGGATCAGAGGAGCTATTCTTTCTAATACCACAACCCAGGCACTGGGTGCTAACCCCTCGTGAGTTTGTTCAATCTGACACCCTCTTTACTGAAGACACTTTCTAAGAACAATCAATGGGATTTCAGTGAAGCAGAAGAACAAAGGTGAAATCTTCACACTTAAAATGTGACACCAAACAAAAACTCGAAGTGCAGTGCGATTACAGTTCTTGTCCCGTTTTGGGTCTAAAGGAAGCATTTTAGATTCATAGAAAGTTTACAGCTTAGGAGGATGTGGTTTGGTGTATGCTGCCTGCGCTAACGTTAACTTTATCACAGAAGCTATTTTCTCTAATCGCACTGCTGGTGCCAGTGCTGGAAGCAACTTGTAGGATGGGGACTTGGGTCTGGGACCAGAGGGATTCCGGTGGAAGTGAACCCCAAGCATCAGATTAGTGCACTGAATTAAGTGGGGGGTTTTTCCCCCCCTTGTGCAATAATAATCACAATAATCCTTGCATTTGATATAGCGCCTTATCACGTCGTCGAGACGTCTCAAAGCGCTTCAATTCACTTACTGTAAAGTGAATTGACTCGTGTATTTGTGGACAAAGCCTATGCTCTAAATAAAACTTTGCTCCCCTCCCTCCCTTTGCTCCAGTTACAATTCTTCCTGTGTAAAATGACTAGGAACGTGCTCAGTGCACTTGGGTTCCTGTGGTTACGTTGATTCGTGCAAGTCCCTTGATTGATCCCAGTCTGTAGCCCCACAGGACCCCCCTCTCACCTGGCTCCGAGCAGGTAAAGGGTTTTTCTCCGGTGTGAAGCCGTTGGTGAGTCTTCAGCTGCCCGCTCTGCACGAAGGCACGGCCACAGCCCGGGTAATCGCACGTGTAGGGTCGTTCGCCTGAAACGAGGGGAAACAAATCGTCGTCACTCTTCAGCTCACGGCAATAACAAGGTCAGGTTTCGGGGAGCCAACCCGCTTGATTCTTTTAAGAAATAACACCTCGGGGTACAGTGTATGGCTTGGGACGTGACGTGTGCAAGCGACTGGCAGGATGGTGAAAGGAGAAACTGGATGGACCTTTGGCCTTCTTTCGTCCAGCAATTCTTACGTTCCACGCTTTATTCCGGCAGACAATAACTGGGAGCGAAAGCAAAGTCTGTCTACAAAAGTTGCTCGTCAAGATGAGAGCCATTGAAGGCTTTCACCCAATCTCAGGATCCAGGTCATTTACAGCACAGGTTATAATAATAATCCTTGCATTTGATATTTCAAGTCTTCGAGACATCTCAAAGCGCTTCACAGAATATACTGTAAAGTCAGATACGAGGTAAAGCTCCTTTTATAGCCATCCCATCCAGAATTTTCAGGTTGGCTTCCTTGCTGGAAGGGAGAGGAGTGGTGAGTTGCCCCTTTACACAGCTGTGTAACTGGCCACAGGAAATATAAATCCGGGATCACAGAAGGAGCAGTGAGACACACGAGGCTCCCAACGTTGCGTCCCAGAGGAGCTCGTTTCTAAAGGTACCTTTCAGCGCCACATCCACTCACTCACCTGTGTGTGTCCTTTTGTGGGCCTGAAGGGATTTTTCTCGTGGGAAAACGCGGTTACAAATCTCACAGCGGATTCGGCTGGTGGACATGGTGCCTTCCGTGATCAGTTCCCGGACAATCTCTCCCCGCGGACGGCCACGCCGAATCCCGTCCTGGAACAGACGGAATTATTTTACCACGACAACCACCCCGCAGCCCCTTGAGTACATCTAACACTCCGGCCTGCGGTTCTGTACTGCCTGAACTGAGTTCAACCGGGATCACTCGCTGTCAAAACCTGTAGGACGGGGACTTGGGTGTGGGACCAGAGGGATTCCAGTGGAAGTGAACCCCAGTAAGAGTCAGTGACAAGTGGTGGTGGTGGGGGGGGGGGGTGAGTAGGAAGTTGAAAGAAGGAACACTGAATTGCAACAGGGTGTGGCCAGTACACGCCTTCCAACATCACTGCTTGAAAGTGATGAAACGCGATGATGATAATAATAATAATAATAATCCTCGCGCTCGACACAGCGCCTTATCTACAACTCCGAGGCGTCTCGAAGCGCCTCTCACAGGACATGCGGCGTGAAGTGAACCGACCGACCGTTGTGTCTCGCGGGGGGGGGGGGGGGTGGGGGACTCCACGAGCCGGTCAGGATTTTAAGAGGGCAAAAGCGCGTTTGAACGGGCTCGATGGGCTGAATGGCCTCCTCCCTGCTCCCTTGCAGCCGCAAAGTGACCGCAAATGAACGAGTCAAAGAAGCTGCAAATTCTGGGCTCCCATTAGGACAGTGAGTGGAGTGGAGTGAAGTGAGTGAGTGAGTAAGTGAATGAATGGATGAATGAATCACTGGCCCCGCCCCCCCGCCCCGCTGCGCGCCTTCCAGCAGCCAATGGCGCTGCAGTTTCCTGGGCAACAGAACGTTGGCGCCCGCGATTTTGGCGCGTTTTCTCCGTGTCATTGAGAAAAAAAAACCCTCTCTCTCTCTCTCTCTCTCTCCCGTAGAGGAACCACTTGGGGTTACACTCTCGATGGCCACGTACTGGAGTGACAGTGAAGGCACTTAAACCTGTCGTGATCAGTCAGGACCCCACAGGAGTACTTTGATAAGAAGTGTCTCCCCCCCCCCCCCCCCACCCACACACACACACCCCCCACCCCCACCCCACCCCCACCACACACACCCCCCCACCACACCCACACACACACACCCCCCCCACCCACACACACCCCCACCCACCCACACAATTATTGTTCCCAGAAATTAGGTGGGAATCAGCCGGGATAACATCCTGCAAAGTGTCTTTTTTTTTAATGTCCAGATCTAATGCATTAAGGAAGGGTTTAAGAAGTGACCCCCACACCCCCCCCTACCCCACCATTTCCCCCCCCACCCCCTACCCCACCATTCCCCCCCCCCCCCCCCCACACCCCACCGCCTCAAAAACAAAATCAAATCAAACGCGGACCAGGTCTCACTTTCCGCAGCCGGTGATCAGTGTCTATTATTATTATTATTACTATTATTATTTTTAATTTAAACTTTAATTGAACCTTTTTGCATTCGCAAACTCGATTTTTGTTTCTAGGTTTTTTAAAAAAAAAGTCAAATCGAGCCATAAGCTACAATACACCCCCCCCCCCCCCCCAACAACCACCACCCCCCCCCACCCCAACAACCCCCCCCCCCCACACCCCCCCCCCCCAGTTGGATCCGCTGCAGGACATGGTCAAAGCTCTTTACCTTGTAAGTGGGGTAGTCCGGGCTCTGGTGGGGAGAGGTCGATCCCGTTGACCCGGTGCTGGGAGTTGGACTCGGGCTCATGTGCTCGGAGTTTTCCGCCCATCCGCAGGGAAACACCACAGAAACCCCCCCCAGACCCAGACCCAGACCCAGGTCCTGGGCACCGACCTTGGACTTGATCACAGACACCACCATCCTCTCGGGCGAGACGCGCGCCGCCGCCGCCGCCGCGCCCCCAGACATGATGATGTACATTTAATTCTATATATTATTTTTTTTAAAGAAAAGACACTTTGCAGTCGCTTCCTTTTTTTTTTGCTCTCTCTCTCTCTGTCTCTCTCTCTCTGTCTCTGTCTCTCTCTCTCTCTGTGTCGATCTGTGTGGCTTTCTCGCTCCTTTCCCGCGTATTCTGCGATCAGGGACTCCGTCGGTGGGACCGACCTGAGCGGAGGGGCAATAGTGGGAATCCCCGCGCGCTTTCCACCCAATCAGAGGTGACGGGTTCTCGGTGGTGTCGAAGTGGGTATTTAAACTGAATTTTAAACAGCGATTTGGAAATGAGTCATCACACACACACACACACACACAGAGAGAGAGAGAGAGAGGGGGGGGGGGGGGGGGGGAGATAGGGAGGGTGGGACACAGCCACAGACCTGCTGCAAAGCTCCCCCCCCCCCCCCCCCCCACTTGTGGGTGGATTGGGGGGAGATCCCCCACCCCCCCACCACCACCACCTCCTTCTCTTGCTCCATACCCCTCACCCCCCACGTAACGCAGCTTTCTCGGTCGGCCCTTCACCTTCTGGTCAATCGAACGCCCGGTAGTCGCTCGCGCGGTCCGCCCGCCGCTTGCCCGCAAGGCGCAAGTCAGTCCGCTTTTGAGCGTACGTTCCGCGCAGCGCTTTGAGATGTCTGGAAGACCCGATGAGGTGCTATATTCGAATGCAACCATTACTGTCATATTCATTACCTGTGGGATATTTGCTGCGAATTATACAACGCGCCACAGTAAACCCTGTGAGATGTGCGGTGAAACGATAAGAGCTCGGATTCAAATGCAAGACCCGTTATAAAGTAATGGTTTGCACGATTTGGCTACGATGGACATTGTATTAAATGCTGCGTATCATTTATTACGCAGCAGCAATGTTGCCTCGGGAAGTCGTACAGACAACTCGTCTGCATAGCGCCTCTGGACAGATGTCAAAGCAGAAGAATTCTGCCATTTAAAAAAAAAACCACAAATATTCATAGGACCTCATATCCAGTTTGAAATAGTCAAAACTATTGTATTGTCAGTATCAATATAATCACACATACAAACGTTTGCAACCATCCATTTTATTCAATCAGTTTCCAAAATAAACAGTTCTAATCGGTCTTTACACCATTTTGTTGCGGCAAACTTCAAAGACTGCATTCATTTAGATAAACAACCTAGGACTGTGAATGTTTCTATTGGGATTCTAGTCAGACTTCCCGCAGACCATGGTTAAATCAAAGTTTGTAGATATTACGTCCAGTTAGTGGCGAAACCTTGGGCAAGTTTCCTTACTCCACACAGAGCCTAATAATAATCCCTCCAAAAACCCCAAACAATAATAAATTGGTCATTTTCAATCTACGACTGTTTGTGGGACATTGCTGTGCACAATTGGCTGCTGCGTTCGCCCACAAATATACAGTCAATTCACTTGACAGTGTGTTCTGTGCAGCACTTTGGGACGTCCTCCTGACGTGAAAAGCGCTATATCAAATGCAAGGATTATTATTATTAGTGTTATCTCTCAATTTTGTTTCACGCAAGTTATATCTACAAAAAAAATTATTGGCTTTGTAATAATTCTGCACACAAGTTGATTGGGCTGTTTTCCCACTTTATCATGCTAGAATTTGTGTTCGTCATTAACAAACCCACACAGACACACACACACACACACCTCATTATAAGCCAACAGATGCTGGGGTGTCGAGGGGCAGCTGACAGTGGAATCGTCTAACAGCCAGATTTACTGTCAGTCTTGCCAATGGAATAAATTCAAGTTGGTTAGCAATGGAATTCCCCCCACAGCACTGACTGACTACTCTTGTCCTCTCGATAGCAGCCGTGTACTATTTCTGCATTGTACACTGGAAGTTAAAAGGGCAGATTGTTTAATACCACATTAGCCCTGAGCCCCTGTATACTTTCTATAATTGCTTTAAGTGAGGTGGTTGTTCATAACAGTCATTCCCTCTTGAAAACTTGTTGAAGTTGCACTGATAAAACCCACAATTCAGATTACAGTACTAAAATAAAATCCCTTGGTGGCTAATTTATTCACTGAACATCCTTTAGCACAACCCCCCCAATTCCATATACCCGTTTCCACAGCTACTAATTCATTCATCCACCTAGGAGGATTTGGTATCTAAAGTAAAATATTTTCATTTTCCATTACTGGATGGAGAATAGAAGCAAGAGTTGTGTCCTCTCTTTACTCCTCTTTGCTCAGGTCCTTTGCAGTATAGCACTGCTTCCCTGCTGAGTTTAGCTAATTCTGCAGTATCCAGGGATTGAAACTTGGACCTTCATGGCCAACAGTAAGCTTTTTTTAAAAAAAAGAATTCTCATAATGTACAGTAGAACAGAATACATTCTATGGAACAGAATACATTGTGAAGGTATGTGGCCACATGTGGCATGGCTTGATGGTAAGTGAAGCACTTGTGTTGCCTCTCTCCAATCCCACCTCAGATAAGCATTCCCCAGTCCACTATTTTCCATTTCTCACATTAGTAGTAAAAAATGAAATCACTGAAAATGACCCCTCAAACAAGAATGTTGATTTGTGCTGCAGGTTCATATTTAGAGTGAGATAACACAAAGCTCATTTCACAGGCCAAGGACACTCGACCATTAGTCTGGCCTGGATTCAAACTCAGGTACGGCACAAAGTGAAAGGCCTGTGAATTAAACCCACTGCACCAGTCAATCCCCCATCAAGATCATGGACTCTTTTCTTGAAAAGAGGGTAAGGGATGACCTGATAGAGGTCTTTAAAATGATGAACGGGTTTGATAAGATAGACATAGGGAAGATGTTTCCACTTGTGAGAGACCAAAAACAGGGGACGTCAATATAAAATAGTCACAAATAGATCAAATAGAGAAGTTAGAAGAAGTTTCTTTATACAAAGAGTAGTGGGAATGTGGAACATGCTACCACAAGGAACTGTTGAGGCAAATCGGATAGTATTTAAGGGGAAGCTAGATAGGTAGATGAGCGTGAAAGGAACAGAAGGTTATGCTTGAAGGCTTAATTGAGGAAGGGCAGGAGGAGGCTCACATGGAGCATATACACTGGCATAGACCAGTTGGGCCAAAATGGCCTGTTACTGTGCTGTATATTCTAATGTAAAGCCACATGTGCTCCATCTTCACAAAAAAACAGAAGTTTACATGGATTACAATTTGATGGATTTGACAAACTATTTGAATTCTCCTCAGCTTTATCACAAGGTGCCGCTTCAGTACCGCTGAAGAGATTCCCAGGATGGGGCAGAGGGTGGCCTGTGCCCTACACGATGTCCAGTGAATTATACAACCGTAGTCTTAAGCCTTTCAGCAGGCGGACGGCGCAGAGATTTCAACCCGTCCCTGACCCTGAACCACCGTCAGCCCTTTACTCAGGAGGAAAGCGTCCTGCTTTGGCTCACGCCCCAAGAAATCCTTCAGCATGTCCTCGGCATCCACTGAACCGCCTGGTTTAAGGATGAAATTACGGTAATCCATGCCAACCTGCAAACATGGGGAACAAGTTAGATTGGCTTTGCAATAATAGAAAGTTCTATTTTTTATTTCATTAAGAAGGCAAAGATATTTCTGCATTGCCATGTTATAACATGCTGTGTACACAAAGAAACAACAGTCAACTGTTGCTGGCTTCTGTTACTAGTGTTGCGTTGAACTGTAGACATCAGTGTCAGAACAACAATTCTATCTCCGATAGTTGTCCCAAACAAGCAAGTAAGAAAAAAGAATCACAGCTTCCTCAAAGATTTCAAATCCTGTGTAAAATTCATCAAAGTACCTTTGAGTTCATGATTCCCTCCTGTCGGTAGCGGGTATAGAACATGTCCATGGAGTAGACCTCACTCCACAGGTAGCCATAATATTGCGCATCGTAGCCTCCAGCCAGATGCCCAAACGTGGCAGGCATGTTCGTTCCTGGCAAAAACAAAGGCTAATATTAAGATGTTTCTGCTGAACTACTTGAAATATCTGTAAGAAATCACACTAGAGGTGAGCTATTAGTTCTGACAAGATGGAAGGTTTGGAAACCCTACAAATGGAGTTTGTGTAATGCAATCACATGGTGACTGTCTGATCTGTTGTTTGTTGAGCAGAGGCCAAGCGCTATCCTTTGGATGATATGTTAAATGTTAAACCCTTCTGGCTGGGCAGGTAGGTGTTAAAGATTCCTTGGCAGTATTTAAAAAGGTACGTCTGTGGGACTTCACAGCACAAATTGGCTGTGCATTTGCCTAACAAATACACAGTCACTACTCTTCATAGTAAACCCTGTGAAGCATTTTGCAATGTCCATCTGACATGAAAGTGGCTATATCAAATGCAAGAATCATTGATGCAGCTGCTCTATGGATACCCACAGACTTGGCAATTCATGTGCTCTCATCCAAAGCCCCACCAGTCCCCACCCACTGCACTGCTGCTCTCCACCCAGTACCTGGCGAGGCTGGAACTCCCATGATCTCTTTGCAGAGCTTGCTGTATTCTTCCTTCGGATCCACACCGACATTCTTGTGCAGCGACTGATCGACCCTTGCCAAAACTATCTGCCGCAAATTAAAGAGCCCTGTACAGAGAGGAGAAATGTGTACATTTACTGGAATCATCTGAACCCATGTGTTCTGCCTAATCTCTCAAGATCATGAGAGCACTGTGAGTGAGAATCCTAATGCTTACAAGTTCTAGGCCTCTGCAATATAAGGAGACCTGTTTTCATTTGGGATTTTGTTTGTGGGACATTGGTGTGCACAAGTGGCTGCCGCTGTTCGCCCATAAAATACAGTCAATCCATTTTCCTGTGAAGTGCTTTGAGACAATTCAACGATGTGAAAAGACGCTACATCAAATGCAAGGATTATTTGTGCACAGTCTCAGGCACATACAGTATGTAACACATCATCTGATCTTGTTGAACTCAAACAGATACTGAAATGTTTGACCAGATTGAGTATGTGGAGAAATAAGTTAACTTGGTTGCAGACTGGTCGAGTTTCTGTTTCAATCTGCTTCTGGTGATGCGAACTAGCTGATAGAAACAATATGAGTAAACCTACCAGTGTTAGCAAGCCTGGACTTCAAGAGTTTCTCCAGCAGGTCCTCAGGAATGGCAGTCCCGTCCTTATAGTGCTTGGACATCCGCAGCAGAGGCTCCTTTTCCCAAACCCAATTCTCCAACATCTGGGATGGAGCCTCCACAAAATCCCTCTCAACGTGTGTTCCGCTGAACATGGCGAACTCAGCCTGTCAGACAAGAGGAGAGTCAGTTCACTTGCACGTCACTGTGGTGGCCAGATCCCTGACGATCTGGGTGGGCAGAGACTTCAAATGCAACTCGTACAGACTTGGAAGGTTCCACATTTAAATCTCAGCCTGGAATAAATTAGTTTTAGTGCCAATGAAGTTGTACCCCAGAAGAGGGGGGGAGAGGGGGAAATTGGTAGGCCCTCATCCCATAAGATTGTGGAGCTTGAGTCTGGACAGCAGCTAATAAGAGCAAGCTGAAGGCCTAGATCAGGCAAGGTCCTGCTATAGTTTAGGTTCTCCTGTGGCTTCTTGTGTGGCAATGTGGATAGGCTAACTGGTAAATCAACAGCAACAAAAGCAGAAGTCTCACCTGGGAGCAGATCTGATGCATCACATGGCCAAACTCATGGAAATAAGTCTCTACTTCATCGTGCTGGAGCAAAGATGGGGCATTGGGGGTGGGCTTGGTAAAGTTAGCCACCATGGCAGCCACGGTGATCTGCCGGCTTCCATCAGGCAGCAGACAGCCCGGCTGGAGACCGAAGCAAGCAGCGTGTCCGTACTTGCCCTCCCTGCCAAACATACACCGGAGAACAAGATTAGAACAGTCCCCACCTACACTTCGACCAATGACATGTTCAACACCAGATAACATGCTCAACACCAGATAACATGCTAAGCAATTCACAATGAAAGTTTAGACTTTTAGCGAAGGATTTCATCACATGGGAATGAGTGAAATTTACAAATTCATGGGGGAATGAAGTTCAAATTCCACCCGTCAACTTGATCTTGGCAAACAAAAATAAAATGAAAAGACTTCAGAAGAGTCTTTTGATTTAAGTTTACCGCCAAAAAGTGAGAAACACTGACTATCTTTTACTCCAGTGGGTAGAGGAGAGGGTTAATTGCACAACTATATTCAATCCAGAATTAAATAATCACCTTGGATACAAATCTAAGTAAAACTGTCCAATCAATTCTCTGCTTGCTGTGTCTTTGACGGAGTACATGGTCACATCCTCGTGCCAGGCAGATTCTTTCACCATCTGATCGAAGGTCAGACCCAACAGCTCTTGGTAAATATCCAGCAGCCCTGACGTCACAACATCCATTGGGAAATATTCCTTCAGCAGATTCTGGTCCACCAAGTACTTCATCTCCTCCACCTGGTTCATGTAGTACCGTAAATCCCAGGCATTTATGTTGTCATCAAAATCTAGCCCTCGCTTCTCACACTCTTTTGTCTTCAGCTCCAAGATGTACCTCCGTTCCTCTTCGCCCAGTGGCTTCAGTTTCCGTGCCAGCTCGTCTAATGGGAACAAAGATTAAAAATGCGCAGTTAACATTGGCAAATTTGGCAACTGACTCCCTTTAAGTGCAGGATGAAACTGAGCAGAAACAAGGAACTTCCTTAAGAACAGAAATAAAAGCTTCTTGGCTAGATGTTCAGAAAGGGCTCTGCTGGAAACCGGGGAGGTTGCTCGAAAGTAATGGATTCAAATCTACAACGACCTTGTCCCAGGTGTTGTTGTGCAGAGGTCTGATCACACAATTGCCAGAGGACCGCATGTAAACACATTGCCTGTTTTGAAGCCAGGCATGGTCCAGTAAATGAACAGAATTACCTAAACAAGAGCCTCACTGCGGACTTTGAAGGATTCTAATCTTTAATAGTTCCTAAATGCACTTCCAACCAGGCACAGCACTGCCTGGTAATAAAGAGCTTCCTTACCCAGAAACACGCTGACATTTTTGCTGTTCTTGGCCATGTTCATCTCCAGTACAAAGTCAGCGTGGGTGTTGAAGCTCAGGAGTGCAGACTTCTTCCCACGAAGTTCCACCAATTCCTTAAGGATTTTCGCATTTTCCTACAACAGTAAGATACAAATTTGCTTTCTTTCACTCTTCTCGGATGTCCTCCCGACGTGAAAGATGCTCTATAAATGTAATTTTATTGTTGTTGTTGACACTGAAAAACATTCTACTATATGGGTGGAACATAATCCTAAAGGAGATCTCTGTTCATTCTTGGTGACTTGACGTCCCTTCGTTTCTCTGAAAAGCTTTTACGAAGCCCAAAAGCAATCCTTCTATGCAGACAAAACCAGGCAACTTACCTCCTTACACCGTGAGTTAAAGGCTTCCTCCATCTTCTTTCGTGTTTCTGGGATGTAACACTTCTTCATTAAGGGAAAGTAGTGCGGGTATTTCAACGTCACCTTCAGCTTTCCTTCTTCACTCTTCTCCAGGCTGCTTATAAAATCATCAGGGAGACCACCTGAAAAAAAAAAGTGAAAGCTAAAATAGAGAAACAAAGGGACGGAGACGTGCAAAGTGACTTCTTTTTTTTATTATTACTCAAAATTTTTAGAGTCTTATCACTCTTCCGTACAACAGGGGAATCATTCAAAAAAGTACTATATCTCCCTTAGACTTTGTCACCTTTACTCTCCATTCCCACTGAAGTATTCACCCATAGATGATTCCAGTCTTACCCAGCTCCTCCTGGGTAAACTGCAGGAAAGTGGTGTTCTCATTCAGGTTCTTGTTGAAATCGATGCACAAGGTGCTGATTCTCTTCTTGATGCTTTTGATTTCCTACAGTAAAGAAAGGAAGACATTCAGCTATTTCTCTGATACCTATTATATTCACAGGGTACGAGATAAATATTTGAGACAAAAAAAAATATTCAACCTTAAGGGGCCCCAACTGCTTTTTTTAATATATCTATAACACATCCACCAGCACAGATAACACCATATCATCTGTATCCTTTCTGTTAGACATCCTGATGCTCACCTCTTGCTTATCTTTGTTCAGGTGAAGCCCGTTCCTCCTTCCCAGTTTAAGAAGTCTTTCCATGTAACGTTTGGCCTCTGGACGCAGTGCATCAGCCTGGCACTTCTCCTGAAAGATCAAACCGTCAGTGAACGGAGAGCTCCATAGCCTTTCATTCGTGTATTTGATCCTAGATTTTGAACAGCAATTATTAAGTTTAGTGTCAAAGTCCCCCACTCCCAGGGTAAGACACAATTCCAGATTCTTTCAGAAATGCCTCAGGGTTTCCCAGAAGTGCTGCTCCCCACTCAGCGTGCAACTGATTCTCACCTGAAGAGCTACAATCCTCTGGTACACATCCTCTCTCATGCTCATCTCTACATCAAATTCAGATAGCCGTTTGTCTGCCTCTGTGCTCGCAGTTCGAATCTCTTTGCAAGGAGAGACATGCTGAGGGAAGTCCAGAATGTTTCGGTGCACTGAAATAATCAAAAGAAAACGCTGTTGAGCATCAGGAAAATGACTCAGCAAATCAACATTGTACTGTGTGGAGACCAGAACCCCAGGGACTCTCAGCTTTAATGTTTGTAGCTTCTGAAAAGACAAGCAGGTGATCTAGGTAGCATAACACTTTGATGCAACTTATTGCAATCAGAAAACTCGTAACTAGAGGTAGAAGATTTCAGAGACATTCAGGAAATTCTTCTTCTCAGTACTACTGATATGTATACTTTTACAATGTCATAAGTGAGAAAACAGATCTTTCATTTACCCAACTAAAATAAATAATTCCTTTTATGTTGTAATGAGTTCTCAGTGAAAAGCGCTTGGGGCAGTCTCAATTCACTTGTGGGATTAGATGATGCTGTGTCCCTGTCGAGAGATTATGCACTGCGATCCAGACAAAATGAAATTTTCATACAAAAGTGGAACTCAGTAACTTAGATGTTATATTATTACTATTATTAAGCATGGTGATGGGCTCCCGCGCATGTGAACACCTGGCTGATCAAAAGTTCATAAGTTGAGAGCACAAAACTGTCCTTGAGTTCCCCAATTCTAACATGTGTGGTTATGAGATTTCCTGGAAATAGATGATTTATACCTATAGGCGGGAGAGTGTAAATAACAGCTTTATCTGCATCTAACCTATGCTGTACCTGATCAAGCTTGAAGCTAATAGGAATGTGCAGGAAAAATGTCTCACCTGAATATTCAGGGATTTAGCATTTTTGGTTATTTCATATAGAAGATGCTCGTACAGCATTATACTACAGTACAATGGCCACCATCATTATTAAAAGTTTGTACTTGGCATAAAAACCTACAGCGTTGTCCTCTAATATATACAGTACATCGGGTTGATTGGTCAGTTTATAACTTCGAGATCCTTTGTCTATTGTGAAAAATCAAACACATCCCCAAATTTATTTGGTCCAACAAAGGCCGTGGAAGAGATAGGTAAAGCCCTCAGTCAGCGGCTCTGCACGGAAAAACTGCTGAACATTTTGAACTTTTGCTTACATCTGCTTACAAAAGGCTTTTTTTTCCCCACAATACCTACCCCTCTGACCAGGGCTTTCTGTTCACATACAATATCAGTCAGCGTGGAAGGGTCACCAGAGAAAATTCTTTATGCTTCACCGTCAATTCATACTAAATAGTGCAGCAAAATGGTTCTGCTTTGTTGTGGACATTTTTTTTAAAAAAAATGGCAAAGTGTAATTTTCTCATTCTTTAAACAGCATTAGGGAGAATGAAAAAGGAGGGGGAAAATCTTTATAAGTACAAGAACAAAACACCAAGCGCCCTTCTCTCGTCATTGCTCAGAGCCCAAGATTCAAGCAAAACACATAAGGTCTGAGGACAAGATGGTTCCGGTGCTTTGCAAGCAATAACAGTAATAATAATCCCTGGCGTTTGATGGCGAGCGCCTTATCGAGTCTTCCGGGACGTTTCAAAGCGCTTCGCCGGGTATACCGCAAAGTGAATACGCAGTGTTTTGCGGATAAAACAGCTCCGCTTGGCAGAGCGTTGCTGGGTGACTCCCCCTCCCGAGGGAGAGCAACTAAACCGTTTGACATCTCCATGTCAGCAATGACGAGCAGCAGATGTCTTGACCCACACAGGGATTTTATCCTTCCAAGTCATCCCAGGCCTCACCAGCAGCGGGACACACACAAAAAGGTCATGACAACCCACTCCCCCCCCTCCCTCCCTATGGCGTTCTCCCCTATGGGCTTCTCTGGGCGGACCCCGTGGTGTAACAACAACAACAACAATCCTCGCATTTGGTACAGCGCCTCATCGCGTCTTGCCGGACGTCTCAAAGCGCTTCACAGGATACACTGCCAAGCGGACTGACTGCATGTGTGTTGCGGGCGAAACGCGGCAGCCGATCTCGCGCGCACACACACACGCGCGCACACACAGAGAGAGAGCGCAGCCCCCGCTCCCTTACCCGTGTACTCCACCTCGATGTCCGCCAGGGCCTTCAGCGTGTTCTCGTAGTTCACCTCGGCCAGGGGCTGCGATCCCACCCGGTCGTACACCTGCTTTGTCCTTTGGATCAAGGCCTCGGTCTCCGATTCGATTTGGCTCCGGCTGAGGTTCCATCGGAGCTGGTTTATGCCCTCGCGGGCGCCGCTGATCACCACTTCGCCGGTAGGAGCCATGTGGAGGGTTGGGTTGGGTGGGGGGAGAAGGTTGGGGTGGGGAAAGCGGTCGGGCGGTAAGTGAGGCCGGAGAGGACACGGGCAGCGATTAGGCCGAAGAGCCGCCGCGCGCTTTCACGATTTCCAGTCACAACGTGAGCACCTCCAACGATTCAAACTTAACTGTCGCACGGCTCCCGCCTCCCGCTTCTCCTCATTGGTCGCCTCGGCCGATCACTCCTCTCCTATTGGTCCGGCGCCACGTCAATCGTACCAAATGCCTCCCCCCGCCCTTGACAGACGGGTTGCCCTCTGATTTTTTACCGGAAGTCCCGCCTAACACGGCTCCCATTGGACTCCTGCCGCCCCGAGCGGCTGCCCTGCCGTTACCTGATTCGTTGACGTCGACGTCAATCACAAAACGGGTGGCCGAGCTGGTGGAAAAGCCGCTCACGTGCGCGGAGAGCGCGACCTCCCCCCTCCCCCCACGCACGCACGGCGCTGCTGGCAGAAGAGCGCATGCGCCCTGGGGCTTTGACGTGCGGGCGCCTGCGCGAAGGAAGGCCGCGTCGGTGCTGGAACGAGTGGCCTACGGGAAAGCAGAGGCGGCGACGACCACGACGGCGGTGAGTGAGTGAGTGAGCGGAAGGAAGGAAGGAGTCTCGGGTGTTGCGGCTGCTGTTGCCGCCGCCGGTAACGGGTCTTCTGGCGGGCGGGTAACCCTCACACTGAGGGAGGGAGGGAGGGGGGAGAGAGGGTGAGGTAGAGCTGCTGAGGCGAGGGGGAGAGGGTGAGGGCAGCAGCAGCTTCGCAAGGCCCAGATCGGAATGTGCTGCCCTTGTGCTCGTGGTTGTCAGCAGCCTGTGTGTGTGTGTGTGTGTGTGTGCGTCAGTCTGTCAGTCTCTCTCTCTATCTGGACAGGCAGCAGCTGGGTCCAGTTGGTGGCCCCCCATTTGCCAAAACGAAAAAAAAAGGATCCAGAAGCCAAAGCCGTCAGTGAGCGAAGTGGATATGTGCTTTATTTTAATACTACCACTACCACTGCTGCTGCTGCTGCTAATAATGATGATGATGATGATGATGATCTTTGCGTTTGATGTAGGGCCTCATCACGTCTTTGAGATGTCGCGAAGCGCTCCGCGTGATGTACTGTAAAGTGAATTGACTGTATATTTTGTGGGGGGGAAAATATGAGAGGGAGGGAGGGAGGGAGCGAGGCCTACCTGTTGTCTCAGCCCTCTGGAGGCAGCTTCGTGGTCGGCACCGCTCTCTTTTCTTTGCTAAGGCTCCTCACGCGAGGACTTGGATCAAGCAGCTGGTATTCAGCGAGCGTCGTTAGACTTGCGCCTTCGCAATATCAAGGTGGCACAAGCTGTCTTGTCTTTCCACCATGCTCAAGACGTGTGTGTGTGTGTGTGTCTGAGCTGTGGGCACAGGAAATTAATGATCCTTGCATTTGATATAGCATATTTTTACGTTGTTGACATTGTGCTTCATGGGATATACAGTAAAGTGGTGCTGTATTTTATGGGTGACCTGATTAGTAACCAGACTGGCTATGCACACCATGAGTGCCTGTCTCTGCCACTACCTCACTCCTTAGTTCAGGCTTGACTATGCCAATGCTTGCTTCCTGGACTCCCCAGCTCTTTCCTACGCAAGCCCTGTGTCCTTTCCTGCTCCAGGCTCTATGAGCTTATCACCCCCGTTCTCACCTTCAAAACCCTCCAAAGTTTCACCCCACTCTTATCTCTGCGACCACCCCAAACCCTACCAATCCAGCTACTCCTTTTCATTCAACCTGATTCAAGTCTTATCGTTTTGACTGTGCTTTCATCCACATTACTCCTCCGCTCCTGAGCTTTTGACAATTTCTGAGTAACAGCTTATTAAAGTGTTATGAAGTTTTTCCTTCATAGCAATATTGAGATCTGTGACTCATAAAGGCTCAAGCTAAAGGACAATATTTTTATGCCCATTATATGGACACCATCGAAATGACTGAACATGGTTAAGGTGCCAATTATACTGTAAAACTCTGTTCAAAATTCTTCTTGGGCTTGAGCTGTTAGCTGGTCCTGTAACTTTTTGAGCCTATTTCAAATTCTCTGAAAGCTTGGTGCTCAATGAAAGAAAGAAATTGCATTTTGGTTATGCCTTATCAAATTGAAATGTCTCAAAGTGCTTCATAGGTAATTATTGTTGAGTAGGCAAACACAGCAGCATTGCACCAACATCATCCAACAAACAGTTGTAGTTGACTGAATAATGAACCTGGAGGATTGGGTGGGCAAGACAGCATTGTATTATTATTATTGTCATCAGATCTTTAATGTTCATTTGAGGACAAGCAAGCAGACTGTGTTTCTGACTTCCATTGTGGTGGGCTACCATTCTTCCTGAACCAATGGATATGCCTCTTGAAATAAATCCCTTTAAATATTAGTTTTAATAGCTGTTTTAGTAGCGAACCATTCCATGTTTCAATAATGTGGTGCCAGAAACATCTTTCCTCTTCCTGAGTTTACATCCTTTTGTTACACATTTGTCAACCAGAAGGAATAATCTTCTACTATTTATCCTCCCTATACCTTCTGTTCCTGCTGTATATAAAGGCCCCATGTTAATTGCTTTCAGCGCAAGTTCCACACAGTTACTAGTGAGTACAAACCTCAGAAAGCAATTTTTTGTTAATGCCTCACAAAATAGCACCCTTTGTACTTGCTACAGGGAATGCAAAAAGTCACACTGGTACAGTGAAGAATGCTTGTTTTTGTGCCATAACATGCAAAATGTTTCAGTGTCAGAGGAGAACCCATCTGTTGTGCACAACAGTACGAGGTTAACTATGTTAAACCGGTTCTGTGACATGCCAAAAGCTCATTGTTTTCAAGTTTTGTGTCGGTTAGGGAAGGCAAATGATGTACTGCTATAAGTATGGGTAGCTGAATACAAATCTTTCTCTATACTTCCACCCTTGGGCTGAAGGTGGTGCAGTTGTGTAATGAATCGATTTGTGTTCATTCTTTTTGTAAATGGGTGCTCCAGTCCCCTGTGGGCTTCAGAATCTGGATGGCCATTATTTTTCTGAAACTTTTTTTATATAAAAAAAACCGTAGCTCTGGGTGCCTTAAATTCTGTGGTTGTGTGTAGCGGTTATTGAATCCTTGGTTCCATTGGATTTGTGAAAAGAATGTGTGCCAAAGACTGCTTGAAATATTACTATAGCCAAGTTCATGCACTGACTGAGCTACATTTACCCTCCAAGTAAAATGCAGACTCTTGTTACCAATTGTAGACACCGAAACATGACTGCCCCATGCAGTTACTGCAGAATGTTTGACATTGTGTTAAAATGTTGTAGTTCAAGAGGATATTGTGAACGTTACAGTGATGTCCTTAAAAGTTAATTTCATAGGCATTAGAAATCCCCCAATTTGGGCTTGAACTTGCAGCCTTGGCTGATACTCCAGAAACTTTTAAGTATTTCTGCACTTGATTTTCTTATATAACACGTCTTACTCAGTTGAACCAGAATCAGACAAGGGAGACTTTTTTTATGGTTGGTCACCCTATTTACTACGTTTTCTATTCCGTCATCTGTGTAGGGGCCTTCAGCCAATATGCCCTGGCTCTTTCCAGCTCTCTCACAAAGTCGTTTTGGTTTGCATCTTTTTCTCCCTGCCTTCAAAAACCTCTCTCTTTGACTTCATCTTTGGTCAACCCTTTTAAATTGTTCATCCTCTCCAACCTGCTCCATATCGACTGTGAAGTGAATCCTTTGTGAGTCCAATTTGCTTCTTTTAATGCTTAAGAATGCCAGTTAGAGGCAGCCTAAAAGTAGAAGTATCATGTAGGAATTTTATCCCTCTTCTCGCTTGTGTCTTGGTAAAGATCCTTTCTAAAAGGGACAGTGAGGAGCTCGCTGTTTGCTATGCAATCGGAGAGCACACGAGAGACTGTTCTACACAAAGCTGCCTCTCACCAGCATTTTTACTGAACAAGAGACTGAAACCTCATTAAGTACACAGATATTCTAAATACAACTTGTAGTCTAATTGCAGTTGATTGCATCGTACAGCAAATCAGTGGTACACAGTTGCTTGGTCTCAGTGCATTGATGTAGATTGGTAGAAAAGAGGAGCCTTCTCTTCCAAATCTATTTGTTTTCATCCAGGCCTAAAATAGTCGGATCACTACTTGGCCTGATCACTGAGAGGACGTCATCTCTTCTTCTTAAGGGGAGGGATAAGTGCCTGCTGCCAATGCTCTTCCTGTTGTCCAGGAATATGTTGCAAGGCCTGGAGGCTCAGCTGCCTTGTTTTGGGAAAGACAAAGTAGTATTTTACAGATTAATTCTGGAAAGAATAAGGTTAAGGACGATAGTTGACGTCTAAAAAGGAATTTTGAATCATTGACTGAACCTTTTATTTTTAGTGTACCGTACTGCTCTGAAACCTAGACTTGGAGGTCTAGACTACACAATTGATAATGACCGACACCAAGCGCCTCGCGTTCTCCATTATCCAGTTTCTACGTGACCAGCTCCAGGGTGGGGATCTTTCCTCAGATGCTCAGGAGAGCTTAGAGGGTAAGTGATGTAAGTCGCGAAATCTGTCATAGAGGAAGATAAATATATACTTTTGTTAAAATAGAAACATACATCAGCTAAAGGCAAGTAACTAACCTCTCATTTTCGCTTTACTGAGCACAAGTTTAATAAAATCTACTGCTCTTTTGTGATTGATGGTAATACATACAATCGTCTATAATTTTCTCCCCTCAGTTGCTATCCAATGTTTGGAGACGGCATTTGGTGTCTCCACAGAAAACGAGGCTCTCGCTGTATCTCAAACCCTCCCAGAGATTTTCGCAGCTGCTGTCAGTAAGGTAAGAATTACACTTTAAAAGAAAAACATTACCCCAAGTTTCCAGTGATCGCATGCGCTTGATACATAGTCTAAAGCTGACAGTTTTGCAATGTGTCAATTGAACATTAAAGAATTGCATTGTGAAGAACTTGCATATGTTATGGTCTCTAGATGCTTAGTAGTAATTACTGTCTTCCAATAGTATTTGGGGATCTTTAACATCCACCTGAACAGGTAGGTGGAATGGTCTGTGTCATCCAATAATGCAGCAATAATGCACCCTGGTCTGTAAGTTCAATTCCCGAAGTAAAGTTTGCACCCATAGCCACATGACCCAGAAACTCATTGAGTTAGGCTGACATCAGTGTGGTAATCTGCTCATTCAATTATATCCAATATCACTAATAGAATTCAAGACTCTTCCAGTAAAATAAAACTTACTTCTTCTCAGGAGCCGCCTCAAGTGACTGTGAACTGCGAGCCCGAATCTCCAACTGTTGAAGAACTCTCAAAAGCAGAGTTGCTAAAAACTGAGGGTAAAAATCAATAATGTTTGGCTGTTTGTACATGATCTAGTAGTTTGAAACCGAAGTAACAGCTTGTGTGAAAAGTTCAGGTTTGGGGTGTTTTGTGGTGGACTACATTTGTTAGAATGTTTTGAGCTGGTGAAAGTTCTGCATTTGTTAAACAGATTTTATGTTGGTGTACCACAGTGTTATGTTAGTTTTCAATGTTTCTTTTAATATTTCTAGGGAGTTTAGGCTTCTGATAATGTGCACGCTTCATGGAACAATAACAATAGCCCTTGCATTTGATATAGCGCCATGTAACTGAAAATCTTAGTGTTTCACAGAATATATTGTAAAGTGGAGTGACTGCATTTTGTGGGCGAAACAAGACAACCAATTGCGCACAATTCAAATTGAGCTATGCAGTGTATTCCTAATTATCTAACCTGTTGAAAACCATAACTCTTTGTTCTTATATTGGGAATTAACGATGAGGAAAGATGGGCAAGTGTAGGAATGGAGCATTCTCAATAATATATGTTAATTCTTAATTTTTCCCCGTTTGATTATTCAGGCAATGAGCAAATGAAAGTAGAAAATTACCAAGGTGCTGTTGACTTCTATTCAAAAGCTATTGAACTAAATCCTAAAAATGCTGTTTATTTTTGCAACCGGTAAGAAGAATACTTTTTTATTTGTTTGTTCCAATCTAAAATCTCATTGCAGCTATTTTGATTTCTGTAACTACAGATGTGTTGAATTGTAAACCTATCCAATTTTTTTTTAAACTCACTCTTTTCTAGGATGTCAAAATTCCTTTCCTCCTTCAGTCTGCTCTTCCTTCTATACTCAACGGGTTTTTAAATTCTAGCTTGCCATCCCCACTAATTATCAAGTTATCTTGCCCTCATTCCAACTTTTTAACCTGGGTGTTTTAGATACTTGGACTTTCAACTTAGTTGCTTGGTTAAGGGGGAATTCAAAACCCCATCTTGCTGCCCTGTCACAATTTGTTTCAAAAACTCTCAGCTTCACTTGATTGATATATTTGTGTTCCTTTTGCAGGGCAGCAGCACTCAGTAAACTTGGAAACTATGCTGGAGCTGTTCAAGATTGTGAAAAGGCGATTGCCTTCGATCCAAGTTACAGCAAAGCCTATGGAAGAATGGGGTAAATAATGCCTGTCGATCTGAGCTACTGATATCCCTGTCCTGACCAAGCTCCATAGTGATCCAAGGCTGGGTTAATGAGTAACCGACAATATAATTCTCTTAAGTAAAAAAAAGTACACCACACTAACTTGCAGGAACTCCTTCCAACTCGGTCTACCTTCAAAGCAGGTTTCCTGCATGTTGAAATCCTGTTGACTGGAAGGAGTTTGCAGTAGATTCCTTAACCAGAAAATTTAGTTTGAAATGGTTGAAATGTCCCTGAAGTTCTAAAGAGCATTTAAGTCCATTCCTATGGGTTTTTAAAAAAAAACTCAGATTGTTTTTGACTCCTTTTCAGGTTGGCCTTGGTTAGTTTAAATAAATACAGCGAGGCTGTTAATTACTATAAAAAGGCTCTCGAGCTGGATCCTGAGAACGAATCGTACAAAGCGAACCTGGGCATCGCAGAACAGAAGATCAAAGATGCTCCGAGTCCAGTAAGTACTAAAACAAACCAATGTCAATGCTGGGAATACACAGCAGGTCAGGCAGTATCTGTGGATGTGAGTCTCTCCATAGATGCTGTCAGACCTACTGCGTGTTCCAAGGTTTTTATTTCAGATTTCCAGCATCTGCAGTATTTTACCTAATGTCAATCCTATCCACTCGTGAAATTAAAATAAGATTATTTGATCTACAAGGTTGGTCAACATTTTAATAAAAGCAGAATAGAATGCAAAATCATTTCCACGGCTTTTGGTTTTCTTAAAAAAAAAAGGCTGCCGAATCAGCTGTTTTTATTTTAAGTTTACATTTGTTACTTGGCGTAATCAGTTATTGCAAGATTTGTACGAATCTCACATACAAAATGTAACTTCATTTGTCAAGCTGTTCTGCCAATAATGGTGATTGAACAACGTTGTATTGTCTGGCAACTTTCTGTTCAGCCACTTCACAGTCACTGTTAGAATGCTGAGTTTGCCAGGAGGCTTGGGTACACAGTCCATTTCTGAGAGTGAATGAAAAACTGAAAAGTTTTGCAGAAATGAGAAGGTTTTTCCATGGTGGCGAGAGGCTTCACAATACCTGAAAGAGCAATAGATTCTTCTGTCTCCTTGATGACCCGTCCCAATAGTATGAGAAAACCTTTATTATCAGCTCATTAACTTTTTTGTTTTGTTTTTTCTTCCCTTCAGACAGGAGGTAGCAGTGGGTTTGACCTGGCCGGTTTACTGAACAACCCGGGCTTCATGAATATGGTAATTATTACCAATGGAAATGCTTTCCTCCTTCCATTTTGGTTTGCATTTGCTTTGCTGCTCATGCACTCCTACCTTCACCCCGAGGCAGGGTAAGGTGACTACGCATCACAGATTTCCATTGCCAGGAGCACCACAGAGGTTCTGCAAGCAGTTGGACAGCTAGAAATGTGCATTACTTGGCAAGGTGCACAAGTTGCACATTAGCTTTCCTTGCACTTGAAATCTTAAAGTGGATCACTCCATCTGAGTGGCAGGTGATACCCAAGCTAGCTGTAGTGGCAGTCCTTCACTTGGAAGCCACACTGAGTCTGCTTGAATGGACTGCAATACAACAGCAGGCCTCAAGACCAAGGAACAAACTTTTCTTTCACTGAGTGTCATTTATACCTTGTGATCAAAAGCATTTTTTTTGTTATTTGTACTTCAATGTTGATTGAATCAGAGCTGTGTAGCTTCCCCAACGGCTTTGAGTTTAGTGAGTAGTTGGAAAGGGCCCAGGTTTCACCCCTGGTCGGTGCTGAGTTAGTTGATCTCAATTGTGGTAGTAATTAAGGCTACAGTTGGCCTCTGCATCCTAGGGAAGGGAAAATACTTCATATTCCCCCCTCCTCATCCCACTTCATGCCCCCTTAATTCTCTTCATTCCCTCACCCTCAAATTGTAGGTGGTGCAACATTTTTTCCTTTCTCCCTCCTTCCCCCAAGCCAGAAAGAAGAAGCGGAGAATTAAACATTTTCAGCAGTGCAGAGAGAAAATAAATCAACACTATTTAGAAAAAGAAATAATAATTTGGTCACTCAATCCATGACTGTTTGTGGAACACTACTGTGCACAATTGGCTGCCCCGCTTTGCCCACAAAATTTATAGTCAATTCACTTTACTGTATATTCTGTGAAACACTTTGAGATGTCTCGAAAATTTGATAAGGCGCTATATGAAATGTAAGGATGATTATTATACAAACCTTTTAACGTAAAATGCACATTTGGAAACGTGTTTTCTTTTCAGGCATCCAACCTGATGCAGAACCCACAAGTCCAGCAGTTGTAAGTCTTGTCTCTCTCATTGACTTCTCCTTTTCCCACATTTACTTTGTTAAAGATGATGGAGATTTTGTCCAATAACATGTACTTTTTTTAATAATTTGCTCTGGCAGAATGTCTGGCATGATGTCTGGGTCCTATGGGCCAGCGATGGGAGGGGCTGGCCCAGGAGCCGGAGCTAATGATATCGCTGGCCTTATCCAAGCGTAAGTCTGTGCTTCTCTTTAAACTTTCTCTCGCTGCCTCTGCATTACATAAGAACATAAGAATTTGCTAGGCGAAAGAAGACCAAGATCCATCTGATTCGTCTTCCACCATCCTGGCAGTCGCTTGACATGTTGTGTCCCAAACTATACACTATATCCCAAGATATTATCTTCTAGCTGAAATCTATCTTAATTTGTTCTTGAAACAAATGACATTTTCTGCTTCCACCGTCTGTCTCTCCAGGGAGCCTGTTGCATAAGTTTACTACTCATTCACTGAAATAGTGTTCCCGCAGATTTCTTCTGAATCTAGCCCCGCTACAATCACAGCCCGTGTCCTCTGGTTCTACTATTCAATATTGGAGTGAAACACATCCGTGCAAAAAGTTTGCAATCCATCTGCCCATCATTTCTCTGTATCTCATTCCCTTTTTGATTTAATTTCTTTGTCGTTCACTGACCTGAGTCATGGGACTTCCAAATTATGAAGGATGATGATGGGGGTCAATAGATCAGTTCCACTGGTCTCGAGTAGTGGCAACTGGGAGAGAGAGACAGGTCAACAGTTCCTCATACCCAAATCCAGGAGGACATTTTCTGAGACGACCCGTTTCTTTTACTGCGCAGGGGACAGCAGTTTGCACAGCAGATGCAGCAGCAGAACCCAGAACTGATCGAACAGCTACGGAGTCAGATTCGGAGCCGAACCCCTAGTGCCAGCAATGAGGAGCAATCCTAACAGCAGACCAGGTGAGGACCCAGCCTCCTGACTCTGTAGTCACCTCAATGTGTATAAGCAACTACATTTTGTTTGCCTACAAATTATACAGTAACTACACATTGCAGTAAATCCCGTGAAGTACTTTGAGACAACAACAAATTACATTTTTATAACGCTTTGGAGGATGTCCCAAAGTGCTGGACAGTCAAGGATTTGGACCCTAACTGGGGATTGGGATCAGGCGGGGTGGAGGGCTTGGAAGGTAGAGGTAGGAGAGTGACTGAAGCTGTGGTTGAAGAGGACGGTCTCGTAACGGGTCTTGAAGGAGGCCATGAAAGAAGCATGCTCTTGAACTACCAAATGCATCAGTGAACATAATACCAAAAGCCTCCCTGCTTTAGAACGTCCATTTTCTGATGTAGATGGAAGGAATGTTACACAGTTGCATGTAATTTTATATCCTTAAATTTCATTTTGAATCAGTACAAAATGTGGTTTGATTCTTTTTAAACCCAGAAAGTCCAGGGATTTACTAAGTTATTAGGATTGGCGCCACTGACGCTCTTGTGTTCTTCCCTGTGCAGGGGTTGAAGGGACAGCTCGGACCCTCACCACAATGACTGGAGGATGTTCGTTCTTCATTTTGCCTTCGGGAACTTGAAGTTATGATTTGTACTGTGACTTGCATGTTCGGGCAGAACCTCCGATCGAAGAACCAACATTTTGTAAATACAGAATTAAAAAAACAAAACTGGGTTTTCAAAGCTTTTTTTAAAAAAAGCTACTATCAACCTTTCATGGAATTTCTCTGTATTATGAGCTTTGTGATTTCACCCCCCCATTGTAATTTTTATTAGAATGTTCAAAGGAGCAGAACATCGCTATGTCATCTCTCCAGAAATCTCCTCTTGTAAGAATTTCTTTTTCAAAACTACAAATTGAGATAGTTTGAACCTCCTCTACTGTTACAGACATATCCCTCACCGTTTCACTTGCATAGCATTTATTTTTCTGTTTTTGTAAATGTATTCAAGTACGATGAGACAACAGAAGCCATATTTAATCAAATCCGGCTCACGCCATGAATTAATTTAGCTGTCCTCTCATCTGTATCGCAGAACCGTGAGTAGAAGCTGGTGTGAGTGGAGAAGGGCCAATTTGTAGTATAAGGCTGAATGGTATTTGTTAACGTGTTTGTCGAATCTTTGAGGGGAAATGTCAGGACACCTATTAACTGGAGAAGCAAGAACACCAGCACTATAAAAGCCAGACGTGTGGTTTTGTATTTGTATTAATTTGAAAATTGTGTGAAATACAGACTGTCCATTACAGGAGATGAAAACTATTGGCAAACAAGCTATCATTGTTTAAAATGTAATCATTCAGTTTGTCATTGCAATTCAACAAACAGCGAGTCCCAGCCGGGTGTTTTGGCCGTGTTTGGAAAGCATTCTGGACGGTAGCTAACTGCACCTTGCACTGCCAAACCTCATTTTTTCATGCTAAAAATGAGGGTTTTAAACCTATTCTTTGAACTGTAGCAAAAAAGCTCGAATTTAATGTTTGGACTTTGTATTCGTTCCCTAATCAGAAAGCGAAGAGAGGACAGAAGAAAGTTAGATGTTTTCCTGTTGTCATGTGAGATCTTTTCCCGTCAAGAACTCCCTTCCGTTAAATGTTTGGGGGGGTGGGGGGGAGGACGAGTTATTCCTAACCCTTTTGTGGTGGTGTTTTCAGTGTGCATACTAACACATGGATTGTGCTGAATGGGCTAACATTGCCTTGGGGCAAATGCAACTTAAAGATTCAAGTAAGGCTTGGATACTAAAATAATTTTGTAATTTGCACATTAAAAACAAATTTTGCCCAGGGAGAGGATGGATCTGATTATTGTCCTATGCGAGATGCAGCCTTTCCAGCCTGTTAGACGTAACTATGAGAGCAAGTTTGCAACACTTCATATTGATGAATATTTTCAGTAGATTGGTTTGATCGGAGGAGAAGAGGTAGTTTTTCTGTTTAAATAAATGAACATAAATATGTTGCATCTCAACTATTATAGCATAATCCTTGTGACTGACAGCTGCTTTACTTAAGATTTGAATACAAATGAATTGCAAAGCCTTTATACATTTGTATTTTAAAATTGGTAGATTCCATGTTACATCCACACAAGAACAACAAACATTAAGTAACATTTGTGATGAGTCAAGGTCTCCTTGTGTAAAACAGTAATGGATACAGTTCTGTCCAGAAGCTTATTCTGTGTGTGTATGTATATATGTATATGTGTGGATGTATTATGCACATTTTGGATGTGGCTTCAAATCTTAGTCCAAGGCACTTCCTCTTCCAGTGAGTGTTGCTGGAAACCATTAGATTGGGTTTGGAAATGGCAGGCCAAAGCATCGATCATACAGCATACGATTGCCCTAGTAGTCTGAAGGAGTGGGTATTTCAGTAGGGCAGCCACTAGGCTTTCATTTGGGGCGGCTGAATATTGGAGAACTCTCAAACCTAGGCTCAAGGCTGAATGGATTCACAAAACATTATCCTGAATGTCCATTACCAAGAGTGTGAATCATAGTGTGTTTTTCCCCAGCTTGGAGATGTGGGTGAGTTTATATTGTGTTCCCAGTGATACTCCATGCTGGCAGGCATGCAGTGAGATTGAGTCAGCACCTGACCTGCTTGTAGTCTCTATCCGCAGGATTCCAGAGGTCTATACAGTCATTAAATTCTTTAAACCTCAAAAGCTGCATTTCAACAGTTGATTTTTTAAAAAAATATACGGTTGTGTGACCAGTGGGTGGCGATGTTGCTTAGCGTCATCTTATTTGAACCTATTCCAGGAAATCATCTAATTGCTTAATTTAGATTGCAAACGTGGGTTAATACCGTAAGCGTACGACTGCTACTGTCGAATAACTTTGTAGGAACAATGGCTCATCTAAACTTACAAAAAGAACCAATTTGAAGAAATACAACACCTCACTGTCATCTTAACCAAAGAAAGCTTTAAAATGACAATGTGTGGGTGTTGACATATATATATGTGTGTGTGTGTATATATATATATGTCTCTATCAATAGTTAGGGATTGGAATCAAGTTTGGGACATGACATGTGCAAGCGACTGCCAGGATGGTGGAAGGAGAAGCCGGAAGGACCTTTATCAAGCAATTTTATGTTCAATCAGAATCTTAACCCTCCCCCACACAAACCACCCCCTCCTCCCCCCCCCCCCCGCTCACACACACACACACACACACAATTAATTAAACTCTTCAGCAGTGACATCCAACCGGAACCATTCTCCCAGCCTCCTGTTGCGCCGCCGGAACCTTTATCCCCGCGGCCACCGGCCCTGGTGCCGACAGGGGAAGCTCGACGGGCGGACTGTTAATGGGCGCCGGACCGGAAACTTCCAGTCGGCGCTGACAACGGTGTGACATGTATTGATGGGTGTGTTGGGTGTGTGTCGCGCATATATATATATATATATATAGTGGAGGTGGGGGCGAGGAGATGAGTTCCTTTACAACACAAACACTGACGGGAAGTGGGCCGGAATGTTGTCGAGGCTGCGCTGCGAGAGGAATATCCGGTTCTGGGTACATGGAGGAGGCGGGTGAGGATCTGGGAGTGAAGGACAGAGCCTGGTGTGGGGGAGGGGAGGGAGGGAGTCTGGGGGTGGGTGGAGGAGGGAGGGAGGGAGTGAGTAGGGAGGGTGAAGGGGGAGTGAGTAGGGGGGGGGTGGAGGGAGAGGTTGTGGAGGAGGGAGGGAGAGGGAGTGAAGGGGGCTTGAGGGGGAGAGGGAGTGAGTAGGGGGGGGTTGGAGGAGGGAGAGGGAGTGAAGGGGGGTTGAGGGGGAGAAGGAGTGAAGAGGCGCTAAGGGGGAGAGAGCGAGGCAAGCGGGAGAGAGGAGGAGTGAAGGGGCTGGTGGGGGTGAGGAGAAGAGCCTGGAGTTATGCAGAGGAAAAATAATGCAAAGCATTGGGTGTAGTGAGACACCTGAACTAAATATCCAGGCTGATCTGTTATCAGCAGCTGCATTGGGGGCAGGGAATCTCCCCCCCCCCCCCACCCCCGCTATTAACCCTGCAAGCTAAAGCCCTAACAGTCCCAATCGTCTGCCCTTTCCTCATACCCTTTTGTAATATTTCTTCCCGGCCCCATCTGCCTTATTCCCTTCCGACACCCAACACAAAAATAAAAGAAATTACCTCAGAAATCCAAATCCACAACTACAAATCAATTAGGGGACATACTTAATCTTGTTTCCTTTTTATTGTTTTGAAGTCTCCTAGTTGCTGTTGAATTGGAAACATTCACAGGTTCATCTCAGATGGCATCTCGGTTGTCCAATTCCTACCCGATGGAAGTCAGATGGAACAGGAAAGAAGGTGGAGGTGCAACTTAACATTTTGAAAAAGGAGAGAACTGTTCCACATCCATGAACTCTCCTATCTAAAGGCTGAGAGCCAGGCACCCAGAACTGATCATGAACCTTGTGGTGGCCAAACTCCTGTGTATAATTGGAGTGTTTCTCCTGATGATGTTAGGCTCTCTGTTACCAGTTCGGTTGACTCAGGGAGATCGTGCCAAAGTGCACAGGTCCAGGAAACTGCTCTTACTGAGCAACTCATTTGGCTGTGGAATATTTTTAGCTATCTGCTTCAACACTCTGCTGCCAGGAGTAAGAGAAAAGGTAAGTTCTTTCCATGTAAGAGCAAATTCCCAGTGTAACTGATGTTTGAAGAGAGATTCTGGAGGAAGTTTTGTGATGAGTTTTGATTGTTTGCAAGGCAGAAGTCATGAACTAAAGCATAAGGATTTCTGGTAATAAGTCGATTAAAAATTAGGTGAACAGGCTTTACTTTGTTATTATAGAAGGCATTTTTGCATTTCATTGTATTTATAGGAATTTTGGAACAATTATTATTAAGCAGTAAGTGAGTGGTTTGTTTTGAATATAAGCCACAAGATCATATCCCAAATTCTAGAGATTACTTTTCTGACATTCAATATCTGGCTCCATTCTTGAAATGGTCAATTTGCACTGCAAGTCAGTTCTAAAGGTGCTGCTCATTCTCCAGTTCGTTGTCCCAAGGGCGATTGTTCATATATTCACCCAGCTAGTGAATGTTGGTAAGTTACTTGACCATACTGGGGGTAGGGGTGGTGGGGAGAATTATAAACTGAGCTCAGATCTGTTCTCACCTTACGACTGACTGCACACATGTACTTTCCAGTAGGAATCCCTGGCCAGTGATCAGAAATGGGAGCCCTGGCTAGTCAAGATGCTAAGGCTAATTGTAGCTCCCAAATTGTAGTAAAGCTGAGATCAGTTCACTTAGGAGAGACCTGAGCTACAGCAGATGGTGCCTTTACTCACCAGGCCATTGTCATGGAGGACATTTTATATCATCAGTTGCAGAATAAACAGCTCGACTGATGTACTGTTAATTGCCAACTAAGAAACTGTTGCCTTCTCCCTGGTGCAGGTTGAAGAGGTTTTTAAACTTGGAAGCATGTGGACTGACTATCCACTGGGTGAGACGACCATGCTGGTGGGGTTTTTCCTCACTGTCCTTATCGAGCAGATGATTCTAACGTTTAGGAAAGAGAAACCATCTTTCATTGCCTTGGAGACGTTCAACGCAGGGTCTGATGGTGGCAGTGACTCTGAGTGCGAGAGTTCCCTTATCTCCTTGGGCCAAGGCCAGGGTGAGGGGGAGTATGATCGCCGGCGTCCGGCTCGCGGGCCTGGCTTGACCCACTCTGAGATCTCCTGCACCACCACTTTCCGTTTAGTCTGCCTGGCATTGGCCTTGTCCACTCACTCCATGCTTGAGGGGCTGACTTTGGGGCTACAGGAGCAAGGAGCCAAAGTGCTGAACCTGTTTATCAGCGTGGCTATCCATGAGGTGCTTGCCGCTACATCCCTGGGACTGAGTGTTGCAAAAAGAGCCTTGCCAATGACTTGTGCCCTGAAACTGGCCTGGACTGTCAGCCTGATGATGCCAATAGGAGTTGGCATTGGGATGGGCATTCACAGTGCCCAGAACATCGGCGGCAGCATTGCATCACTCCTACTGCAAAGTCTTTCAGCGGGGGCCTTCCTGTTTGTTACGTTCTTTGAAATTCTGGGCAAAGAGTTGGAGGAGAAACATGACCGACTTCTGAAAGTGCTCTTTCTGATCCTGGGATACGGAATGATGGCAGGCCTCGCCTTTTTCAAGTGATGACTCTTTACCTTAAGATGCTGAGCGATCAGTCTCCACGTTACATGGCGTTTCCTCTTTCTGGTTAGGTTGTGAATCCATGACTTTTATTTCCCAAAGTATTGCTATTTTGTGTAATGAAATGTTGAGCAGGTTTGTTGTGTATCACAAGTTGTAATAGCTGCTGGGCTGGGTGTTAGCTGCTTGTATCTGCGTGTACAGAATTTAAGTTATTTCTGGGTTTGTGAAACTTTGGCACTGAATCCTTGTGTGATAGCTGTCTTCCAAAATGATATATTTTTTAAAAAAACATGATCCTTCAAAGACTCTTGCCAGCTCATTTTTTAACAAACTGTTTTTCGAGAATCACCGAAGCTAACTAATGTCCGATCAGTTTAATTTGCGATGTGTTTGAAGTATGTGCTTTCAGAATTTGTAACCTTCTGTCTGACACAAGGAGACAAGGCTTTTACTTACTGTAGGTACAGTCTATGTTTCAGAAGTCGGCAGTACCTTCTGGCTACAGATACACAACCCAGTGTTTTGCTGAATGAGATATTGCCGTTACATTGATTCCTCAGATCTACACTTCTGATCAATAAAAAGAAAAGCCATTTTATGTTTAAACAGAGGAGGAAGTATTGAAAGGAGGTGTGGAGGTGGAAGCCTTTGTTTCTTAATGCCACTTAAACCAATTTTTTTTTTAAAAAAATTACAGCAACATTAATAATAGTAATAATAATCCTTGCATTTAACATAGCGTCTTCTCACGTCAGGAGGATGTCTCAAAGGATGCCTGTGTATTTATTTGTAGGTAAAGTATCTATCATTCTTAAGTATACACAGTTGGAAAATTGCTACCTTCAGGGAATCCAGTTTGTAATCTAGTTGTGCAATTTTGATAAAAAAAATGTGTTTGTATCTTTCGAGGTGACAGTGCTTTCATAACCAAGTGGAGGTCATCTGGGCTGCTGCGTGATGGATTTGGGACTGAGTCTTTGCCGATGGAGTACATTGCACTGGTGTTTCATTGTTTAACCGGCAGCATGCCATATGTCTGCATCCTGTTCTATAGATAGTATTTCTGTGCTGAGTGTCAATACATCACAGGCTAGCGACGTTTAACTGTCTGGGACTTATTTGGGGGAATTTTTGCTCTCAGGACAGAACAGAACTGCAGTTGTTTAATTTGCTTGATGTGGAGTAGAGGGTGGGTTGGATTAGCAGCATTGTCAATATTGCTGGCTCATAAGACCTGATGGACTTACAATCAACTAGCTTGTCTCCAGAACTTATTTCTCAGCTATGCTTGAATTGCGTTTTAAAGAGAAAATGTTTTGGGTTTTTTTGGTTCTGTTTCTCCACATAACATCCTTGGCTGTGAGACGATTGTGCTCAGGCCTGTGTCATCCTCATTTATTTTCCCCCCTAATTATTTCTCTTTGTCATGACTGAGCGAACTTTCAGTTTTTTCTTTCTCTTGCCTGGCTTTTCACTGTGCGTGCGTGCTAAAAGGCTTCCATTGACGTCACGTGTTCTCTGAATTAGCAGTGATCGTTCAGTCTGTTACTCAGAATGTTTTCCTCTTTCTCCGTCCTGTACCCTCCGCCGTACTCTCCCAGGGTTCCTAATAATCATTCTCTGGGACGCTACCCTGCATGAGAGGCACTATATAAATGCAAGTTGTTGTTGAGTTATATCACTGGAGGTCAGGGTGCTAATTATTTGGGCTCTAGTGATTTGAGAGGCTTTTTCACTGGGATTCACCCAGGCTGAGACGCAAACGTGAGAAATTGTGTTTTGTCCTGCCTAAATCGTGTTCTGCTTCCCAGTGAGCCGAATTTGTGAGAGCCTGTAACCGTCTGACACAAGGAGACGTGAACAGACTTTAGATGATTTTTTTCCTCTTAATTCTTTCCACCCTGAAGATGTTTTGATTGCTTTTTTCCTGCTATGGGACACGATTCCCTTATCATCGATTACGGGAGGAGGGAAGCTTCATAACTAAACCCAATCCTGTCTTTGTCGAATGTCCAAACACACACATATGTTCCAACAAAAGATCCATTGATACTGATCAAGAACTGGAACCCTTTGTGATTTCTCCCTCTTTAAACCCAGCCCGCTGAGCATTTCTGGTCTGTTGCTTTGGACTGCTTTTCGGGCAGTTCTTCTGTTCGCTTGGTCATTGGGGAGCTTCAACATGTTATTTAAGGAGCTTTTTGCAGTTATATGCTGGCACAGTCAGATCGGGAATGCTGAATTACAAAAGATCAGCAGAACATTGAAGCGAGTTTGCGAACGGGGCTGATGATGCAGCAAAGATTCTGTGGACGAAGCAGTCAGATCATCTCGCTGGGTCCTGCGCTCTGCAGTGGGGAAAGTAGAGCATTGTTACTGACTATTATTTAGCCAACAGGAACCATGGTGTGTATTACAAATAAAATATATTTTTTGTATCAGGCAATCTTTTACATGTATTCATTTGGGGAACTGTGTACATCATGGCTGGGAGCAGCCAGCACATCAGATATCTGTCCTTTCCTCAGGAATATCTTGCTGAGTTACTTTCAGACCAATCACAGACTGATTATAACTGTTAAGATAATTAAACGTGTGTGGTGTGTGTGTGCCATTGTTTTCATGGCAGATAATGGTCCATCGCTATGTTCAGTGACGCATCTTCCATGACACGGATGGAGTGAGGACGTTACTGGGATCAGACATTGTTACACTCGACTCATTTGCAATTGAAATAAAAAATTAATTGTAGAAAAAGAAATTGGGGAAGCAGGACTTTGTGAAATCCTGAAAGTCAAAGGTATGATATCTTGGAACTCCACCTCATGTAGGTTTTTATATGCCTATAAAGTCTTCATTCTGAACAGCCATCTGCAGAAGCATGCCCTCGATCAATTAAGCCATCAGGCTTTTCTGTTTAAAGAAAAATAGCAGTTACATGAAGTAGAAATGGTCGACAATAATTCTGTGAATATTGAAGGAGCTTGTGTGAAAATGAGCATCAGGATTGTAATTTATGAGCGAGCTTATTGTCAGATTCGCATAAATTCTTGCCGCAACATAATTGACCTTTTACATCCTTACTCAGAACTAAAGCCGTGAAATTACGCTTCAGTTTTCCACTGCTGATTGAAAGCTGATCAATTGTTTTAAAGTGATGGGCAGCTCACAATTAACTCTTGGGATCCACTAATTGCCAACTGTATTTAGCAGCTGCAGATGTTAATTGTGTTTGAGAGCGTGAAACGTTGTACCCTAGGTTCCACACAGGAATCTCAGGGGGATGCGCTTGTCTGTTTTTTTCTCTAAGTCCATATGATATGATTCACAATTCCAAAATTTGTATAATACCGCACTCGGTGTCTATGTTTCCACACAGAAAATGAGTGCTAGAGTGAGATACCAGAAGACCTGTGACTGCTAAGGATGAAAGGTTGGAGGGAAGAGGGAAATGCATACTGTGGTGTCACAAGAGATACAGGACATATATTTGGGCTAAGGATATATGATGAGCTGAAGCCAAGTGCCTCCCTGAAGGAAGGGAGCCACCTCAATATAAAATAATTAGTTCACAGTTAAAGAGCGCAGCTGCTGTAAGATATAACGATAAAAGCACATAACGTCAAGTATGTCTCTGTCCGAAGGGAGTCGTTTCAATATAAAAATAATTAGTTCACACACCTAAAGAGCACAAAAGCTACCAGGAACCATATAATACTAGGAGCTTCCCCATTGCCATGTCAAATAATTAGGTCATTTGTGAAGAACACAAACTCTTGTCAGGAGGAACAATGAAGCACTATAAATCTACAACACAGTAGGAGGCCATTTGACCCATTGTAGTAAGTGTTGGTCTTTCGACCTTCCATGAAATCCATTAAATTATAGTTCAAGCACAGGTTAGCAATTGGTTTAGAAGCAATAGGTCCTGCTTGTAACGCCACAACTGTTGGTGATACTAGCCTATGTCAAGGCAGATGAATATTATGAGGAATATAAATGGCATTCAGGAAGATGTAGACCAGCAAACAGATGGGACAATGAGTGAGTTCTGGGCATTGTAGATGAATGCAATGTGATGAACATTGAACAAGAAGCTGTGTGAGGTGCCCATTAGCAGGAGGAGGAGTAGTTATTGATCGATCATTAAAAGTTTCCACTAATTATGAAATTGCTGTTGTCCGACTGATTAAAATACCAGGTTACATTGTGAATGTATTTGATTAAAAGTCAAAATAAGTCTCTGACCTTGTGTAGATCTCTTGGGAGACCACATTTAGAAATGTTGTATGCAGGTGTGGGCACCTGACCTTCAAAGGGATTTTGAAGCATTGGAGAGGTGGTAGAATGATCAAGAGGGAATGATTCTGAGGAATAGGTCCTAATCACAAGGAGGGGCTCACAGAGCGAGACTTATTCTCACTTGAAAAAAGATTGATTGGGGAGGAGGGAGGGGGCTTCATTCAGGCCTTTATTGAGACATCTTGACATGATAAGGCACTGTATCAAGTGCAAGGATTAATCTTATTATTTATTCGATTCATAAACTATAGAAACTTCCAGCCCGCTCCTGAAAGATCTGTCATTCTATATTGTTATCCGCTTTCCCCACTCCCTCAATTGTGTTCTGTCATTTGCCATTGTATATTTAGGCTGTCAACCTCTCTTTCCCCTCACCCCCATTGGTTATATGCCAACTTGTAACTCGAGGAATCTCTCATTCTATACATAATCCACCAATCCCTCCATTAGATTGCAGCACCACAACACAGTGATTACTTGTCTTAATAATAATAATAATCCTTGCATTAGATATAGCTTCTCATCATGTCATTGAGATGTCTCAAAGTGCTTCACAGGATATACTGTAAAGACTGTATATTTTGTGGACGAAACACTACAGCCAATTGCACACAGGAGTGTCCCACAAACAGTCGTGGATTGAGCGACCAAATTCTTATCATCATCATTATTATTATTATTATTATTTTCCATTCATCTTTCGTTCATGGTTTCCATTCATCCTATTCGCGGTTAGATTTTGGAAATATTACGAGTGATGCATTGGGTGGTGGTGGGTGGGTGGGAGAAGGAGGAGGAGAGAGAGAGAAGGGGGGAGGAGGCTTTGAATGAAAGAGAATGTTAGAGGCTTGTCTCTCACAGTCCCTTCCTTCCCAGAGCCGTGTTCACAGCACCATGCTCTAATCTTGTCAGCCAGTCCCACAAAAGCAGGTAAGTGATGGGTGTGTTGGGGGAGAGACAGAGAAAGGGAAACCTTTTGGCTTGGAGCAAACGGTGCAAGAGGACCATTCGTGTGGTGGGGGGAGAGATAGAGAGAGAGAGACACACACACACACACACACAGATAGATAGAGAGAAAACGGTGCATTTATATCCAGATGTGTCCGCCCAGTAATGTAAAAATATCAGCACTCCACTGTTCAATGTGAGAAAGAACAATTTCGCCATCACTTCAATTAGGGAAAGGGAATATCTTGCAATCGATGTCACCCACTCCCAGAGGTTGGGTTACATTACATTACACTGGAAAAAGGGGGTGGGGGGGGGGGGGGTTGGGTTAGGGTGGGGAGAGAGATTGATTTGCAAAGATCTGTTGAGATATTTGTCAGTGAGGTTAGGAGGAGGTTTTGGGGGGGAAATGTGCTGAGCTCAGGAGCTGTCCTTGATGCTAAAGCAATGCTCCACTCGACTAGATCTTAAAAGCAGCCAAACACAACCCAACAACAGCCCAGAGATAAACGGGGGTGCGAGGAGGAGGAGGAGGAGAGAGAGAGAGAGGGAGGGGGAGAGGAGAGGGGGAAAAAAAGGTACCATGCAATGCAAACGCGCTGTGCATTCTTATGTCATTGAAGCCGGAGTCGCTATTCCTCAGTGTGCAAACGAGATGTGAAATAGTAGTAAAACCCACTGTCCAATCGCGAACACAAGCTGATCAGGAACAGACGTGGGGGGGGGGACAAGGATTTATTTAAGCCTTTCTGAGAGCGATCTGGTAGGTAAGGAGGGAAGCTTGGGGGGTTGTAAGAGAGAGAGAGTGTGTGTGTGTGTTGGAGAAGCACCAGGCGAGGAGATGAAAGGCGATTTAACGTCAAATAATTGAATGTGAATTTTTTTTTAATTCAACATAAAAAAAACACACACAAGAGACAAAGGCAGTGGTGGGGAAGACCAGACTATCCGTTTGGGTGCATGTGAGCGTGAACAGTGAGTATGATGAGGTGGGTGTGAGTGTGTCAAACGTTTAGGTGCAAAGGTAAGGATTAGTGTGTGTAAAACTGTGGGCGAGTGTGTCAGTCGGTGAAACAGAGCGTGTGGAGTGTGCAACTGACAGATAAATAAATGTCTGCGCATTCAGAGGGGGGTGGGGGAGTAGGGGGATATTTTTTTGAATAGAAGCTGTCTCTGTGAGAGACCAAACCATTTATCTTTCCTGTCGGATTGTGGTCGTGGCTGGAAAGTTTTTGCTGAGCGAGCAGTGACGAGGTAATCATTCAGACCCAGTCTGTCAACCTTGAAATAATACACATATTTATATATATATACATATATATAATATACATATATGTGTGTACTGTATACCGTGTATATGTATTATACTAAATATATATACAATTATATATTATATAATGTACATTCTATATGATGTTTAATATATATGTGTTGTCTATATACAGTTATAAGTATATATACGCAAACATATAGTATTTATATGTGTATATAGAAAGGTTTTTTTTTAATTGATATATATGTATTCTGGGAAATTGCAATACGGATGAGATGGGACGTTTTGGAGGATATGTCATGTGTGTGTGTGTGTTTTTTACCCGTTTAAGGTATTAAAAAAAAAGCTCCCTTTCTGGAAGAGTATTATTTTTTGCACGATATTTGAACCCTTCTTGCGTTTGGATCGCAAATAAAACGTTTCCCAAATAATGAATGCGCCGAAGATTTCTATGGCTGTGTTGTTTTTTTTTAGCGAATCCTCCCCAAAATGCGAGCGGTATCTGGAGTTACTAACTGAGCAATTCGGATGGGAAAACGTGACTGATTTAATCTGTGGTTTGCAGCGACTCCGAATACAGTATTGAGTGTGTAACTCACATGATGTGGTGGAGGAAATGTGAAGAGATTTCACAAAGGGAAAGAATAATCGTTTGAACGTGTTTCTTTTTGGGCTTTAGATTGGTCACTCAATTTGGCGTAGGTAGAAGCCTCTTGTATTCACATAATATTTGTGTTTCTAAAAAAAAAAGGCATTGCACATTTGCACGTATAATGTTATGCGGAGGGTTAAAGCTTTTCATCGTTGCAGACGTGACTCGAAAGTTCAGGCATGGTATTGCAATGCTTCTTGCAATGGCTTTGCATGCAAAAATCTGACCAAGTGCAAGTCACCTTAGGAAAGGAGAAAGGAATTCGTAGGTGGGGATGCGAGGAATTCTCAGCTTGGTTTGGATACTCTTCAGCATGGCGATGGGTTTCAGCAGGTGTCAGACCCCCACCAAAAAGAAAAAGGACAGGAAAAGGGGGGAAATGAAACCTTTACAATCCACCTTCATTTCTAAAGTATTCGCAACTTAATCTGACAATAACCTTCCGAGAAAGTCCACAAATGAATCACTTTGCAGAGTGAAACAGATGAGTATTTTCAAACTTCCAATCGTTAGCCCTAACTTTGAAGGGTTGCATTAGAAATACCATCAGGAAGTGCCCTCTTCCCCCACTCCCACCTGCCCAATGTCAATGTAATTTGGGGAGGTTAAGTTAATGATATAACTCACTCAAGCACCAGCATCTCATGTGGTCTGAAACAAACACACAGAATTTTAAACTTTTAACTGATGATGATACTTTAAAACTAGAGAATTGGGTTTTACAGTGTTTGTGATTCCTAACTTTGATATCAATTGTCAGAGAGAGATGGTCATAATAAAACTGTAAGTATTACTTCAGGGATGAATTTCAGTTCAGTTATTAACTAAATACCCATTCATCATTGCGCTTGTGAGAGAATAGAAAATGGCAACGTGGAATTCAAATAATAAAAATAATCTTTACATTTGGCTTAGAGCCTTTCCTGTTAGGAGGATGTCTCACCGATATTACTGTAAAGTGTAGTGACTGTGTTTTGTTGGCTTGCGCTGTATCTTTACACTGGCCAGGAGGGATAGAAATTTAAATGTTTAATTGATGATGATACTTCAAAGCTAGAGAATTGGGTTTTACAATGTCTGTGATTCCTAACTTTGATATCAATTATCAGAGAGAGATGGGCATACTAAAATTAACAATCCTTGCATTTGATACATTGCCTTATCACATCAAAATCTCTCAAAGCATTTTACAGAGTTTTCTGTAAAGTGTAGTGACTGTTTATTTGTGGGCAAACGCAGCAGCCAATTTGTACATAGGAATGTTCTACAGACTGCCAGAAATTAATAATCAATTGTGTATCTGGGGATTGTTGGCCAGGAACCCAAAGAGAAACTCCTTTTTCTTTTCAAATAGTCTGCCCCGGGATCCTTAACATCCACCTGAATAGATAGATGGGACCTTGGTTTAACATTTATTCAAAGGATGGCACCTCCTTTGCATTGGAGTGAAGCCTAGACTATGAGCTCAAAGTCCCAGCATGGGGCTTGAACCCATACCTTTCTGACTCGGAAGAGACTGCTACCAACTGAGCCAGGCTTATACTTGGGAAGCTATTTCTATTTTCCCTTGAAGTATTGTTAATGACAGTGCAAGCTGTTGACTCACACGTGTGCCACTGCTGATAACAGGTGAGTGAGGTGGTACACTAATAGACATTTTTTGCTGCAGTCTGTTGTTTGATAGCATCTGTTTTCTGAAGCTAAAGCCCAGTTGCATTATTGAATGTTCTGATACATAGGACACATGGATCTGTGGCCCAGCACAACTCTATTTCTTCAGGAAAGGGAGAAGAGAGAAATCGGCAAATTACTGTAAATTTAGTTGATCAGAAGTTCTGCTGATAGTTTGGGATATTAATAGACTGTCCAATAGAGAAGTGTCAGATCAGAATGTCAGCAAATCGGATATTTCTGGCTTGCATGCCAAAAAAAACTCAAGTTGACATCTCTCTCTTGCCTGTAGTGGCAAATAGCCTGTTTGCTAATGGCTTCTATCTGTTAATCAGCCAAAGATGGCCCAGATTGCATATCAGCTGCTTTTAACTTTGTGCCATTAATGGATGGTCAGGTTATTGGAAAAGTGATTCAACAGCTGTGGCCGTTCCAAATCGTTTTGTGTGAATGTGATCACCGATGCGTTCTGCTGCTAGGCTCTTATTATTCTACTGTTTATTTGTAGGTAAAGAAGAGCTGAGAAAATGCCTGAACAGAGCAATGATTACAATGTGGTGGTGTTTGGGGCTGGGGGTGTTGGGAAAAGCTCCCTGGTGCTACGTTTTGTCAAAGGGACATTTCACGAGACCTACATTCCCACCATCGAAGACACCTACAGGCAGGTGATCAGCTGTGACAAGAGTGTCTGCACCCTTCAGATCACTGACACCACTGGCTCCCATCAGTTTCCAGCCATGCAGCGCCTGTCTATCTCTAAAGGCCATGCCTTTATCTTGGTCTATTCTATCTGCAGTAGGCAATCTCTGGAGGAGCTGAAACCCATCTACCAGCAGATCCTCCAGATCAAAGGCAGTATTGACAATATCCCGGTCATGTTGGTGGGAAACAAGTGTGATGAAACAGTCAAGGAAGTGGATTCAAAGGAAGGGGAGGCTCTGGCCAAGGAGTGGAAATGCGCCTTCATGGAGACTTCGGCCAAGTTGAACCACAATGTCAAGGAGCTCTTCCAGGAGCTGCTGAACTTGGAAAAGCACCGGTCAATGAGCCTGAACATCGGTGGCAAAAAATCCAAGCAGCAGAAGAGAACCGAGAAGTTGAAGGGAAAATGTAACCTGATGTAGATCAGTCTCCAGTGGAGTAGCTTCGCTCAGTAAGGCTATGAAACTGACTGTGTGGAAGCAACACCAGGCTCTTCCTTCTCTGATCCTACTCCTCCATCCCCTGTCAGCCTGCCTGAGAGAGATCTATACCACACGATTTAATTGGTTTTACGCATTGCACTTTCTCGTTATTTACCGTTATGGCAATAAAATTCTTCAAAGCTCAGCACATATAGAAACAATAGTCAGAGACAAAAGTAATTGACTCAGTCCCAAGAAGATGCATGTTATCTGGTCTATATTGGTATTATACCTCCCTCTTCTCTGTGACCATAAACTTCTGAACACCCATTCTCCCACCCACCCCTCCCCCTTGTCTCCTTGCACATGCCAGAATGTTGGCGACAAGGAAAAATGCTAGTAGTTAGGATTAATTCACGTATATTTGGCCTTCCCCCATGTTCCCTTCATCATAATGTCCATTTCCTAAATGTGTTAGCTTTTTAAATGTTGCCGTTGTAAAAAGGACATTCCTAGTAATATCATTAGTGTACGTGGCTTCCAATTGAAGTTTCCTACCTGTATCTCTGTAAATAATCAATCTACTCACCACTTATATAAACCTTTGTTACTGTGATAATGGGATGTCCCCATGCCAGGATAGGTGGGGACATTGAAACTAGAAGCACAAAGACTTTGAGTAGTTGGGCACAAGGAAACTTTGCACCTTGGGCCTGTGTAAAACGTGGTGCAAATGCCTAAACAGGGGACAAGGAGGCATTCCCCATTTCCCCATGCAATCAGTAATATACACTGTATTTGGTTTGACTTCCACCTCCGATCCTCCCACCCTGCCTCTCTCCCCCCCCTCTCCCCGCATCCCTCCCTAGAACTTTATATACAGAACAAAAACACTTGTCTGCTCAGGGTCTAAGCTGGGGGGGAGGGGGGAGTGTGCTCTTAGTGCAGGTCAAGGTTATCAAACAGGTTACTGTCCATTGCACAATTTGGTTGAGTTATAAAGAAGGATTGAAAGTTTGCAGGAGGAGCATTGGACTGGGGGTGAGATGTAAAAAAACAGATGTAGCATTAATGTTGTGTCAATTGTGTTTTTTTTTAAATGAGACTGTTCACTGTAAGATATGGATATCCTCATCACTACCAACCTGTGCTGAGGAAGAGCCAAATTGGAGTGCAAGAGAACAGCTGGACTTTGGCATCTTAAGCTGTGGTCCGTTGTGGCAAGGCTGGCTCTTCTGGTAAACGTCGCTGACTCTTCAGCATCTTAAGCAATACTAACAGCTGACTCAGGATGTCCAGATGTCTGATTACGTTCCACACAAGGTGATCTTATAACCAATCCTATTGGGGTTCATGTTGAATGACGATTGCATCCATCATTGACTTTCCTTTTCGGATATGTGGAGGAAAACCAGTTTGATCTTGTCTTGCATCTGATGCCAGTTGTCGGGTTGCCTCTTGAGAATTGTGCCCACAAAGTGAGGCCATGTGAAGCCATCTTCTGAATCGGAAGGATTTCTCACTCTCCACAAGTCAACAAAGTGATCAGAGTGTATAATTCAAGGTCATTTTCGATGAGTCGTCAAATAATGGCCATTGTGAACTGCGGTTTGTTGAGATCGCCCCAAACGCACCATAAAAATCTCGGAATAGTCCATTTCTCTAAAAGTTTAGGCTCAGTCAGCCGAGATCTAGATTTGGAAATCTTCCTTCCAGAATTCGGTTACCAGAATCGAACATGACTTACTTCCTAATTTCAATATTAGCTTCCTGGTTCCTCCAAAATCTTTATGATTCACTGCCTGTTCTTCGTAGGGCCTCACTACTGTCTCCATCTTGTTAGGAGTAGAACTTCAATGCTCAGCTGCCTGGCTTCTGTCATCCGCTTGCTAAAGGGTGAATACCCACCCCCTTTCCCTCCAACACCTCCTTGTTAAATACGTCCACAGAATCCGTCTATTAAATATACCCGCAACGCTCCCCTGTTGGGTAACCACTGGACAGTGTGAGAGAATTCACACAAGTCTTCAGTCCGAGTGAACAAGGCGTCTTGTTGCAGTCTGAAAGACAATGGTAGTGGTGTCCACAAGGATTGAACAAAACATCGTCAGACACTGTAAGCCTCGATCAGAGCCGCTGAACAGCTGCATGTGGAATTGGAATGCCAGAGAGAAATTCACAGAGCATCCCCATGTGTGAAGTATACCCATTTCCATCGAGGTTAACACATCAACTCAGCCCTGTACAGGACACCTTTCAATCATGAAGTGTATTAACTCCAGCATGACGAGGATACTCAAGGTACCGCCTGCTCCCTCCGAGAAGCTAGAATTACACATGATAATATTTTTATGAAATTTAAGATTTATTGTAGAACATAGTCTTCCTCCGACACATGAACTGGTGCCATGTCTCCTCTGAACTATGTCCTGCTGAATAGTTTTCTAATAAAATGAGGGAAATGTATCATGTTGGTGCTGGTGCGTTGTGTGGGCAACAAACAGTTAAACAGCACTCTACACTTGAGAGGTACAGGAATTAAACAGAACACGGACTGAACCAGTGACAATGTCATTGTAATCAACATGACTGCCTGTGGTTTGTATGCTGTATACTGGTACACAACAGTGCGCATTAGCACCTGTCTGAGGTTTGCATTACATGCGCACGACCTCTAGCCAGACCGACACTCAGGCAAGCAAACCCTACTGTTGAAAAGATAAGCTACATTGAAAGATCAGATAAATTAGGTTTCATCAGCCTTCAAATCAGATGCCTCAGATGGAGCCTTGAAAAGAGATTTCTCAGAAGGCACCTCATAGAAATATGTATACAAATGCTAAATGAGGTTGAGAAATAAACTCAAAATAATAAAATAATACTTAAAAATAAAGTAGGATGAGAGGGCTGAGGTTCGGGTGGTGAAGAGAAAGTTCAGGACAGTCCGGAAGTATTTCTTTACGTAAAAGGTGATTAACAACTGAAATGGGATAGCGGGAAGACTAGCAGGCTGGCCTCATTTAAGAAACAGCTTGATGTAATGTATTAACAATAATAATATTTAATAATGTAATAGTCGCAGTATTGGAAAAATTGTAGAGTTGGTATTATAGAAGGATAAAGTCAAACGGGCCAGAGAGCCTTCTTTATCTGATCTCTTGTGATGTACAAAAGGTACACTGATGCACGCTGTGCATGTCCCACACTGCTGAGGGCAGTGGTGTGTAATCCAGAGGCCATTGAGTACTTTACTGGTCCAGATGGTCTCAGGTTCAATCCCAGGTCTGGGAGTTTCTGACCTCACCCAAGTCAACATTTGGGAACTGCAATTAGCCTCGGCAAACTCAGTGCTGGGAGGAGAAAAATCGACCAATACACCACGAGTGATCCCTGTCACCGCTCTCCCTCCCCACCCTACTGTAAAGTATTTGTGTGGGTATGTTAACACTGCAGAAAATAAGATTCCAAATTGAGATTGAATTTAAGAATTTTCCACCACTCTGCAGGACCTTAAATTTTGAGGAAAAAGTGCCCATACAACAACTTGCATTTATATAGTGCACTTTACACAGGATAGCATCTCGGAGTGCTTCATGCTAAAGTATGTGGAATTTCAGGCCACTCAATAGTAATAAATGCTGTGTATCGGACAAGACCAGTCTATCTGGCCATAACAAGCTAAGTGGGCGGACAAGAAAGGAGCCTGCGGCTTTAAGACTTCTGTGATAGACTGAAAAAAAATTCACTGGGCTCTGATTAATTATTCCGTTGATAGATCAGATGGGATTCAATCAGCTACTCCCACACACCCACACCCACACACACAACACACACATTCAACACAGAATCACAATCAAGAATGCTTTCTGAAAAGGCCGGGGCAGAACAGAGTGCAATCCAGCATGCAGTAGAGTGCTCCACACATGGCGAATGATGATGGTGTGTTTGCTGTAACCTTATTGAGGTGCAGTGTGATGGAACAAGCTGAAGAAATGCCCACGCAGCCATTTACTCTCATCTTCCCCCTCCCTGCTGCTGCTTTCTTTATGCTGATGTTGGTTTGCCTGTGACGGCTTCTAACAAATGGGAAGCGATGTAAGATCTCAGTGGCAGGAGATTATAAATTGTGAATTCTCCTTCAGGGGGTTTGGGACTATTGTAAATGCGTCATCGGTGGGTTGCTGTAGCAACCATTTGCACCTTTGGTATTTTAAGCTCTGTGCTCTAGCCTTCGGAGGGCACTGGAAAAGGACAGGGCTAGAATGCATAATGGGATAGGAGTTTTTCTCATCTTATCAACTGCAATTCTCTCCGTCCGCTCTCCGCCGACCCCTTTCACAAGCCACGGTTCCTCATCAGGCAAAGTTCACCGGCACAGGAGCGCTTCACCAGTTCTTAAAGGAACCGGCACAGCCAATACACGTTTTGCAGGACAGCTGGACAAGCACAAAAGTCCAGTAATGTCACCGCATCGCCATACGTGCTCGATACTACATGTTTATTATTTTATATTCAATAAAATGTCTATCTTTCAGAAACAGTATGTTTTTCGATCTCTTCCCATTGACTGGTTCAACGGTTCAGTCTTTGGGTTTATTCCGTGTTTTATTTGCCGAAGATCAGGCAGAGTAGTAAATGTAGTTGAAGTTGAAGGAGGTCTTTATCTTTCTCTCGCACATGCACACACATACATAGATACACACACACGTTCGAGTTCACTCACTAGTCTCACTCACTATCGTGCTTTCGCTCTCTTATTCTCTCTCACTGTCTCACTTTCTTTCTTGTGAAGACAAGTCAGAATGTTTACCAGTCAGTGGTGAGAAATATCCTTAGAGACCCCAAAGCACTGAGCTCCTACATCCCAAACTGACAAAATTAACTCAGCTAGTCAGTATTTCCTAGCCGCAGGATGTATTTTCAAATGATCAGGAATCCCAGATGAGCCTTAGGAATCCAATGGGAATATAAGAAAGATGGATTCCTCTGAACACTATCACTATAGGTGAGGCCACTTTGTGCCTAAATGGTAACAAAGCATCACCCAGTGGCTTGAGGAGGCTTCACATCACCTGATATTTGACAAATGGAGGCTGTTTCGGGAGTGGGCTATGCTGTGGGTTCAACATGCTCTCTGTGGCAGAAGGATGCACGAGGACAGTCTTCGGTGCAGATTAGAACTAGTTTGATTTATCCTTCATTTTATCCTCTCCTTAAAGCATTTGACTCCCTATCGTTTTCCTTCTATTGAGGTGTCGTCCCACAGGTGTTGCTATGGTGCCTCTTCCAAGTTCCAGCCTTAACAATGAGCATTGGTTCCCAAAGTTTGTTATTTCCCAATGGTATTCATTAACAAGGATTCCAAGTTGTGCAAATGGGGATTCCTTTCCTATAAATGGAAGTACTATACATCACATCAACCCCAGGCACCTCCACTCCAACGCAATCTGCTTCCACAGTAGCGTTCCAAGTGATTCTTTATTAAGGAAATCCGTTAAGAAACACCACAAATTAGACCCCAAATGAGGCCACTAATGAATTGTCCTATTTCATGCCACTGCAAGATCTTTTTGGAGCCCCAAAAAAAAGAACGGCATTGATGTGACAGAACGAAAACAACCATTTTCTTAGGCTGGGTAATTATTGTCAGGATGAATTAACTAATTACAGACATGGCTGCATCACCACAGACTGGGCTGAGATAAAGATACTGGGAATTAAAAGAATCTACTGACTTCCAAACCACTGCAAGCTAATAAGCAAGGCTACAATGAAAGAACCAAGTTTAGGGAAATTTTAATTAGCCGGGGTACCTGCTCCTCATCCCTATCCAGAGACACTCTTATAGAAACTGTGCTTATATGGTCATTGGGTGATGCTGTGATTTCTTCTCCCACCTCCCACATCAGACTCAATCCACGCTCACTGTCAAAGTTCACCCACAAAGAATAGCTACTTGGATGAGGGACAAGACGGTGCCTAGAGCACTGTACAGCCTCCGCATTGTTACCATCTTTGCAACTCCATCTAACAGTCCTTAGCCTCGTCACCTTCCTTGCCTTCTTCAACACCCATCTCAAGATCTTTCTCTTCGACTGTGCTTTCGGTTGTCCTCCTACACCACCCACCCAGCCCTCCTGATCCCAACCCCCAGCTCGGATCCACATCCTTGACTGTACAGTGCTTTGAAACGCCCAACGTGAAAGGCACTATACAAATGTAATTTGTTGTTGTTATCTAACAAAAAAAAGTGGTTCTACTTGTGGTGGTGTTTGGAGGAATGCATCTCCATTATATTCTTATTGGATTGCTAGGACTCATCTAGGATTCCATCCCATGGCACATCTGGGTTCCCTGTTCATCTATACCTCAGCCCAAGTCAGCTCGACGTGGGAGAGACTTGTAATACATTACAATACAATATTACATTTGTATAGCGTCTTTCACATCGGGAGGACGTCCCAAGGCGCTGGACAGTCAAGGATTTCGAAATTGTAAATCTATTTAACTTTGCTTTCACGTTCTCTGACTTGACAGTGAATGTGAGTGTGTGTTGGGGGTGGTGGGGGTCATATTCCTGGACCTTAACTGACAAAAGACCAAACTCTTCAGATAATCATTAACCTCCTCCAGTGGACATGTTGATTGGGCTACACATGAGGTCACATAAAAACTAGCAGCTACATTAATCCCCCTGTGGTCTCTCACTACACAACCATCTGCTGCCTTCCTCATTGGCATTCCGATGGCATTTAGTCAGTCACGCTCTGGCATTGCTTCTTATGCAATCGCCTATGGGATCTTATCACCTTCCCCACCTGGGCCAGAGTGCCATACCTGTCCCCGCATATGCCAAACCAGAGGGCAAATGTCCTGTGGCGAACAAATAGTGTAACAGCAACAGAACACAGAGCTCACAAGCCAGCGGACCATATTTGCTTCTGATTTCAGCACATCGGAAATTTGAAGGCAGTCAATGCAGTGAAATGTTCCATTGATGGGAAAGGATGAATGAAAGAAAGAGAAGGGAGGGAGGAAGGGAAAGGGGGAGAAAGGGAGGGAGGGAAAGAGGGAGGGAGAAAACAGGAAAAGAACAGCGAGAAGCACATTGATAGATAAAAACACATCTCAAATCAAGTTAGCTCATTCAGGCTGGGTGAATAGATACAGAGAGAGAGAAAAAGAGTGAGTGTGTGTATGTGGTGGGCAGATGGGGGAGTGGGGGGGGGGGGTAGGTGATGTACAAAGCTAGCCTCAGCTGTCAGAACTGCTTCTTTTTCCCCTTGGGTTCTTCCTGCGTTGAAGGGCTGGCACTGAGCCAAGAGGCTCAACACACCAAAAGAGAATGGAAATCGACAAGAGTGTTCCTGTGTTGGGTTCTGAAAAGATTGCAGCACACGCACACACATTCCCTCTGCATCACCACAGATCCAAGCTGCTGTGAACTCCTTATTTTGTGTGAACTG